ACTGTACTACAAAAGGGTATTTTTTTGAAATAGAATGCTTCATACGAAAAAATTCATCCGGGAATGGACTAGAGTTCTTATGTAGGGTCCACTTCGGAATAATTTGCATGATATTTCAGCAATGGGACGACCGTTGAATTTTTTTTAAGGAATAGTCAATTTTGATAAAATTCTTGATCATAAATATTTCAAAAGAAAAATACTGTTCTCGAAAATTCTGGTAGGAACCTATGGGACAGTATTCGCAGTAAAGAGAATTAGTTAGGGTGTAGTAACTAGCACAGTAAAGTATAATAGATGGGCTTTCCCGCTTGTAACTCATTTCTAGTGAATCGAAACATGATCTGATCTCCGTGTCAGTTTCCAGGTTCGAGTTTCTCAGAACGGTGTGTATATGCTGCAGTATATGAATACAGTACTTGCATCATCAGGAGTCTGACTGCTGTAATTTCCATAACAGGACCGCTTCTCGCGGAATCACGTGCGGTCAGCATTCCGTATGGGTCCTTTTTGAACCGGGATAATATAAAAATAGCTGATGCTACATATATGTATACACGAGTATATATCTAAATATGGATTTTTACTGATTGAAATCGTGTTTTTTCTTCTTCCGCCCTGTGTAAAGTATTAGCCGGTGGTTTAATTCCCCCATTTGATTAAAAGTAAAAGTTTTTTTGATAGCGATAACATAGAAGAGTTTGTTGGTCACATTGGAATTTGCGTCTCCATTTAAAAAATATACTGTACTTTAAACTCTCAATAAATGAAGAGCTGATGTTAAGCTCGAGATCATTACTTTTTTTTCTGAAATCGATCAAAGGATATTTTTATCTAAATGTACGAGACAGGAACTCTTTTATATCTCTCAGCTTTTCATTTAAAAAAAAACTTCATTGGTTTATGATGTATATAATCAATCATGAAATTCAACCTTTAAAATACCAAGGATGAGTGGCTTCATTTTGTCACGAGCCAAATAATTTATCGTCTTTTAAAAGCTTTATTGTCTTCAGGACAAACAACATTTACAGCTACAAATGAAGAGGTGAAGATTTTTCCAGGAAAAGCGAGGATTTAGTTACACGCAGTTATCCTGAAATTTCGATCGACTGCACACATAATCTTCTTCGACCTGTTGAGGATCATTAAAAAAAAGCGGGTCGAGGTTTCAGGAATTTTTTGTTTTTGTTTCTATCGTTTCCAAAATATTCGCAGACATGACAGATAATGAACCTTGAACGTACAATAAGTCGATATCAAAAATAGTTACGATAGGATAACTTTTATTCTGTTCTGCTGGAATCTTTTTTATCGTGTTTGAAATTCAGTCGATATTTCATTTTAATCGTTTAATTTTTGAAATTCCTCAAGTTTTTTTTTAAGTGTTTTAGCAATATACTTATTACATATCCTTTTAAGGTTGTAAATGGCTTAAATTGACCACTATTGAACTTAAAAAGTAGTTGTTTTGTACTTTTTTTTATAAAAATGTGGAAGTAGCAAAGTTCACAAACAAACAGTTGTACATGTGATGGAAATCGATACAGGAAAATATTTAGACATCGCGAAATTTCAATAGCAGCATATTATTTTCTTCGAATTAATATATTACAATGATGAAAAATAGGTCAAGGATTTATAATTAATTTTATAAATTTTCGTAAAATTTACGGAAAGGTGGGAGGATCAGACAGCCGATCTTATTTATATACTTGTCCACATCGAAAATTGTTCATTCATTTGAATTCCTTTTGATTTATTATATACTTGAGTTGAAAAATGTAGCTGACTTTTTATTCTAGCATGTCTCATTCGTTTTTATTGTAACTTGCTCTTTTCCTCTTGATGTTATTGATCATTTGATAATCAAAGATATCAGACAATCAAAAAATAAAAATAATTGGAGACTTATCAGCCGATCGAAATGCGTCTCAATTTTGTAAGGATATTAATTTTTCCAAGAGTAACCCTGCGGATACGTTTTTGGTGTGCATTTTTGTAAATAGGCGAAGATTTTTTTTAGGGAATACTATGATTATGAGATACCAATTTCGTAACCGAATTACAAAATATCTCCTTCAATCTGTTCACGATATAATCGAAATAAAATAGGCCAAGGATTCAGGGCTAATGTTGCCACGAAAGTTCCGGAGGAGTGTGAGGATTATATAGATAAACTATAATAAGTCGACAGCACAAATGATGGTTTCGTTTGTATCCATTTTCTCTTTTTGACTCACTTTCACGATGATGTTGACAAACAAAGCAATATCATGTCGACATATTATTAACGGCGAGATAAAATATTTTTTTCTTACTGTCGCGTCTCATTCACATCCGCTAGGACAGTCGTGTCGTGAATCGACACTCGGCCGTCATTATGCGACACAGGAAAAGTTCGACGGAAACGCTGACGATTGGGATTCCCCGTCACGTGGGATCACGCGGCTTTTTCACGGTCGCGCAGAAGGAACAGACACGGCTTCAGTAATCCACTCTTTACGGAGAATCTTTCCCAGGGGAAAGCGGGAAAAAATAATAAATTTAAAAAAGGGAAAGAGTACCAGGGTCTCCTCGCACAATACATTATTGATTTCACAGCTGTATATATATACTGTATAGCGTAATGAACGAGGGGAATACATTTCACCAGGATGATGTTTATAGTGTAGTTATATCATCTACAGTTTACGGGACTGAATTTGAGAAACCATCCAAAGTTCGCTTCAGAACCTAGTAAAAAAACTATAAGTTCCGTTTAATTCTAAGTGATACACGAGTTTCAGTACTTCGTCCAAGTTTTTGCGATTTTTCAAACAAACATTTACATTTCTATGCAAGTTTGTGAGCGTGAAAGGTTCGTCTTTGGACGCATCATCATAGTTTTTTCGGAATACGATGCAAAAGGAAATAGTCAATATCAAACATGCCCATCACAAACACTGTTGGCACATTTTTAGTCGTAAAGATGATTCAGAAAATGGAACAACGAATTCTAATAAATATGGTGGGTTTGAAATCAATGGAAGGGAATTTAGAAAAGTTTTCGTTCTCTCCCGTTTTCGGGATTGAATTTTAAAAAAACCATCAAAAGGTTGCATCACGTGTACCCAAAAAAAAACACAGTATAAAATGTAATCGCAGCATGCCAAAATTTTCTAAGTGAATATTATTTGCATACTGTACAATGGATGAATGTATTTTTTACTCAATTGCTGAATTCAAGATTCGAGTATATATTCACGCGACACATGTAGAACTTTTTTTTAAATGGTGCTGATTTTTCATATCGGATGTTTTAGGTTCATGAAAAGGAATTTTCAATTGATTTTCGTATTTCTGCGGCTCAAATATTATTTTAATCTATCCTCGATCAACACTCCAATTGCATTTACAGTATTTGAAAAATTTGAACAGTCTGAAAACTTTGATATTGCGAGGTCAATGTTATCTCCTGGAAAGCAGTGAAACTTTGAAGATTTTTTAAAAGAATTTCGGCACAGAAGCATATGAGGAAAAAACTCAATTTTTATTTCAGAACGAATAACGCACATCTGAATATTATGCCAAAAGTAAAGAAAATGAATACTTCCATTAGGTACAAAGCGGTATGAAATAAAGGCATGAATTGCGCAAGACTTTCAAGAAATGTTCTATTCCTACAAATTTTGTAAGGCACAAAAGTTCAAAAATAATAAATAATTCAAATTTTCAAAAATCATCACGAAAAGACAAAAGATCAACAAGCGAGCGCTTTTTTTTCTAGAAAAGCGTATTATAGCTTTTCAGTGTCGTCATCGCTTCTCATTGATCTAAAAAAAATCGAAGCACGAGAAGTTTCCAGCCTTCGATAACCTTGCCATCAGGAATATAACGAAAGAAAAGATATATAAAACGAAAGCAAAACGAAAAACAGAAATGAAAAGTTTCTCATGAATCGCATGAAAGAAAAGAAATGCGACGAGAAATCTGAAATAGCTCAGCGTTTTGACGAAGTTGTCATGATCTCGCTATTTTTTCCGGCAGGCAACTTGAACTCGTGATCTTTTGATTTACCGTACAATAAAACGTATTGAACATAACCGTGACACAACAGTTAAAAATTGCGTCCAATAAATGTATTGAGATAAGCTCTATCGATTATTACACGTGAACCGCAAGAAATCCATCAGCGATATTTTATTTACGATCTTGGTTTATGCTCGGATGTTTCCGTTGCATCTTTTCCTGGCCTTGGAAAAGACGTTAATTCATTTACGAGATTATTATTATTATTATTACTACGCCATGACCTTACACACTCTATTGACCTACTTAGCTCTCATTTGTCCGAGACCACCGCCTTTTGTACGGCATAAAATATAGTATACATAAGACTAAAATATATCGTTTCAATTACTTATAAAAATGATCTAAAAACTGAGACAAAAAACCCCGTTCTGCTGCGAATTTTTTTTTTCCTTTTGTCATCCTGGACTTACTGTAGTTGCTGGTGGCAGAAAAATGATGTTTGAAGCATCAAACCATTGCAAACTATTTGAGTCATTTACAGCCAAACGCTACGATGGGAATTTTCGTAAGAATGTCATAAACATTTGAAAGAAAGCGCATGCCGAAATTTATTTTCGGGGAATTACTTTTTTTTTCTTCCTATGGTATTGTATCTCCAAATAAATCCATTCGAAAAAATTTAACATGGAATTGAAATTTCGGGTGTTTTTTGTTATACTGTGTTGATTGCTGCAATCGTTCATAAATAATGTTTTGGTTTTTCCTTCTCTTCTCTAGATATTTTTTCTCGTTTATGCTTCTGGATGTCAAGCTCTTTTTTTAAACTCCTTTGTTCCTTAATTTTCTGAGACGATAGAGTGATTCGAACGTTTTAGAGGAGCTCATTTGATCATGCATTTTTCTTCTCCGATCAAACAAATAAAAAAAATGTTTTGTACAATGCTAATAATATTAGAATGTTTCTTTGTCACTGGATATTTTTGCAGTCAGCAAGAAAGAGCAAAGGCGACAGCATCAGCGGATATTTTCTGGCGTCCAAAAACATGCACTGGATTCCGGTGAGTGTTTCATTTATCGCGCATCTCGAAATTTGAATTTATTTGCGTAATTCTTCTGTGTTTCTTCAATTTTTTTTTAAATTTACAGGTTGGAGCTTCTCTGTTTGCTAGCAACATTGGCAGTGGACACTTCATTGGCCTCGCAGGCTCAGCAGCAGCGTCTGGCATTGCGATCTCAGTTTTTGAACTCAATGTGAGACATATGCATTTTCATGAATTTTTTTCACTGTAAGGCGGTATATTCAAATACTGTACAAACACTGAATTAAACTGTTCCATTCAAGAGCACTATTTTGTGCCTTAAACTTGCATCAAGCGTGAGATCCCGAACCATGGCCTACATTTTTAGACGAATCCAATAGTGCTGAAAACTATTATTATTTAGAAAACTATTCGACGCATAATTATCGCAATCTGTCAAAATACTGTACTGGGAATCTGGTTTCTCGAAGATCATAGGATAAATGGAATCCTAATGACCTGGTCAATTTTGATAAGATATCTTTTAAATTTTTGGGAAGACTTGATCTCGCGATGATATAAGTGCAGAGAATAATGCCAATAAATTTAACAAACACCTTTCGTTTTGTTTGAAAGCTTTCATAGACCACGCTGTTTAATTATTTTGACGATGCTCCTCTTCAAATAAATGTCTCAATCTCAGTTGGAGCGAATTTCTATGAAATAATTATATTCCAAAAATAACGTGCATTCGTATACAGTATTCCTTCCACTATAGAAGAGCTGAAAATGTCCCGGTCCCCAAAAATGTACGTCCCACATTGCTAGCAACATTGGCAGTGGACACTTCATTGGCCTCGCAGGCTCAGCAGCAGCGTCTGGCATTGCGATCTCAGTTTTTGAACTCAATGTGAGACATATGCATTTTCATGAATTTTTTTCACTGTAACGCGGTATATTCAAATACTGTACAAACACTGAATTAAACTGTTCCATTCAAGAGCACTATTTTGTGCCTTAAACTTGCATCAAGCGTGAGATCCCGAACCATGGCCTACATTTTTAGAATCCAATAGTGCTGAAAACTATTATTATTTAGAAAACTATTCGACGCATAATTATCGCAATCTGTCAAAATACTGTACTGGGAATCTGGTTACTCGAAGATCACAGGATAAATGGGATCCTAATGACCTGGTCAATTTTGAGAAGATATCTTTTACATTTTTGGGAAGACTTGATCTCGCGATGATATAAGTGCAGAGAATAAAGCCAATAAATTTAACGAACACCTTTCGTTTTGTTTGAAAGCTTTCATAGACCACGCTGTTTAATTATTTTGACGATGCTCCTCTTCAAATAAATGTCCGTTAGAGTCAACCTCGCTTAAAGATACTTTATTAATATAAGGTTTTTATTGCACGTAAGCATATGTCATAAGGAAGGTGATATCTTCTCGACTTTTACAGGGCCAGGGGTTTTTACATGCAGGGTGTACTGAATGTTCAAGAATCCCGCTCCTCGATTTTATTCTTCTATTTTCGGGTAAAGAGAGAAATAATTAAATATACCGCACTTTCTGACGTAACATATGATTTTAAAAATTCCCATGAAAACCCCAACAGAAGGCATGCAATGTCGATTAAAATACAATACAAAAATATGTCTTCCACTCAAAAATTAATTCTCACCCACAGCGCCACATTCCCGACAGCATCGTCGTTATTTTATGGCGCTAGTCTGTTATGACAAGCAGGATCCACTATCCGAAGCAAATATACGTGATAGCCAGAGTTCCCCTTTCAACCACTGTATCATTTCCACGAGTCATTGATTATCCGGGGAATTTATACCACTGTATTCCTCGTTCTCTCCTTTCCCGCTAAATTTGCGGTAAGAGTTGATAATACCTTACGAATAATGCTGTTTAAACCGTTTGGATGTCCAGAAAATTGCGATCTACATTAATAAGTACTGTGTGTTATTTTAGTCTATCGCATGATATCCATGCTGGCATCTTTCTCGCAGTCAACTGCTGCATTATTCGAAATGTGAATTCTCGATTTCATTTTCGCATTGCGATTTTTTTTTTCTTCGTCTGCACAGGCGATGTTCGTTTTGATCATCCTGGGCTGGGTTTTCGTTCCCGTGTACATGGCCAGCGGGGTGTACACCATGCCTGAGTACTTGCGGAAGCGGTTCGGACGACAGAGGATCCGGATCTACCTGTCCGTACTCGCCTTGATCCTCTACGTGTTCACCAAGATCTCGGTAATGACTTATAATGTGTTATCGAAGAAAGTAAACAAGAAGTACTGAATAGCATAATGCAGTGTACCCAAGTAATGTAATATCATATATATGAGCACTTCTCCCCAAATACTTGGGACCGAACATTGGTGTGCGCGTCATATACTTTAGTTTAGTGGGTATATTCATTTTTCCTGGAATATTTTCAAATCTTGGCGCAAGGTTATCCGAAAAACCATTTTGGATAAAATTTAAAAAATATAAGCAATACAGCTGGATGAGCATGCATAATATTTGTAGCATTTTGGATAAATTATAAAACAAATATAGGCAATACAGGTGGACTCTCTCTCTCTCTACAACCAAATGTCAAGGACCAGACAAAAAAAAATCGTTTTATTGAGAATTTTGTTGTAGAGAATCCCTATATGGGGAGAAAGCCTCCAACGGGACCAAAATTTGATTCGTTATTGCATAAAAAAATTGTTGCAGACAAGATCGTCATAGAGAGAGAGTCCCCATGTATTAAAATGAATCGATTATATTTTCAAGTGTAAATTACTTATTTCAACAGGAAAATTTCCAGAAATTTTCACAGTTTTTTTTTTGTGTGTAGAAAATAATCTCAACCTAATGTTCTCATTGAAGTATTGCATGATAATCTTTGATTTTATTTTGAGAGGAAGCTTTCTTTCAATGCAGATGTCATCATATTTACTTCTTTTTTTATTTAGAAGGGAATTCCTAAAATGATTTTTTTTTTCTAGATTGCCTATATTAGGTGCTGACAGATTTCATGAAGATTATTCTTGGGTGTGTGTTTTACTTGAGTCACAATGCGGAAAATTTTGGACCAATCTTGAATATGCAATAGTAAAAAAAGCGATAATGAATACAAATCCTGAATTTAATCAATAACATTTTGAGTGCAATTGATTTTCAATCCTTCTCACAATGGAATTCAACTTCCATTTGGGAATTGAATAAGATTTATGAAATCTGTTGGTTTTAGAATATATACAATTTTTGATAAATTTTATAAACAAAAACTAGCCTGTGCACATAGCATTTGGATAGATTTTTATTTAATTTTCTTTCAAAAAATCCTTTTGCTTGGGTCAATCAACGGTTCTCTGCTGTAATGTATTATTCCCAATTGCTCCCTTTAAAGTCAGGAAAATGTTTGAACCAAAATGTAAAAAATTGTGAAGGAAGTCCTAGAAAAAATAGCCAAAAAGTATGTTCTTGTAATACATTATTTTAAAAATCCTCATAACGAGATTGTGTTGCTTTTTTTTCTATACGAGTTGTTTTTGTAAGAACAAAATAACCCCTCGGACAATCGGCTGTCGATAATGACCAACTCGTCCTAAAACATACTTCTTCATAACCCTTATTTTTATCGGTATTCAAAAAAATAAATGAATATAGGCGGACTTGTACGCTGGTGCAATTTTCATAGAGGAATCATTGGGTTGGAACTTGTACGCATCCGTTGTGTTGCTGCTTGCCATCGCAGCGCTGTTCACCATTTCCGGAGGCTTGACTGCTGTAATTTGGACGGATTTCGCTCAAACCATTCTTATGATCATCGGAGCTTTCATCCTCATGTTCATTAGTGAGTATCGTCTTCATTACGTCTATTATTGTCTTCCCTGAAATTTTCGTGTATATAAGGGAAACCTGATGGATGTAAGCTCAATATGTTGCCAATCTGTCCTGAACTATACGAAAAGGACGAATTATTTTAATTCTTTTTTAAATTATAATTGATGTACCTACGTGAGAAAAACGTTGCATATTGATAATTATGCTGAAACTTTTCTCGTAGCACCAAGAACGAAAAATCGTGAATGAGAAAATTTTTACATTTATATGGCTTCTCTCATTACTTGGAACTATAGTTGTGAAGCCGTCTCTCTTTCTCTTTCCGTCTTTGCTGATCCAGAACATCTGTGTTTTATCGTAGAAACTCATTTTTCTTTCGAAAATTACAGAAATGATTTTTCTATATCCAATATATAGTGTGAATAAGTTTCGCCTAGAAGATGCAGCAAGAGTTCTGAAATTCCCTGATCACGTTCATATTATTTGATCTACAGCGTTTGACAGAGTCAACGGATACGAGCGACTCACTCAAGACTTTTTCTTCGCTGAACCGGATCCAGAATTCGCCAGTTTCAACAACGCGACGAACGAGTCCTGTGGGAAAGTCCCTGATTACGCCATGCACTTTTTCAGGGATCCCACCCCGGGGGCATCGGATTTACCATGGACAGGACTGGTCTTTGGTCTCACCATTTCCGCAGTTTGGTATTGGTGCTCTGATCAGGTGGGTACATTCAGTATATATGAAAAAAATTATTTTAGGAATTCATAAATTCATCTTTAAAGAAACATCAAATGTCAGAGTAGGGGCCGGAATTTTTTATTTGTTTCCAGATTTAATATGCAGTACTGTATTGTATCAAAAAAGTTGAAAAGATGTTAGAGAAATATAGTCGGGAAATCATGAATCTCAGGGTAAAGTTATGTAGTATCTCATATTAGAGGCCCTAAATAAAGCAATTCTAAGTTTCCCGCATTCCAAAGAAAGATTTGCAATCTGGGACATTTTTTTAGCATGCTTACATTTTTAAATTCTCAAAAAAATGATGTAATCCAAAATGTTTGTCCTGGTGCGACTTTTGTTGAGCAGCAGGGCCCTACCGTATATATACTGTACCCTTAAATCTCTCTATATAGGTCAAATTGAAAAAGAAGTATTTTTGACAGGGAGTTCTTGGGTTTGAATGTTGCAGGATTTGTACAATCAAGTCAATTGATTTAAATGATCATCTCGAATAATTACTGAAATATTTCATCATATGTTTTGGATCAGGTGTTCTACCATTATTTAGCTCAGGCAGTTTAATATTCTAACCTCTTCAAGTCAAACTTAAGGTGTTGCCCACATAAAGAATGACTCGGAAAGTTCTAAAGTTCAAGAAACCACTATTTTTGCTGGAAGAAAAAAATGAAAATAACAGAGAGGTAACATTGATGATACCCTATGTAAAGTAGACTGTATGTATAGAGTCTATAGACTGTCAACTGCTGGATGCATGAGTTGGCAGCAGGATGCTGAACTCGGAGGTAGTAAGGATAATTTTGCCAAAATTAGTTGCTCACTCGCAAAATCCCTCCCACTTATTTTAGATGGTTTGTCAATGTTGCAGCAATGATCAAGTGATAGGTTGTGATGTACTGCACACTGGTGGTTAAAACTAGGAGGTATTTTACAAAGATTTTAAAAGTGACTGCTAGTACAGTCTATATGCAGGAAGTCCTGATCAGCAAGGCTGTGATTTTTAGCGTTTATACAAATGAACACTAACCCTGTTCCCAATGTCCACACTCACTTATTTAAAAAAAAAGCATCAATTAACATTTGCAGTGCTATTTTCCTACCTGGATCCTCAGAATTTTTTCTCAAAGGCCTCCAGAAATTAGAAAAATAATGGTTTGAGGAGGAGGTCTTCCAGTTAAAGATGTCTATATCGTACACTGTTCTTAAAGGAATTCATACAACGCCAAAATAAAAATTTGAATTAACCAGGTTTTTAGCATATGGATGAGGTTTGAGTCAATAACAATAAGGCCAAAATGTAACACAAGGGCAAAACAAAATGTGAATACTCTATATTCGAAGGTTAGCGCAAAAAAAAATATTGCACTAAAAAGGTTTAAATTGCAATGGTCTTGACAAGGGGTTTACATATAGGGGGACTGCTTGGAAGGGGATTTTCCCATGGAAATTTCGGCTATATGGTGTTTTTGACTTAGAAAGCTGCAGCTTATTATAAAAGGTATAACAGTACAGTACTTAAATTATATATATTCTCTCTCTCTCTCTCTCTCTCTCTCTCTCTCTCTCTCTCTTACTCATGCCCGCGGGTGAGTCCCTCTTTTCTCTCCTATACCTTTTATTTAAATATTCATTTTTACGCGTCATTTTTTAATAATAAAAGAGAGAGAGGGGGAGAGAATATTACAGCCAATCCTTGATTCAAAGGCGCATCGAAAATGATTACGAGCAACTAAATTGGAAGCACATGTGTTAAAATGTGAATTTTTTAAAGGCGAAAGTGTCGTCCGTAATATGGTAATACAGGTGGATGTTTTCTGCAACAAAATCCAAGAGACCAGAAAAACATATTTGTAGAAACAATTTAGTTGTAGAGAACCTCTATAATATGGGAAGAGAATTCTATGGAACAAAAAATGTCGATATACAGAGAAAATCGTTGTTGATGTCCATCAGATTGTTGTAAAAGAGTCCGCCGGCATTGCATATTCTGTACAGTACTGTACTGTACTGGAATATCATTAAAATGACTGTGAAAGTGTGCTTTGCAATACAGTAAAATCATGTTACAAAATTTTTTGGGACCAGAAAAAAGCTTTGGTATGAAAAAAAAAAACTCGCCATAAATTCAAATAAAATTGTGGCTGTTGGACATGCAGCAGACGCCTAAAAAGTAAATTTATTTTAAGCAAAATTCGTTAGAATGAGATTTTTTTCTCACAATATTCTACTTACCGTGACACAGTAAGCTGTGGACATTCAAAAATTGAAATTTTCAGAAACGTTACAACTTTTAAGCCCGAATATTTTTATTTCAAGACTTGAAGTTTTTTCCACAAGTCAGAATTTTCCCTCGTCAAGACACGATGGCGTAAAAACTGGATCTCGTTCTGCAAATAAGAATTTTTTTTTTGGCCAAGCTTTATATTTTTTTCTCAAGCCCATACAGTACTATAAGATATGTGTTAATACTATTAATGCATTCTTAGATATGCAGTATACGTACTAATCCTAGTAAAGTACAGTATACAAAACTTACAACAATCGCTGCACCAAAATGAATGCCTCTAAAATAAGTACCGTATTTATAGAAAATACCAAAGATATACGCTTGTTTTTGATTGAGCGCGTTCGTCTTGTACGGTTTTTATGAGAGGAAATATTTGAAGCCGTACACCTTGTTTTAAGTTTTAATGTGGCTCAATTAAATTTGTGAAGGAAGATTTGAAATTATAATTGTCGGACAAGATCTAGATGAAGATTTTCTAAGACAGGATAAATGAATTCAACACAGCAATTGGCCGGTGCGCGAACCGACCAGGGATTCTCTCCCAAACAGCGCAAGCCTTTGTTAGCAGATCAACAAATAGAATAGAATACAAAATATGCACAACAGTTTTCCGCGGTAAAATATGCACAACAGTTTTCCGTGGTAAAATATGCACAACAGTTTTCCGACTTAGTAAATTTCTCAGCAGGGACAAATTTCACAAACACAACGTAACGCTTCGCACGCAAAATTCGGACTGTGTTTTGGAATGGAAAATCAAGGGTTTTTTTACAAAAATAGAGGGGCGGGTACATAGTACCTGCAGGGTATCCCAGCAGCTGGGTGTGAAGCACAGAAAAACACCAGGTGGTGGTGTTTTTCAAGACAAAAAATTTGAGACACTTGGCACGTAAATTTTCTCCCAAAAACCAGGTGTTTTTTCAACTTCAGTAAATTTTACAAGGCTGCGCATGTTTTGGGAGACAAGGATAAATTACTTTAGGAGGAAATAAGGGCATGTTTTTCCACAGCACGCGTTTTTGACAAAGTGCGGCAGATTGTTTTCAGTGTATCGAGTATCAAAAGAGTACGACAACGACCAGCAGCTGGCAAAATCTGGTCTTTCTTTTGAGACAGTTGATATTCTCAAGAGACGGCAGGAATGGGGGGTTATTTGACCCGTTGTTTTTCATAGTCCCAAGGATGGGTTGGGGTTCTTCACTGATTCCTTAAATTGTTTTATTTTATGACCCCATCAGGGGGAAGCTTTGCAGCTACAGGCGCGTCCCAAGACGCGCCAATTACTGCTTAATTTTCAAAAATACTTCGTCCGTTTAGTTGTTCCTGTTTTCAACAAAAAATTCCGCACACGTCTGTTACAATGTATTTTTGACAGGGAGTTCTTGGGTTTGAATGTTGCAGGATTTGTACAATCAAGTCAATTGATTTAAATGATCATCTCGAATAATTACTGAAATATTTCATCATATGTTTTGGATCAGGTGTTCTACCATTATTTAGCTCAGGCAGTTTAATATTCTAACCTCTTCAAGTCAAACTTAAGGTGTTGCCCACAAAAAGAATGACTCGGAAAGTTCTAAAGTTCAAGAAACCACTACTTTTGCTGGAAGAAAAAAATGAAAATAACAGAGAGGTAACATTGATGATACCCTATGTAAAGTAGACTGTATGTATAGAGTCTATAGACTGTCAACTGCTGGATGCACGAGTTGGCAGCAGGATGCTGAACCCGGAGGTAGTAAGGATAATTTTGCCAAAATTAGTTGCTCACTCGCAAAATCCCTCCCACTTATTTTAGATGGTTTGTCAATGTTGCAGCAATGATCAAGTGATAGGTTGTGATGTACCGCACACTGGTGGTTAAAACTAGGAGGTATTTTACAAAGATTTTAAAAGTGACTGCTAGTACAGTCTATATGCAGGAAGTCCTGATCAGTAAGGCTGTGATTTTTAGCTTTTATACAAATAACCCCACACTCACTTATTTCAAAAAAGCATCAATTAACATTTGCAGTGCTATTTTCCTACCTGGATCCTCAGAATTTTTTCTCAAAGGCCTCCAGAAATTAGAAAAATAATGGTTTGAGGAGGAGGTCTTTGAGTTAGATATTTCTATATCATACACTGTTCTTAAAGGAATTCATACAACGCCAAAATAAAAATTTGAATTAACCAGGTTTTTAGCATATGGATGAGGTTTGAGTCAATAACAATAAGGCCCAAATGTAGCACAAGGGCAAAAAAAATTTGAATACTCTATATTCGAAGGTTAGCGCAAAAAAAATATTGCACTAAAAAGGTTTAAATTGCAATGGTCTTGACAAGGGGTTTACATATAGGGGGACTGCTTGGAAGGGGATTTTCCCATGGAAATTTCGGCTATGGTGTTTTTGACTTGAAGAGCTGCAGCTTATTATAAAAGGTATAACAGTACAGTACCTAAATTATATTCTCTCTCTCTCTCTCTCTCTCTCTCTCTCTCTCTCTCTNGCCTTTGAATCAAGGATTGGCTGTAATATTCTCTCTCTCTCTCTCTCTCTATGTTATGTTTATATAGGTGATTGTGCAACGAGCATTGGCGGCCAAATCCATGGTGCACGCCAAATCGGGTTGCATCATGGCCGGTTACCTCAAGTTCCTGCCGCTCTTCCTCCTCGTTTTCCCGGGCATGGCAGCCAGGGTGCTGTACCCGAACGAGATCGGGTGTGCGAGCCCAGAGGCCTGTTTGGAATTCTGCGGCAACACGCGCGGCTGCACCAACGTCGCCTATCCGAGGCTCGTGGTTCGACTCATGCCCGCGGGTGAGTCCCTCTTTTCTCTCCTATACCTTTTATTTAAATATTCATTTTTACGCGTCATTTTTTAATAATAAAAGAGAGAGAGGGGGAGAGAATATTACAGCCAATCCTTGATTTAAAGGCATCGAAAATGATTACAAGCAACTAAATTGGAAGCACATATGTTAAAATGTGAATTTTTTAAATGTGTAAGTGTTGTCCGTAATATAGTAATAAAGGTGGACGTTCTCTGCAACAAAATTCAAGAGACCAGAAAAACATATTTGTAGAAACAATTTAGTTGTATAGACCTCTATAATATGGGGAGCAAAGGCTATGGAACAAAAAATGTCATTATAGAGAGAAAATCGTTGTTGATGACCATCAGATTGTTGTAAAAGAGTCCACCGGCATTGCATATACTGCACAGTACTGTACTAGAATACCATTGGGATGATGGTGAAAGTGTGCTTTGCAATACAGTAAAATCATGTTAAAAACATTGTTTTGCTGAAACCAGATTTTTCTGGTCTCAGCAAAACAATGTTTTTAACATTACAGGCATCTTTGGTATGAAAAAAAAACTCATCATAAATTCTAATAAGATTGTGGCTGTTGGACATGCAGCAGACGCCTGAAAAGTAAATTTATTTTAGGCAAAATACGTTATATTGAGATTTGTTCTCACAAGATTCTACTTCCATGACAGAGTACGCGCTGTCCTATTCAAAAATTAAAATTTTCAGAAACGTTCCAACTTTCAAGCCCGAATATTTTTATTTCAAGACTTGAAGTTTTTTCCACAAGTCAGAATTTTTCCTCGTCAAGACACGATGGCGTAAAAACTGGATCTTGTTCTGCAAATAAGAATTATTTTTTTGCCCAAGCTTTATATTTTTTTCTCAAGCCCATACAGTACTGTAAGATATGTGTTAATACTATTAATGCATTCTTAGATATGCAGTATACGTACTAATCCTAGTAAAGTACAGTATACAAAACTTACAACAATCGCTGCACCAAAATGTATGCCTCTAAAATAAGTACAATATTTATAGAAAATACCAAAGATATGCGCTTGTTTTTGATTGAGCGCGTTCGTCTTGTACGGTTTTTATGAGAGGAAATATTTGAAGCCGTACACCTTGTTTTAAGTTTTAATGTGGCTCAATTAAATTTGTGAAGGAAGATTTGAAATTATAATTGTCAGACAAGATCTAGATGAAGATTTTCTAAGACAGGATAAATGAATTCAACACAGCAATTGGCCGGTGCACGAACCTAGACGATACTCACTAATGAACATGAGGATGAAAGCTCCGATGATCATAAGAATGGTTTGAGCGAAATCCGTCCAAATTACAGCAGTCAAGCCTTTGTTAGCAGATCAACAAATAGAATAGAATACAAAATATGCACAACAGTTTTCCGCGGTAAAATATGCACAACAGTTTTCCGCGGTAAAATATGCACAACAGTTTTCCGACTTAATAAATTTCTCAGCAGGGACAAATTTCACGAACACAACGTAACGCTTCGCACGCAAAATTCGGACTGTGTTTTGGAATGGAAAATCAGGGGTTTTTATACAAAAATAGAGGGGCGGGGTACATAGTACCTGCAGGGTATCCCAGCAGCTGGGTGTGAAGCACAGAAAAACACCAGGTGGTGGTGTTTTTCAAGACAAAAAATTTGAGACACTTGGCACGTAAATTTTCTCCCGAAAACCGGGTGTTTTTTCAACTTCAGTAAATTTTACAAGGCTGCGCATGTTTTGGGAGACAAGGATAAATTACTTTAGGAGGAAATAAGGGCATGTTTTTCCACAGCACGCATTTTTGACGAAGTGCGGCAAATTGTTTTCAGTGTATCAAGTATCAAAAGAGTACAACAACGACCAGCAGCTGGCGAAATCTGGTCTTTCTTTTGAGACAGTTGATATTCTCGAGAGACGGCAGGAATGGGGGGTTATTTGACCCGTTGTTTTTCATAGTCCCAAGGATGGGTTGGGGTTCTTCACTGATTCCTTAAATTGTTTTATTTTATGATCCCGTCAGGGGGAAGCTTTGCAGCTACAGGCGCGTCCCAAGACGCGCCAATTACTGCTTAATTTTCAAAAATACTTCGTCCGTTTAGTTGTTCCTGTTTTCAACAAAAAATTCCGCACACGTCTGTTACAATAAAAGGGTCGCAAAAAAGATTTGAACACTGGTTCATTTGATGGGCAAAATTACTGAGAAATCTACTTTTCTGGGATTTTAAAAATATATTTCATGTTTCTGCAGGATTGCGAGGGATGATGTTGTCTGTGATGATGGCAGCTTTAATGAGCTCACTAACGTCGATCTTCAATTCAGCGTCGACGATTTTCACACTCGATATTTACCAAAGGATTCGAGAAAAGGCGTCTGAAGTCGAGTTGCTCATTGTTGGCAGGCAAGTACATGTAACTGTACTATATATGCAGCGTATTTCCGCTTAAAATATCGTGCACTCGAAGCGCCAAATCAGCGATGGTGCTTGATTTTGACAAAGAAGTATTTTTGATTTGTTTTCTATCGTTGTTTTCCAGAGTTTTCGTGCTCGTTTTGGTCGGTGTGAGCATCGTATGGATTCCTGTCATACAAGCATCAAAAGACAGTCAGCTGTTCAACTACATTCAAAGCATCACGAGCTTTTTGTCGCCTCCAATTTGTGCAGTTTACGTTCTCGCCATTGCTTGGGACAGGATCACAGAGCCTGTAAGTGTAGCACTAAACATTTTTAGGAATAATACGAAGAAATCTGGCCTTTTGTTACTGAAGATGGCATGCTTTCAATGTAATGAAACAATGATGCATTTACATATTGCATGTCTTGAATAAGCCTTGTGTCCTCGATCACCATAAATAAATATTTCAAAAAATAAATACGATAACAATAAATTATAATTGAATTATAAATTATAATTGAAAATTAGGAGAAATCCATTGCATCACATTGCTGTTTGTTTACTGTATTTTCTATGGGCTTGTAATGTGATCCAATTGTGAGCAATATTGAGAAATTCAGAAAAGTGTGATGTGCATGCTCCATATCTGGGTCCCAATATTGTTGCGGAAAAAAGGGGTATAATTGAGTAAAATTCATTATAACGAGTTTCTTTGAGGCGGAATTTCACTGTAATGTATTACATTTCAGGGAGCATTTTGGGGGCTCATGTCAGGTCTTGTGATCGGACTCATCAGATTCGGATTGGAATTCGGCTACACGATCCCACAATGCGGCTCTCCGGATCCCGACCCACGTCCGGAATGGGTTAAACGGGTTGTGGGTGATATCCACTACCTGCATTTCGGATGCATCCTTTTCGTGATCGTGTGCATCGTCACGACGGCCGTCAGCCTCATCACTCCACCTATTCCCAAAGTTCACGTATGTACGAACAAGGAGCATCAGCAGTTAGCCTCTTACGATCCACAAATATACATTTGCCGCGAGTAGATGTCACCCTTTCGTGGAGTGAATAAATCATTCCACGTGACACAGTACTGTACACGCACAGTTGTCCCAATTGGACGCGACATTTGACAGTTTTAGGGAAGGTATGATTGCAAAAGAAAAATATCATGACATAGCTCATAATGTTCTAAGGTTTTAGGAATTTTTCGGATTTTTAAAAAGGTTTTTAAATTTACTGCATGATGAATGAAGGAAAACTTTCCAGCCACCCCCAGCAGAGTTCTCCACCCGTGTTAAAGCTGGGAACTAAAAAGAATTCAGGCCAGCTCAACAATTTAAATTTTGTTTAGTTTTGCCCATTCAAAAAAGTGTTCGCAGTAAATTGAAACACGTTAAAAATCTGTCAAAATTTCCCAGAACCTTATAAAATCATCATGATTTTTTTTAAACAATCCCATGCCTTAAAAATGTCAGAGGTCGTGTAACTGCTAGGAAAACCCTCATATCTTCAACTACGGTAATTTCTAATACTGTACATATTTGGACAGTTGTATCGACTGACTTTCGGTACGCGGTACAGCAAGAAACCGCGGATTGATCTTGACGAACTGGAGGAAGAAGAGAATAAGAAAAAGAAGGCGGCCACCGAAAAAACGCCAATACAAGACGCTGAAATTGCGATGAAAGCTAAAGCAGCCATGAGCTTTGAAGAGCAACCAGCAGCGGAAGAAGGTAAATTATTTCTCTCCTAACTTCGGGCGTACGCTCTTCTCACCAAATTTCTAGAAAAAAAAAGAATATCGAGAGCGGAAAAAGTTTTCAAAAAATATGCAATGAAATGCTGCACGCGATAACCTTATACACATTCAAGGGAGATAATAATTTACTGTATTATGATCATAGGAGCATCCGAGTATCCACCGATGTCCATTGGTCGAAGAATCCTGAACACCGTGTGTGGTGTCGACACTCGTGACATGAACAAAGGTCAGGGCATGCCGATTGACACACGGACACGCGAAGAGAAGGCAGAGGACGCGGCAAAGTTTATGGAAGAACCCGTCTTCTGGAGCAGGTACGATTTTCTGATCGGTACAGTACAGTACATTAAATTGTTCACAAACAACTATCCCGTGCGTCCTATATAGACCTATATACAGACTAATGAACTATTGGGCCAGGGTTCATTATATGGCGCCTTGGTTGATGCTGTACTCCTCCGTTTTATTTGTGGGAAGTCCATTATCCGAAAAAAAATTAACCAAGTAATTGTAAGCTACACCATAGAATGTCAGAGTGTCCTTGCTGTATATAGGAACCCCAAAAGTTGTCTGATAGCATTATTAGTACACTAGACTGGTTACAAATTTTTTATGATAGCGACTCGAGCAGGCTGTAGAATAGCCCAAATCCCCGGGAAATTTCCATCACAAATTCTAAAATACCATGTTTATTCGATGCGTTCTTTTTCATTTATAAAATCATTTATGGCATATAAGACGGGCACCCCAGCTTTTCTGTGACTTAAAAATTTATTCATTTTAAGACATAAATGCATCATTTTAAGACATAAATGCGAAAAGTTTATATTTAAACTGCCGAATTCAAATTCAACGGTTCAGCATTTGTTTTTCGTGTCACAGTTTCATCTGCCGGTTTGATTTGAGCCCAAATATACATTTTTACTCATTTTATTCTCGAAAATTTATTTCTTTCGCTTCATCCACTGCACGTGTTTGACGTGTTAATCGCACCAAAAATTTATGGACTTTTCAGAAAAAAGTACTGAACATTCAAATATGACGCACAGTACTGTACTTTATGATTGGCATCATATGAAAGGAATTCCACTACTTTATTAGTGCAAGATCAAGAAAAATGTGAAGCATGAATAATTAATGTACTACTACAGTATTACTGTGAATAAAATCATCCCGTGGAAGGACTGAGTCTATACTAACTTCGATGACCCACATGTATGACGTACAGCATTCAATTATATTTCCCAGATTCTCGGATTTACTCCGAAGTATTTTGAATCGATAATTCCCTTCAACATTAGACATATAATTTTACTTGAAATTTAAATTTATTTAATTATTCAATTAATTACTTGATCCAAAAAATAATGTGCGAGAAAAACAGATAGTAATACAAATCTTAATTTAAAATTCAATCGATTATTTCCCTTTGACGTGCTCCTCATTCATACAAATGCAGAGACAAATAAGCAGGATCAAATGTTTTCTTGAAATCCGGTCGATAACCCCACATACTGTACTCGGAGTTCTATACAGTGATGAAACCTTTTCGGTATTTAAGATGTTCTTTTCTTACCCTATGCAGGGTTGTGAACATAAACGCACTGTTGTGTATAGCGTGTGGAGGCTTCGTTTTCGGCTACTATGGTTGATGAAATCCAACCACGTATTCTCATCGTGCTGCCATAATTTCCAACGGAAGCAAAGAAGAATCCGCGTAATGAGTGGCAATCGCATGAAAGGTCGAAAAAAAAAAGGTTGTCAATTCCATGTATGCTCGTTTGTTGTGCAAAGCGCGAGAAATGGCGAAGTGCGTTGTGTTCCTGAAATTTTTATGGATACACCTCGGAGTCGAGACGTCGAAAAATGACTCACGCGTCAATTGTCAAGTACTGTATTTCTTTTTTTTAAGTGCAACGATGATGCAGATGCGAAGAATCTTGGTCGAAGATTGAAATACCGTAAGAATTTTTGCGAAGCGAACTTGCAGTACCTCGAAAAGTTTTTCATGTCCGAAAATCGAGCAAGAAACATTGAAAAATGCATGAATTATTCTTTTTTTTCAATCCGGCGATTGTGTGACGCATGTATAACGCTTTAACCGAGATGCGCGCTTCCAGCAGTGTTCGCGAATCCTTACAATTCGTTGATAATTCCTCTTTGTTTTACGGAGAATGTTATATTTTGTTGGAAGATGCAACAAGGATAAATTTATTGATTCGTTTGAATATACTCTACGGCATTCGAGAAAGCAGCTCCATTTTTTATATACTTTCTTATCTTGTTGAGCTTTTGATCAAAATGAATCAAATCAATCAACGAAGAGCGGCATTCGAATTTTCCGAAAAGTCGTGAAAACTACGCATTCTGTTTGAAGAATGCAATGATGACTTCCTTCTTTACTGTTAACTTTGAAAGCACTTTTCAGAGGCTTTACAATACATTTGAAATTTTTTAAATATCAACTTTCTGCATTTCCTCGGAAGAGAAAAATAAATATTCTGTGAGAGATGGGAATCTCAACACAATTCAACCGCAACTCGCAAAAAATTTATGGAGATAAATTGCGGAGTCTTCTCTTAAATTCCATTGTAAGAGAATGGATAATCTTATTCGTGAATTAATTAAATGCATGTACTCATTTGGCTCTTCTTTCCCAATTGGCTCCATTGGTTTCTTTTCATCGCTATCTTTTTATTTTGCGGATCAAATCAATGTAAATTCGTAACGAAAAATCTGCATTTTTCAGAAAATCGTTTAAAAAAAGCCAGAACAAGACGTAACGAGACCAAAACCCCTAGAAAATAATGCACTCATTCATCACGAAATCCCACATCGGGTGCGGAAGAACGGAAGGGCTCAGGCGTTTTGTCAAAAAATGCACCCTTCAAGCTATACAAAATCGTGATGATGATCAACACGGCGAGAATTTCAGCCGTGTCCAAAGGACACAAGCCAAACATCCGCAATACGAAAACGAAGCAAGCCAAGTTCACTACCCAACGTTTGCCTAGCCGCCTCAAACAAATCCGTGGTGGGAGAATTTTTCTCGTCGTCTTCAACTGGCCAAAGCCGAGTTTCTGGCATTCGTCGTAGGACTGTGGATCACGTATGAACGGCCTAGCAAATCGACCTCGCCAGGATGGATTGTTGTACAATTCGACCACTTTTTCACCCAACTTGAAAAAGGAGATAAGCAAAATATGATTCATCAAAGTTCCCAATTGACTTATTCCGTGCGTGCAGTCTAATGCGCTTTTATTGTTGCACACATCAGATAAACGCTGATGCATACATCTTTCTTCCACAGATCCATCATTTGTGGTCCTGGAATTAGTGGGGTTTGATATGAAAATTGATAATGTAGAATATCCCAAACGCATTTATGAAAAAAAAGGTCCTTTGGAAGATCGGAGAAAATGTGTACTTCTAGTAGTGCTGTCAGTCCTTGACACTGATCAACGACCAAAATCCACGAGAAAACAACATCGTACTCACATTCCAGTTTATGTAATCCGAAATATCCAGGAGCATAAGCACGATCCAAGCGTACTCGGATGACTGTGGGATGAGGCGATCTGGATTTCCAATCGGGATTTTTGCCGGCTTCAGGACACCCGTTTGATCAATTTCAAATCCTGCAATTTTTTTGCACGTCCTGCGATGCATGGGACTCCCAAGCAAGGACGACCCAGCCAACATAGACTCTTCCAGGGTTTCTTGCAGATTTTCGGGAAGATCAAGTTTTGGCGGAGATTTTACCTTATAATAAAATCGTAGAAAATTTTTTGAGAATCCTAGAAACACAACTACAGTAAATGCTACGGGATGAGATAATTAATTTGGACAATTTTAACCGAGATCATTTAAAACAATATATATATACATATACATGTATAGTATTAAGAAACTTTGATTCAGTAAAGGATCGGTGGAAACTCTCATGCTTCGAACAACAAAGTTCATCATAATTACCTCGAAGAATTCCTCCAGGAATTTGATCGCATTGTCGAAAGAGCCCATTAATTTATCGGGGTCATTCGGAGGAGAAGATTCGTCAACACCGTTGGCCATGGCTTTGGAAGGATGGGAATCAGAGCTCGCGAAGCTGTTAGCCAAATCTGAAACTGCTTTTCGAACTGAACCAACACCGTACAGAAACTTCGACTTGAAGGATGAGCACGATTCCAGGGCTTCGTGCAAGAAATCCCCACTAGCGGTCGCGTTACTGTGCATGGATCGCGCGCGGACTTGGAAATCCAGGTTCTGCTGAACGCTTCGGATATTCCTCATCAATTCTACAACCTAATAAAACGATATACATAGAGTACGATATCTATGCTAAAGAAGCCATACATTTGCGAAGGCCACACATACATATTTAGAACTGCGTAGGTTAAAACGAATGCGGAACTTACGCGGTGAAAAAGGCACCATGCACTCAACAGAAATTGCCTTTGGTTCGTCAACTGTTGGGGAAATTCAAACAGCCAGAAAATTGCACAAAATTAGGAGAAGTTATGCAAAAATTTATTAGCTCTTTGGAACTTCTGATAATTACCGGTGTTGAATCTCATGGTTAAAGCAGGTATTTCCATTGAAAATTCGTCTTTGTTGGATTTCTACCATGACTCAATATTTTTCAAAGCTTCAGTTGTTCTTGATAATAGGCAGCATCCGAGTCTTACAGCTTTTTTTTTAAAGCTCAGTTTATATCGGATTACGAGTAAATTTATTTTCTGGAAATCAGAAATCTTGTTTACGATTTCGTCTCATAAAAATTCACTCACCATCGTCAACGTACTTTCCGAAAATAAGAATTCCTGATCATTTCCTCCGAATTCAATAAAACTCTGAACAGCTTTACCACCACTGTTCGTCATCCTTGAGGCAAGTCGAAAGTGGCTATCAAACGAAAAGTTCGATACGCCCGCGCTGTAACGAGTAGACTGACTGCCACCAGGAGATTGGAAAGTGGTCAATCCTTTTCTGTAGGTTAGCGCTTGTCCAACTTCTGAATCCAGCATTCGCAAAATTTGCCGCAAATTCGGAGTTCCAAAAACCTACGAATATGAAAGTTCATCAGTCTTAATCCACCTACCTAGTGTTCGAAATCAGACAAAATTTCGCTGTCACTCGACCAGTACACGGAGGGTAATTTTCTTTCTGGCTATTAAACATTGCTTCTGAAACATGTATAACATTTTTTTATTAGGAGCATAATTAATTTGCTTCTCTTTCATTACAAGTTTGATTTTAAAATGTTGTGTTCAACAACCTAAACGCCACAAAGCTGATTAAATATTGTATAAAATCCACAGCTTCGGAATAATTGAAGTCACAGGGATCGCAAATTTTTACCCGATCTTACAATGCAAAATCGATTGAGCACGATGTTGTCATTCTATTGCGAATACCCTCACTCATTTGCTTGGAAAAGCTTTGAGACCGGTGTGTATTCGAAAGCCTAATTTTTCACACTCGACACAGTCGACAAAATCCTTTCAAAGAAAAAAATTGATTCACTCGAGAAAAGTACTCTGCAAAATGCCTCACTTTCAAAATAAAACGAGAGAATTTTGAGTGGAATTCGAGTTCAACAAACACAAACCTTTGCAGCGCGGAACAGACAAACGGACAAACGCGGGGAATTTAATTCCATCCTCGCAAATCGCCAAATAGCGGCTTTGAAAAGCACCGAGTAGAACACGTAATGCTCCGCTATAAAGCTCTCCCATTCTTCTCCGATTTCCTGAGGTCCAGCCCTTCGAATAAAGAACAAACATTTGATCAATTTGAACAAAAATGAAAGTTTTTTTTTCCTTGGCAACCAACCTTGGTCCACCTTCCAGCGAGTTCAGATCAACGTATCTCCAAGGCTGTATGAAACTAAGCCAAAGTTCCAAAATCATCCGGAAAGTTCCATCGAGGGGAGTTCGTTGGAAGAGCTGCTTCAGAAAGGGATACAAAGCCGCTCGCAGAGTTTGGATAGTTTGCCTGACGATAAACAGAAAAATGCCAAGATTATACACACTTAATAGGAACAAGCTTTCATTTTGAAGCGCTTCGAGCGCGTCATTCGATGTACACTAGTTTAGAAAGAAAAGAACTTGGAATAAATCAATATTTTGAGACATCATACTAACATGCTTCTCATGTTAGTATGACAGACCTTATCCAACTTTTTCTAAGCAAATTTTCTTTCAGAAATGCATTTTGGAGGTTTGTTCTTCAAATAAGAAAGTTATGAACTAGGGCTGCAGAGAAAATGACTTAAGTAATACATAAAAATGAGTTGTTCTCTCACTCTGATCTTTGCAGAAATCTCTCTTGCACAGTATTCAACTTAAATTTTCACTTGAATGACAAGAAATTCAAAATATGCTAGAAAGACGTAGACCAATTTCTTTGTGGAAATATTTGAACTAGTATCAGAAAATGCGCGAGTAAATATGGCTTACTTCAGATATACAGTACCATCAAATTTTAGAGAGAAAAAACACAGTACTCAAGTACTTTTAACTGAAGTTATGAACGAAAAATGGCCAATTATAACCTGCGAAGATTTTCCATTTGTCGCTGTGACTGCGCAGTCTTTGGGAGTCCATTGAGGAAGAAGTGTACATGCTTCACCACTATCCTCGCGTAAGTAACCAGCTCCACAGATGGCAAAATAAACGGAGCTTCAATAACCACAGAAGATGGCGACGCATTCCTTGCAGCCAACATATCTGCATCCATTTTCGAACACATCGATGGTCCACCAAACTGCGGTGGAAGAGCGAGCCAAAAATGTGTCACAGCTTCCAGCATAATTTGCCCTCTTCTCGTTCCCGCGGAATCAAATTTTGCAGAAATTTTCGAACTGCCATCGTCGGTGCCATTCATCAAAGACCGCTCAATCAACGCCGAGGCTTTTATCAGAGGCGAGAGGTATCTCGGCGTGGCAGATGAATTTTGATGCATCAGTGGCAGGCGACTAATGGGAGATTGAGCGCTGCTTGCCACATTGACAGTGGTGGACATGGCAGCTGCGTCACTGTCGCCGGAAAAGAAATACTCAAAATAGCCGTCTATAAGAAACATGTACAGTGTGCCTTTGCAAGCTTCTGTGAGTGAATGCGGCGGACTGCAAAGAGGTAAAAACCGTCCGCCGGCGTTGAACTGTGTCATGCGAGTTATGGTGTCAGTGTACCCAGGACATGCCATGGAACCCTCACGTTCTGGGTTAACTGCGTAGGCCACCAAGTGGAAAACCAAGAACTCGAATGGATCTGAAATTATAAAACAAGCGGTCAGTCGAAGTTTCTGCGTGTTCAAAGATGTATGGCGGGACAGTTTTATTTTCTTCAAAAAAATCCCCTAAGGATATTTCTCCAGATTGTATTTAACGAAATGCATTGGGAAATTTTTGACCAAATCCTACTTACAGAAACCGCGAGAGAAAATCTGAATCCCGTGCGTAGTTGAGAAAATGCCCTCACCAGACATTCAATGATTATTCAGAATGTATTAGGTACAATCTACAATTGGTGACGCCAACTAATTTCATGTGATAAATCAGATTTAAATAGGTCATCATAACAATTAACTACACTGATAACAACATTTGTTTACTATAGTGGTAAGGATTAAATCAGAAGCGGCATTGAAAAGTATACTGGGGCATATTTTACGAATCGGTAATACGGCACGCAGTTCTCAGGAAACTCGGAATTGGAATTTTTCTCGAATTCAAAGTCATCTATCTAGGCACTGGAAATTTCGTTTCTGAAATTCAGTACCAAGAAAAAGTGATAATCCCGGATGAGGATCAACGGGTCCTTTTTGATCAAATCTTTCGGCGAAGAAGGGAGACAGTTCCCCATGCTTCAGTTGCACTTTGAAACCATCCTGCAGGACACAAAGAGATTAAATACAGGATCAGCATGAGGGAAACCAGGCCTCAACACTAACCGGCAAACGGCTAATGGGGAACGGAAACTTGATCGACGCTTCAGCAGTCAACTTGGAAACGAAATTCATGAGCTCTCCCTTGGGCTTCAGAAAGTCGTGGAGGAGACGGAATCCGTAGGGATCCAGTCTATCCGTATATGACTCCAATCTCCAGCCACATCTCGTGGTCATTGTTGCATCTGGACTGGCACCGAACACGTTTTCTACTACGACAGGAAACGCTAGACACAATTCACGAAGCGACATCCGCTTCAATAATGGAGTTATTAACGCGGGTCGCTCGGGGAGAGGCTTTTCCAAACTCAGGCGGAGTTCTTGCAACAGAATTGAAGTCTACAAAATGGAAATCATTTAGTTCGTAGAACGTCGAAGACGAAAACAAAACTCACCTCCATTTCAAATCAAAGCTGCAGACTGCTATGTACACCGCCGATAAATCTGAAAATCAGTGAACGCCTTACGAAAAGTAAATAATTCACGGAATGAGAGCGAAAGAAACAGAATTCAATTGACATCACCGGTCTACATTTCCGAATGCTCGTATTCAAAATGCATCCAATGAGTCCTCCTAGGGGTGCTCGGAAAAAATTCAGTTTTTCATTTCGAACACTCTTAGAAGCATTTGTTCGACATATTCCGTTGACTAGAATGAAGACGCAAACTAATTGCTTCAAAAAGCTCAACCCATTACACCTCACTTTTTGATATACAGTACTTTGCTTCGGTACCGGTAGAAAAGATAAGAGCTAATGATTTGGCAAGTTGTCAATGAACACACTAGTTTCAAACTTCAGATGCCATCAATTGAAACCAAACTCCAAATAAGACAATTACGAGTCGAACGCCAGGAAGTAGAAGATTTTCCTTCCAGACATTGATCCAAGTCTCTTCTCAAAGTCCCTTGTTGTAGAACACGATCTTCGGAGGATTTGGTAGCTTATTGATCTCCTCCTGCAAAAAAAAATAATACTGTATGCAGAATTTTGACGCTTTACAGCTAATGATCAGAAAAATTTGCGACCATTTTTGACTGCTTTCGGTACACGTGGTAGATTTAAATTATACGACATTTGGTAATTCACACGAGTAGCCAATGATCAATGTTCTAAATTTACAGCAGTATTCACGTTCACATGACATTATCGAATATAAAATGAACCTAGAAATTTTTCTAGCAATCCCAGCTGAAGAGATTTTCTTTCACAACTTCAAGATGCACTATCAGGACTTGAAATATTGTAAGTCATTTTACAAGTTGACAAAATATGCCAACAATTTCAAGAGATAATTAATCAAACACAATTTCTTGTAACTAGGAACTGCAAATAAAAGTTGGCTTTAATTTTTCTTTCAAGTAATACGCTTCAATTTTTTTTCACCCATAGGAAACAACGTCACTTTGAAAACACTAGTCGCAGAAATGAGTGGCCAAATGCTTTTTACACATTGCACACAGACGTAACCCATTTCTGAGCTTAGTCCAGACCATGCTACAACCTTGTTATCAACGGTAAAACGAAAAGACGATATTTGAATGTGTGTGCATTTGTGAATTAGCCGTCACAATAGCATTGTCGGGGCGAGTTCACCATGACTATTTGACGTGAACGTATAAGAAAAACTTTTCATATTCGCTCAAGACTGCACAGTACTTTCGAATATTCAACAAACATAGCCAACCATATGTTGCAGAGACAACGGTTCCGGAACTTTTCTAAATAGAAAAAAAAGTTTAAATTTCTCTAGAATGAAGAAACCTTGCTTCAAGCAATGAGCTAACCTGAACAGACTGCTCCAACTCAGATACAGCAATCGATGCCTTCTGCGGAAACACGGCGCAGCACAGCGGTGTGGCAAAAGTCAATAAAAGACCGCAAAGCAAGATTTGAAGAGGCAGACTGATCCACGGTCTTCGCTTCAAGACCCCCTTCTTCTCCAAATGATTCATATAAAGTGGAATCGCAACTGAAAACGAACAAGACACGTAAGCAAACGAAAAATTGAAAAGAAAACCAGGACACACTCATTGTCGGTGAAGCCATTAAAATTCTGCTCAACAACACGGATACAATCCCTTGTTTCGCTGCGACAGCAGATGAACCTACTTGGTTGTTGCATTCGTCCCAGACAGGTATTCCGGCGGAAAGTTCACTGTTCAAAGGCAAGAAAAGAGGTATGATAAATACGAAACACTCGTCAACAAATGCCTTGACATTTTCTTGAACTCACTGACGACGCATCAATGGTATGTTAACACAATTCGCAGCGGCAACAGCGGCGAATGGAACCCATCGGCCAGCAAGCGGCGGTAAAGCCTAAAAGTTGTAGAAGAAAATTTAATTTTACTTGAAGATGCTTCGAGCTGAAGTTGAACAATTTTTTTTTCTCTGGAACTCGAGAATTACTACCTTTGCAAGTGAGTTCAATCCCAAAGCCGTTCCCAGCGCACTCGACGTGGCTAATACATAAGATGACGCCAGCTGCCTACGAAGTTTGATAGGTTCGAAAAAAAATTAGGGACGATTGAATTTTGAATCATCAACACTTCACGTGATATGATTTGAAATATAATTACCCAACTGGAATAGGCGAACTGCCACTGCGATTTGTATAATTCACTGCTGCGTTGAACGACTGATTCGCCCACTGCCAAAAAATCACAGCTCCTGTTGACCTGGCCGATGCGTTCAGAACATTTCAAGTAGAAAGTACGAAATACTGCGCGAGCATAAAATCAGTAACTCACTTGTACCAGGTCATCATACATCCAGTGATTAACATATTCATTGGAACTTGAGCAGACATTCGTCCGATTAAAAGCATTTTTTCACCAGTGTCGGGATGGAACGCAGAGTCGTACAGCTGCTTTGCCCTCCAAATTTCATCGTCCGATAATCCCGGTAAATGCGTTCCAGCTCTGAAAAAGCCAATGCTAATTCCGATGATGCGCTTAAAAACGTTCTCGACGAGATCAAACCTGTACTTTGAAACAATCTCTTTAGCTTTTTCAAGATCTGCACTCGAGCGTAAGACATTCAACGGGTTTGTCGTAACAAAAAAGTGTTTCGCGCGCCCCAAATAACTCGACTGATCCCATCGGGGTTCGTCAAGATTCAGAATATGATTGGGCACCATTTTAAAGCTCTGAAACAGGAAAAAACAATTTGAAATAATGAACTCCGTTCAACACGAATTGAAATGATACAACGCTCCCGAATACCATGAGGGGACTAATAAATAGCTTCAACTTGAAGTCCACACTGAATTCATGAAATCTAGGAATATCACAGCATAACAGAGGAAAACTGTCACTTAACCATATCAAAGCTCATCTTTCTTTTTTGAAATAATTTTGCATATGTACGCAGCAGTGTTAGACATCTGCGCATAATATGCTTTTGTATCAACTCCAACTTTCGCTGCGCTTTCAAGGTCAGCAAGATTGGAGTAAGAATTTTGTAAGAGTTTACAAATATCCATGCTCGATTTCCTGAATTCCTCCTTACAAACTGGCGCGAATGTTTTCATGGCATCGAGTACTTTCTCAATGACATCGTGCTCAGGTCTGATCGGAATGGCTTCACTGATGGCCGAGCTCAGGTCTTGTCTTCGATCTCGACTGTCCTGTTGGAACCGATATTGACTCCTCAGATAAAAATCATTTTTCCAAGTAATACACGAGATACCTTTTCAGGCAATTCCAGAAGGCTCGGAATAAACTCGCAGAAACCTTTCTTCCTGGCAGCTAGAAGTAGATTCACGTTTTCATACTGTCGCAATTTTTCAAGATGACCCGCATTGGAGAAGTTCAGATTATTCAGAGCATCGTTGTGCTCCACAACCAAATCCTAGACAAATGAGAAACATTTCGCAATCATTTTCAATGAAACTTTAACGGCGAATACTGAGAAAAAACAAATTATCTTCTCTTTTAGCCCCCATAAACGGAGCTCTTGGGAGAAAAGCGAAAATCATCATTCAGTTGATCCTATGAACTGTTTCACAGGATCAAATGTTTGCCAAAAACGAACCAAACCATGTCTCATTTTATGCGAGGCAACATTCTAGAAGTTGATTTGAAACGACCTGGACGGTACACGGAACTGACAAACACTAAGAACTAAGAATATAAGAACTAAGAACTAACAAAAACTAAGAATATGAAATAACTTACATTGAGAAGAGTGATGACTTTCAACTGCATAACCTTGTCTTCTCGGTTTTTCTCGAACGCAGTGCTGAAAACATCCAGTCCTCCAGCAGATATAAGTCGTTTCTGAGCCTCCGGAAATTGTCTGACAAGGCTCGAGAGAGCATACATGGCTCGTTTTTTGACAAGTTCAGATTCATCCTGCTTTATCACTCGCAGCAACGCTTCGATCAACCCGACCTCTAGAGCAGCGATCTGCACTTTTGGATTACTTTGCAGCGCAGATCCGGCAAGAAATGCCGCAGCTGCCCGAACGTCAGCATCCGTTGAATTCAAAGATGGGAGCACAATGCGTTGAAAACCACCATCACTCGCAAAATCACGGGCAGTATCAAACCGATGAACATGGAACTCTATTTCTTCCAAAACAGCAGCAATGCCCCGAACGTGTTTTCCTGCCTCGTTTTTCTTGAGCACCTCATACTCGGAAACCAGGCCATCCAGAACTTCATAATCAGTTTTCAGCTTGACCTGAGGAGATTTTACAAAATTTCGTAGAAGCTACATTCCACACTCGAATTCCGTCTCGATTGCATTACTTTGAATGAGTCCAGGTCTTCCTTCAACTTTTCGTAACTACGGAATTTATTTTTGATCTCAGCCATGTGTTCCGAGTTTTCAGACTTGCTGTCATCATTACCACTAGGCATTTTTCTCATGGCCTCAACGAGCTCTTCGTGGGTGAACGTCCTCGCATCACGAGCTTCATCGACTGGGTGCTCCGATTTTTCAACCGGGATTGAGGCAACAGACCCTCCTGAACGATTCTCACTTGGGTCCAGTAACTTGGCTTCTCTCTTACCGGTCGTCATGTCGATCCTGACATGAAGTCCTCGAGGTATCGCTTGACCTTCGTTGAAAATAAAAGTGTAAAAAATTCAATGTGCCCAATAAACACAAGAAGCGCGTACCTGGCTGGATTTCCTGCCACTCAGAGGTTGCAACGAACGAATTAGCCTCACCAGAATCAGACTTCTTGGTATCAATATTTACGTTGACCATAGCATTCGCACAATCATATAAGCTCCCGAATAAAAGGAAGAACACTAACGCCGGCCGCATCTTGCCTTCACATCAAATTTTGTTCAGCTTAATGTCTGAATATGAATAAAAAATTACCCAATGTAACGCAAATACCGAAAAATTATCAGAGGAGCCAGTTCTACGCTGGCTGCTTTATACGGTGGAAAAAAGGCATCACTGTTGATCATCGTACAACCGGCGTCACTCTCCACCGACAGACGCAATCACACGTGTAGTAGATGTGAACAGCATCACTAATTTTCCCGCCTTCGCATTCGTGCATGGACGGCGTCAGAGGCTGCTCATACAGAACACAATCGACATTTATTTTGGCCCGTAAAAACTTAACTGCCCATGAACCATATTTTTATTTACTGCATGCTGGTGGGTTCGATGTTTCTACCTCCGTGTACATGATGTTGGCATCACAAGTCCGCATAAAATAAATAAAGAAACACTTAATGGCCCTCATAATTATTTTTGTAGTGTTATAACCGAGCAGACCGCGCTCAGTACTGTATAATTCTGGAAGGGCTTTCAATACAAGAACCGTTTTTGGTTGGAATGACATTTTTTTTTTGGGAGCATACATGCGATTGCATGGAGGGGGGGGGGGCGTTATATTAAAAGGCATATACTGTATACCTAGAGGTCTATTACAAGCTATTATAAATTGTGCATCGATGTCTGGAACAAATCATCATGCTACAATTAAGGAATGCTTCTATTTGCTGAGGTGTCATAATTTAGAAAATGTGTCAGCTATCTTGATTTATTTTTTATGCTTAACCATCACTTCGCATTTGGCGTCATCAAAAGCTGAATTCCCATCTGAATGTTAATCTTGAAGCGGCCTGTGAGAGAGACCTTCCCTCTGAAAAATCCACACTTCAGTCATAAACCGGATGTTCGATCATCATCAGCCAAGTATCCATGCGATTGTCACGCCGTTGATGTGGTGTGGCAGGCAGGATGCACTCTACCGTCAGTTCGTACTCTAGAGTATCTCCCAGCAGGGTGTCTGGATGTGTGTTCTCCAATGTTCGCAATGCTGCCGTCCAGCGGATCTATTCAAATCTGCGTAGTGAGGTTCAACAGTGCGCTTTTACGCAGAGGCTTTTGTGGTGAAAACTTACGCGGTGGTTCATTCAGCAAAATTCAGAGGAAAGTCAATTCCGTGATGATTCTAGAAACGTTGTTATCTTTGGCAGATAAAATGTTTAATTCTGCTGAAATCGATTTGTACAGCAGGCCGTTTACATACCACAATGACACAAAATAATGTGCAAATTTTATTTTGAGGAGTTAAAGGCTGGTAAAATATTGTTTTTGATATATTTTCTAGTTGCATTAATTGTAAATTAGGCTAGGGAAATACAGTTAAAGCATAGCAAAACATTGTTCTCATTATGCATGTTTTCTAGTTGCATTCATTATAGAACAATTTTGTACCATGCTTTATAATTACTCCTCATAATGAACTTTGCACACATTGTGTGTCATCATGGTCTGTACAAGGCCGGCCTTGTGTGAAAATATATTTCCTTGGAATTCAAAATTTTCTCTGCCGAAGTAAGCACCGTTTCAAGAATCACCACTTTACAGTATTAACTTTCCTCTGAATTCTGTGGAATGAACCACCGCATTGAAGTGCTTACTATGGAAACGCCTCTGCAGAACTTCACTCCACAATGTGGACCACTCCTCCGTCATGTGGAGTATGCTGTGCTTGGGGAGTATGCCCTGCCTCCTACACCTTCGCCCATGCCCTGGGAGTTTACAGTAAACTTCAATTTCACCACCTTGAGGATAATGCGGTTATTTTTGGCGGGTATCTGTCCTTTGTACCTTTGTACCCCCCCCCCCCTCCCTTTGTGAGACACTGTTTGCGGCCTACATCGCGTGAAGTGCACCAGCGGGATCACCTCGGGTTCGAACCTCTCGAGAGCTGTCGATCTGCCTGCGGAATGACGTCATTATCATTTGTGAATTAACAATCATTGAGCACTTGTTGCATATGTCCTCGATGTGAGATGAATTGTCTTATCTATCTAAGAGATTAAAGCGTTAAATGAGTTGGAAATGTTAACTCTCGGAAGTGGTTTTCGGATTCACTGTGCCGCTCGGCGGAATTTTGTTGATCGCGCGACTAAATCCGAACATATGTTATTGACTAATCCCTTTTATTTAGGAATATTTATTTCGTATCAGTTTATAGTAATTTTTAGCCATCATGTCTTCCATTGAACTTCAAGAAAGCTCATCAGAACCTTCTAGTCCGGCTGTGATGGCAAATCAGAAAAAATCCTCAAGCGTTTTCAGTCAATTGTCCCTCATGAAGCAGGTCAGTACGCATTGCCTGAACTGATGATACTTTTCTTGGTGCATTCGCTTTGCCATGTCCGTACTTTTTTTTGAACGTATCTTTATCTATTCAGGATTTGACAGGGTTTTTGGTCTACGCCATCATCTGCGCTGTTCTCGGTATGTTCCAGTTCGGCTTCAACACTGGAGTGATCAATGCTCCACAGGATGTGGGTATAGAATAAATTCAGTTCGAAAATAGTACCAGAACTTCATTTTCTTTACTTTCAGTTGATCAAGTCGTTCATTGCGGATATTTGGAAGGATCGATATGAGAAAGACATAGACGGAAGCAAACTTGATTTTTTGTGGTCTGTGGCAGTTTCAATCTTTGCTATCGGTGGTATGATCGGAGGATTTTCTGGAGGTTTTGTCGCTAACCACTTCGGAAGGTGAATTCCAATGTCGCGAAAAAAGGAAATAATACTCATGGCTTTTCTGATCGACTCTCAAAGGCGAGGTGGCTTGCTCATGAATAATGTTCTTGGTGTCATTGGTGGTTGCCTCCTGGGGTTTGCGAAGAGCGCCTTTTCTTACGAGATGCTGATATTCGGACGTTTTCTGATCGGCGTGAATTGTGGTATGGCTGATGATTTTGAGAAAGTACTTGAGTCATTGATTCATCGAAAATTTCCTTAGGACTCAATACGTCTCTAGCCCCGATGTACATCAGTGAAATATCTCCGTTGAATCTACGCGGTGGACTGGGTGTTGTGAATCAATTAGCTGTGACGATCGGACTGCTGCTGTCTCAAATTCTCGGCATTGAACAGATTCTTGGAACTGCCAGCGGATGGCCCATTCTCTTGGGTCTAGCATTGTGTCCTGCAGTTATTCAGTTGGTCCTGTTGCCTATGTGCCCCGAGTCCCCGCGTTACCTACTAATATTGCGAAATCGGGAGGACGACGCTCGAAAAGGTTGCCGTTCAGTCATGTACTTGTGCGAGAAATGAAGCGTAAAATTCATGTGTCATTATGCAGCATTGACGCGATTGAGGAATTCATTGGACGTCGAGGATGATCTCCAGGAAATGCGCAAAGAAGAAAGGATTCATTCGCAAGAGCCAGAGGTATCAATGATGAAGTTGATCACATCGAAATCGCTGCGAATGCCGCTCATCATCAGCGTTATTATGCAGCTATCGCAGCAGTTATCTGGGATAAATGCTGTGAGTGCCATGATTTTCAGTGTTTCATCACAACTGTCGCTTATGTTATTCATCTCCGCAGGTTTTTTATTATTCCGTCGGTTTTTTCGAAAGTGCTGGGCTGTCAGCTTTGGCTGCTCGAGGTGCCACAATAGGAGTCGGTGCGGAAATGGTGATAATGACGATTGTGTCGATTCCGCTGATGGAATCGGCTGGACGAAGAACTCTTCACTTGTTCGGTTTGGGGGGAATGTTTATATTTTCTCTGTTCATCACGGTTTCGCTTCTTCTGCGCGTAAGTTACGTTTGTTTAAAAACGCTCGTTAATGTTTTGATCCAGAACCTCCCAAGATTTATTTAAGGAAAATGTCCTTCCAAACTTGTGACTTCAAAGTTTGATGATTGATCAGATGAAAGAATAAGCCGCGAAATTTAATTACGAATTATTAAAGAATATACCGTAAGTAATTTTTTTTTTAATTGCGCCACGGATCAGAAACATAAGTTGCAGTATGAAGAATCACGTACGAGTACCGAGTATAAACGGTTTTATTGCAGATTTCCGGGAAACCTTCAACTTTAAATAAAGTAAATTGAACTAAAAATTGAAAAAAAACTTCATGTTATTTTAATTCTTTGGATCTTCCTCGAATCGGATAAAATATAAATTTACCGCACTTCATACATTTCCTCTTGCTTTAAACTGCCTGACTCAATTGAATTTTTTCGTTTGAAATAATGATCCCGTTGTGACATTCCTGCTAATTATGATTTTCATGTTCTTTTTTTACGAACAGAATGTGATCATTTGACACGTATCCGTTGATCTCATTCACCGTCGTCATCCTCTTCTTTTCAGGCTACAATGGAATGGGCAAGTTACTTATCAGTGATCTGCACATTATGCTTCGTGGTATTTTTTGCTGTTGGACCTGGCTCAATTCCATGGATGATAACTGCTGAACTTTTCTCCACTGGCCCGCGACCAGCAGCCATGTCAATTGCCGTGCTGATCAATTGGCTTGCAAATTTCGCCGTTGGAATTAGCGTGCCTCCGTTGCAGCGTTTGTTGGAAGACTATACTTTTGTTCCCTTCACCGTTCTTCTTGGAGGATTTTGGGTATTTACCTACATGTTTGTTCCAGAAACCAGAGGCAAAACGTTCGAGGAAATCTCGAGACTTTTCCGACGCGATGAACCTAAGACAAGGTGAGTTTTTTTTTTAGTACATTTAGATTCGATTGGGTACTACGCATGTTGAAACGCAGTCCGTTGCATGTCTTGCTTTTTTCTGGAATTCCTAACCTTTGCCCGTGACAGTGATATCCACATAGTGGTTCTCACATTTTCACGATTTCTTCGTTTGTTTTTTTCGTCGTTGCTTGCGTATGCCATGGATGTCTGTGAAGCAGTAAAATATTGGACGAAGTAAATTACGGTGCAACTGTGAATTCCGTAGCCGAAGGCAAGAGGAACCAAGGTTATGTAGCTGATGAACGATCCACTGTTCTTCAGTCTTGAATATTGAGGAAACATCATCTTTGTACTGTTCCGGAGCATTTTGGTTGTTAAATTTTGAGGATTCTGGTACTTTTTTGATTGAAACCAATTCCCGTTGATCCTGATGGTCATTGTTACGGAGAATCTTCAGATTGTAGCAGTATTTGATTCGTGGACTCTAAGAGTAAGGCTCAACTAACGCAGTTATAATTCTTTGTTTTGTTCTTGTTGACGCTTTTCAGGGTATCCCCGAATTATTTTTTTTATTGTATATAGGTTCGTGTCGGAATTCATTTTCATCAAATCTCCCGGTTTGCTTATGGTCATGTTGACAGAAATCAGTCATGCGCTCAAATACCTGTAAACGAGTCGTGAGAAGCAAGTGCCATTTTTTTAGGGGTTTCTCGTTGAATATGAATATTGTGTATGAAATTCTCTTCCCCTAGCAATTTTCCCATGAAGCGTAAATTTTAATAAAATCGGATCGATGCGAATGGGTCTGCATTCATGTGACGGAAGGGAATCAAAGTATACTTTATGCAAGCTTGCGTGATCTGGATGTGCACTCGTGCAGTGACTTCAAATGAATGGATTCGTGACTCGGTGGGAATCCTGTTCGTGCATGGTTATTTTTCTACGTATTGATTGTGATGGACTGTGTGGTCGTATTTTTATTGAGGACCTTTTCGAGGCTTTCGGGATTGTTTTTTTTTATTGCATTTTTTGGGATTCAAAAAATATGAAGTTATATTTTCGTGGTTCAGTATTTCTTTATTCAGTTTGAAAATTTACTATGCAGGTTTTTCATCGTACGGTTTTTTTTTTTTTTGATTTTTGAAACATTTCTGTGAAACAGGTTCAGCGTTCTTCTTCAGTCTTGGTACGGTTCCTACCCACGTGTTCGAAGTGACTGCGATATGGACTTCGTGATATTCGCGCCTGTGCTACGATTTGAGTGATTAATTCGATGTCTCTTCGGCTCTATTTTTCAAATTGTTACATTTTGAGCGGGAATAGTTCGGTGATGAAAATGTAGCTCTTAGTAAACTTTTATTACATTTTTTGAAAATTCTTCAGGAGGGTCATTTCTTCCTCGTCAGGAATTCGTTGTTTGCTTCTGTTGCCGTTGAGGCTTTCTGTGTTCGCGCTTGTCCTACTCCATGGTTGTACGAGAGTAACTTGATCTTGTTGCGATGGCTGACAAACGTGCTTCAAGCGGAATTCTGTCACCTAGCCGCAAAAGTCGTGTGGATCTTCTGGATAAAATTGAGGATGGGCTTTATCTCGGTAGCCTGGCCGCTGCTTCGGATATCGTTTTGCTTTCTAAAAACAAAATTAATGCTGTCCTGACGCTTGATGTATGCCCCATTCCTGCAAGAATAATCAAGTCACTTAAGCACTACAAGTTTGTTGCTGGTGAGTCCAAAATCAGCGCAACCGGGTTTGCTATTCTTCATATTTTTGTAGCAGGAAATTCACGAAGCTTTTGTTACTTTCGTATGTAATCCTCGTAGCGTTACGTTTTTAAAGTTGATGTAATTTTTTCAACGTCCAAGTACTGTTGTTAGGATCGTCGCATAACTTCTTGTCAATTTGCATATGTCGCTAGAATAGAATTTGAAAGTGAAAATCTGAGCTCGATCAAGCGAAGGTGAAAATATCCTTTTATGCTGTTATTGTTAAAACCGTGAAAGTACATTTTTATGACGCATGCGTATTTATATTCTTAAATCTATTAATTTATTTTTTAGTTTGCGACACCGTGAAGGACAACCTACTCAGCCATTTTCAAGAATGCGTCGCTTTCATAGACGAGTCCCGAAAAACTGGCAATGTTCTTGTGCATTGGTAAATACAACATCGACAAGTTTCGTTTTTTTTCAGATTTAATTTCTAAATTTATTTTTTTTAGTTATTTCGGCGTTTCGAGAAGCAGCACGGTTGTAATCGCGTATATTATGGCCAAAAATAAATTGGGCGTCGATGACGCGATGCTTCGTATTGTGAGCTGTCGTCCGTGCGTGAGTCCTAATCAGGGCTTCTTGGCTCAGTTGAAACTGTACGAAGAAATGGATCATCGCGTTGAATTGAAAAATCTGCGGTTCAAAATATTTGCCATGTCTACTGCTGCGGATAATCTAAAAAAGGGCAAGGATTTCACAAATTTTACGCCGAGGAATTTAGTCAAGTGTTCTAAATATTGCTTCTTTCTTCAATAGAACGAGGGATTCCTAAAATTCTTGCCTCAATGATCATGCCGGATCCTGCGGAAATTCTCTCGACCAGTGATCGTGAAGTTGGGCCTCTGTACTTATACCGATGCGTTTCTTGCAGGTTTGAAAGACGTAGAACCTTTTTGTTTTACCATGTTCATTGAGAAGTGAGGCAGTTGTTATTTAAAATTTTCTCCAGTTAACGCAATTAATTCATAAAATTTATTTGGTATGTTCTCAAGACCATCAAAAAATACTGTACTGTGCAATAATAGTCTGATTTTCACATTAGAAAATATCGAAATGCATGAAGATTGAAAAAACTCCATTCCATGCTCAAATTATATCGCACTACTTTCCGTACTGACTTTTAAAATTAACTTGAGGTGACTCATGATCTGTACTGACTGTACTGAGAATTTATTGATTTATATAGCTTAGCGCTGGTTCTTTTTAATGTAGGAAATTTTTAAATTGAGGGTTTTGAAATTTTTTTGTCTTGCTCATAAATGGGTCATATTTTCAAGGAAACACGGTAATTGGCAAAATGTGCGTGATCCAAAATCGCACTGCCAAAGGATGAACGCCAACTTCTTTTTATTTATTTTTTAATCAGGAGAGTTTTGGCGACTGAAAGAAATGTGATTCCCCATATGCGGAATCAGAAACATTTGTGGACAGATGCACGTTTTAATGATCTTTCTGAAGTGGAGAACCTCATTTGTCGTCGGGGATTATTCTTGGAACCGATTGCTTGGATGCGTGACGCATTCAATACTCTTCAAGGCAAACTCCACTGTCCTAATTGTAATGCGAAATTGGGATCTTTCACCTGGCTTCTTGGTGAGTTTTTTTTCACTATACAGGTGGTACCTCGCAATTCGACCTCCTGCTATTCGACTGTCCCACAATTCGACTGTCAAATTTGCAGGGGTGGCCAATTTTTTCGCGTTTTTGCATTGATATTTTTTAATTTAATGAAGTGTCTCGCAATTCAACTGCTTTGCAATTCAACCCTAGTTCGGCTACGGGTTAGGGTTGAATTGCGAGGTACTTTCTGTATAATGCTGTTAATGTGTTGATCTTTTCGTTCGTTTTCATTTTTCCCTGATCGGTTTCAAGCCCTGCTCGACCCAGCGCGTACTGTACTGTATTTGTACCATACCGTGAAGGGAGTCGAATAACACGGTTTCAGTAATTTCATCCTAGTATGACTTGTATTATCTGTGCTAGTAACCTGAGTGGTGATCAAAAGTTATGGACAGTGAATGTTGAAAACATTTTGACGATGACCTGACGTAATATTCCTAACTTTCCCTTGAATCAGATTTTTTTTTAATACATTAGTAGAAATGTAATTCAAGTTTGAAAAGCCAACCATCGAGAAAAACTGATGGAAACAGGATTTCAAGTACCAAATTCCCTTCTAAATTCAAATCTGGAGGAAAAAGCAGATGACGTTGAATTACTTCCTTTTTTGTCTGATTTAGTCAACGTCGGTCACGCTTAAGCGAAGACTGGATTGCTCGTTATCTGTATTTAAGAATACGTTTATGTGCGAAAAAAACGCTTATGATCTCCTATGCATGAATTCACGTCTAGTATTCCTTTTTTTTTGTGTAGGCGTATCGTGTTCGTGTGCCACGCACATCACACCAGCGTTTCATGTACAACAGAAGAAGGTGGACAAAATGATGTATAATCCTGTGCAACATTCTGCGTCAATGCCTGTGCTGAGTAGTATGCAGACTGCACAATCACCAGATCTGGCGGATGTTCCCGCTTTGTCCAAGAATAAAGTTGCCCTTGAATCAGGAAGTTCTGTTGACCCTCCATCTGTTCCAATTTCTGATGAGACGGACAATGCTTCGAACCCGAGCAGTCGAGATGAGGAAAACGATGAAAACATCTGTGATTTAGAGGCTTTGGAAAATGCTCTATTGGTGAGGCTGTTTACTTTATTTCGCATGTCAAATTGCTGAAAGAGGGGATTTAGTGCACATTCTCTTTGATTATATTCGCGCTAAATTCCGTCGCGCATCTCTGTTGCTCTAATGAGTTTCCTTATGAAAGCTGGGAAAGGTGTATTTGATAATAATTGAAGCTGGGGCGATTGCTATGTCGAGAAAGATAACCATCAATTCATCATAGATGAATCTGCTATTTGTGTTGCAATGGAATTTTTCACATCTTTGCAGGCGTGTGAAGGTGAAAACTGCGATAGTACCAAGATGGCTGTAGAGGAATTTGGTGCTGACTGATCCAAGAGAGCGTTTATCGCCTTTTCTGCATTGTTCGTAGTTTGTATTGTTGGCAATGCATTTATTTATGTTTTTAGTCTCGTAGAAACTTAAATTCTCGTTTCAGTTTCGGTTTCCGTTATTTTTTTGGTTTCAGCTTATTCGACACCAAGCATCTATTGAAAATGTACTGTGCTGAAGAGTGTTGGTTGGCTACCCTGCGAAAAGCCTTTCAGCAGGTGATGATTTTGATACTGTTCCGGATCTCATCCTCCATGAATAGTACACCGTGGGGGACACATCGGAAATACGAAATTCGGAGTGAATTGGATCGTGTGGTGCTACACTATATAGAAGAAGTGATGTGTGCTGATCTCACTTTCTAAGAACTTTTTTTTCTACTTTGGCAGAAGTACAGTAGTTGGAACTTTAAATTCCCATTGAAATATCGGATAGAAATTCGAGAACTGTGATTTTACTGTGAATGGTGTCAAACACTGGCATTGCACAAAACTCCGTTTTGACTTTGAAAGTTTTTCCGTGGTTGGTGTAGTCAATCATGAGTAATCACAACCCACCACGACGTAGTTTTCTTTTACGCATCACGCTTATATCGTAAGCCGTAAGAGCGGTGATAATTTTACGTTATTTGTATGGAAGCCGATCAAATTGTTTTCTAGAATCTTCCGCACGTGTGTCATTTTTGTGGAATACCCTTCCTTATTTGTACTTCGAAGGACTGCTACTTGTCCTGGCTGTCATCGTATATGGATATTCTGTGAAGCATTTTCCAACATTTCTGACTCGTTCAAAGCCCCTTCTAAAATCGTTTTTCATGATTGTCTTATCAAGCTCTATTTAGAATCAAATTGCTAATGGATGAGTTATCAAACTAAAGTTCTACGGCGGAGTGCATCGGTCATTCACTTTGTGTCCGTGTCCAAAAGTATAAATTTCTTGTCGTTATTTTCTTTTTCATGAACTCCGGACATATTATCTCCCGTCTATAATTTTTGTCCCCACTTCTTGAGCCAACTTGGTCGACGGTTTTTTTCAATAGTTCTCGGAATTGTCCATGGGATCCCGTGCTATGACAGATTCAAAACATGCTTCAGTTTCCTTTGGTTCATGAGGCCTTTTCTATTTTCTTCAACTCCCAAGCATTGGAAATAAATGCTTGATAAGTAGCATTAACACAATTAAAACGAAGTTTTTCTCTTCAGCCGGGGGATTGAAAGGAAATTGGCTCATCAACTTTCTAATTCAATTGAACGAAAAAATGATTAAAGAAAGGCGGAAACGTTTGTGGTGTAAGCTGTGTATATTGCTCGACTGGTGTAAAAGCCCTCTCAGTTTTACAAAGAAAAAATTCGCCGCCAGTGTGCATTTTTATGTTAGATTTTCTTTTTACGATTTATCTGCACACCCCGACACAAAGAAGAAATTCATCTTCTCGTTGAAATGGTAAATGTCTCTTAAAGCTTAAAGATGAGTTTTTCGAGATGGTATATTGGAATTTGTGCTAATTTTCAACTGGATGAGCCGCTCCCTAGATTGAAAAATAAGCACATTGCCCGTGTTTGCTTGCGGAATCCGTCGAATTGCATGAATATGGATGAAAATTGGCTGACAGATAAAATTGTTGCTTTAGGCAGAATAAATTTTTTTTACAGATGTAGGAGTTTACTGATGTTGTATGCCATTCGGAAATCCTGTTGTACATAACGTATTTTATCAAATTACTTCTTTGGATTCGGCAGTCCCACGAAGGAGTGAAGGTTTTTGGAACCATACTGACTCTCTCCGTGAAATTGCAGTACATATTCATTTCATGATGTACATACACAAATCGTGAATGTCGAAAGCCTTCTTAAATCGAGTTTTTTTTTTATTCTTCGGGATGTCCGTTTGTTATTAATCTTAGGACGAGTGGTCCTTCTTCAGGCAATTTTCTGCGTTCAAGTAGGTATATGCAGTGTAGGAGGTACAATGATACTAAGATTGTATTTTTATGGAACGCACATTTTGTGATAGCCGACAAGAAAATTTCCTTCCCAGCACTACCGATCGCGATTTCAAGGGAAAGAGAACGTATTTAACGGCGGAGGCAACAATTCCGACTTCAGAAACGCACTGGAAACATTCTGCTTTCGTCGAGATCAACCGTGTGTGAGCACTGCGATTTCAATACTGTACCATTGTACGGTTCTACCTACCTTCGTAGTGCTGTGTTGTTGAAAATGTTTTCTAGAATAAAAGAAATATTGTGCTGTACAATATATATATATTCATGTTCACCTTTCCGGAACGAAATTGGATTCCGGAAAGTGTTTCTCAAACTTCACGTATTCGAGCCTCTCCGCCGCTTAATCAGACTTTTCTTTCTAAATAAATTGTACGTTTCCTTCTCTGCGCTAGAAAATTATTTATTCTAGTTGTTTAACGATGAATACTTGTGGTAAGCTTTGGTTTCAAATTTTCGAATCAATGTCTTGTTTCCCAGGAGGTCTACGCTTTGGAATTTACGTGAACGCTTGAGCTTCATGAATGCAGTAAATAATGCTTTAAATTTGTTTCAGAGCTTAGCGAACGTCACGCACGAATGGGTTTTATGCGAAAGCATTTTGCTACGTTTCCTATTCTTCGAAAAGACGCATCAAGGCATTGTAAATCATCGGTATACAGTATGCATCGTAAAGAAGAGGAGAGTAGTTCACGATGGTTTTCATTCGAACAGGAGTGTTTTTGTGGTGTGTACGTTTCAACTTTTGATTCACTGTGCATTTTTAGAAGTGATGTGTTGAGTTCATGCTGTACGCGTCACGCAAGACGTAGTTATATCCCTGTGTGTGGATCGTAATCTACTGACGTGTGTAGAAATCTTTGAGTAAAAATTCAGATTTTTCATCGAAATTGGACGTGCGTGGAGACGCCTTGAATGTAATTGCCGATGGACAATAAGGCGTTCGGAATCCTATGCGAAAGAAACGGATATTTTTTAACTTACCGCGTTTCAATGTTAGGGAAATTTGATCCTTCGTCGTAGTTTCCGGGCATTGAGGCAAATCGTACTGTGATTCAAAAAAATTTCTGTTCTTTCCTCTAATTACGTTCTTTCATTTAATGTGAACTTTTGGAATTCCGTATGCCTGGTGTTGCCCGAAAATAAAGAATTCGTTCTTTTTCCTCAGCTTCTACATTGAATTCATCAATCGTCTGTGCTTCTCTTTTTAAGGTTTTTTAATGCATGAACAGTAGACAGTTCAGAAATTGCGTACTCCTGCCAGGATATGGCTGCGCGGATTCTATGTATGAGCTGTTCTCCCATGTCACCATGTATAGATTACATGTTGTATGAAGTAAAGAACATGACTTCTATTTGTTTCAGGGAAGGTTTCCAATTTTTATTCAATGGGAGAAGTGGCTGAAAATGTTTTCATTGAAGTCCATGCTGGTAAAACGTAATACGAGATGTAGACTCCCCAGTTGGATTAGTATACAGTAATATAATTATGTCTGCATCTTTGGGACTCCATCGTAATTCATAAGTGGCATCGGCAACACGGGTTGTGATACCCTTGGGGTAGGCAGATTATTTAATGGGATCTGGCGATTGACACAGATACAGTACTGTGATCATATGCTGCACAATTGTACCATACAGTACTGTATTTCTGTCCTGCAAAAGGAAAGGGAGTTTCCAGGCATCCCATATAGAAGGGTTAGCGGAGGATGTGTGTACAGACTTCTTAGTTACACATCATCCCAGTCGTGACGTCCACTAGCAGAAAGGCGCGGAAGTGAGCGACGGTGAATTGAAACTATGCTGAAATGCCCCAGCACCCATCCCAACACAGCAAGGAGTTTTTAGTGCAGTTCGATTTTTGTGGGAGGAGTGAGTGTGTCGTAGTAAGTCCGTCTACTTACGTCTAAACACGACATCTAGCGGACAAACCCGGCAACCACTCCTCACGTCCTGAGAGCCCACGCACAGAAGCTTATCTCATGGCAGATCAGCGGAGTCTCGGGAGCGGATCAAGCGGACGATGGAAGAGTGATCATTCTGTTCTGACGATTTGACTTATCATCATCTATTCTTATCTGTGACCTTTACCTGACGTCGTGTCTGAAGTTGTGATATTAAACTGTGTGCCTGAAAGCTGTGGTCGAAGTCTCTACTCTGGATAAAACCCTTACCCTGTCTACTGTACTTGATCTCATCCGCGACCGCCCGTGACTGTTGTGTCTTCACTGAGTGTCGACAAGAAATAGATGTCGTGTTCGTGAAGAAGAGGTCGGATTTAATAGCAACCTTATTACACCGTACCGTCCACACCGGTTTGGCTAGCTACATTTGAAACTTATCTTGTTGCCGAAGTAAAATGTAATTGTACCGATTACGTGGTTGAGGTTTGCCCTGATTGAATGCGTGAAATTGGCTGCATTAGAACACACGTTGGTTTATCTTGCTCTTTTACGATCTTCAGGTTTTTTCGTCTGGTATCCAATACCTACAACTTCGCGTAACCATGCAATCCGCTCCAGTGATCATCGTGAGTGAAGGCTTTGCCTCTAAGACGTGGTATGGTCGTAATTTTTCTCCAATGTCATTTCTTCAGGCAAGAAGACTTGCAACTACCACCGCCATTTCTACGCGGCGGATGAGCAATGTTCATCCCGGCTACAAGCAACTGAAGGAGACTCAGAAACAGTGGGCGGTAAGACATGCACGTTGCGATTGAAAAAGAAATCCTCTTCTAACAACCACGTTATTGAGCAGTATGGCGATGGAATTCCCATCCACATCAAGGGTGGCACTAAGGATAAGTTCCTGTATTTGAGCACTCTCGGCTTGACTGGTATTGGGCTCGTCATGGTCGGACAGATTTTCTACAATTTGGTCTTCCCCTCCAAGAGAGCCTGAAGTGTGATTGCTGATTCGTTTTAGTGTACCGATTTCGACAAGTCTGGTGACTTAGATTTCAGTCTGTGCAATTAGCCGATTTTCTGATTATTACCTTATCGATGTCGTCTTGGCACGATACAGTTTGAGTTCTGTATGATATGTGTTCGGTGATTTGAACTATTCTCATCGTTCATCGGTTAATGAAGATATCTTATTTTATAGGCGAACGATTATCACGAAGTATCTCCTGAATTGTTGTCCTTGATGTGAGGTAAGTTGAGCGGATGGTTTCTGACGTGCTGATCTTGAAAACAGTTCGGAATATCGCACAGCAGATTTTAGAGAAATGATCGACAGATCAATAGGCCAGTTTCAGTGTGTACAGTGAGTAGTGTACACTTCTTCGAGTCCTTTGGGGCTATTTATGTCGGTCTAGTTGAGTCTGAGCTTTCCTGGTATTTTGAAGAAGATAACCCAACAAAAATATTAATGAGTTAAAAAATTAAATTTACTCCCTGCGTTCTAATGATTGATACCTACGAAGAGGACGGCCGTTGAGGTGTTCATCGCTCTTGTTCGAAGAATTTTAGTGTAGCATGGATGTGATACAACGACTGGACCTGCTACTGTTGTGCATAGTAATCGTGCACCTTTCGGTTTGTCCTTTCACGAAAGTGGAAGAGAGTTTTAATCTGCAAGCCGTCCACGATATTTTGTATCATCGTGAAAATGTTTCGCGGGTGAGTGTTGAATTCACTCGGCATTGAAAGCTCGATTACCCTGTATAACATTCCAGTATGATCACCATGCATTTCCTGGTGTTGTTCCGAGAACGTTCATCGGGCCTTTGACACTTTCTGTCGTTGCCAGCCCGTTCATTTTTTTGGCGCACCGTTTCCATGCAAGCAAGTTTTACTCACTTCTTTTGGGTGAGTTCAGATGCCGTCGGTTATTTCTACGCATTTTTACGATTTAATTTCTTCTGCAGTGCGTTCAGTGCTTGGGGCATTCATCCTAGGGAGTCTTAAGTTGTTCCGCATGAGTGTGAACAAACGCTTCGGAAGAGAAGTTGCAACATGGACGACAATCCTGTGTCTTTCTCAATTTCATTTACTTTTCTATGCTTCAAGAACCTTGCCGAACGTGTTCGGCCTGTGTCTTGCAATTTTGGCCCTTCATTATTGGCTCGATGATGATCTCAAGAAATTCACTCTCGCTTCTGGTGCTGGAATCATCTGGTTTAGATCCGAGCTTGCCCTTTTGTTGGGTTTCTATTTGATGAGTAGTTTACTGGAGCATCGAATTAGTATAGGCAGGTAAGAGGTTTTCGTATTCGTTCATTTGAAGGTGTAACTTCTGGCTATATTCTTTTCAGATTGCTGAAAATCTGTGTTCCTGCCTTTCTTGTGCTAACCACTTGTACAGTGATGGTGGATTCTTTCTTCTGGCGACGATTTGTCTGGCCCGAAGGCGAAGTGTTTTGGTTTAATACAGTACTGAACAGGTCCGCCGATTGGGGTGTAAGTGTTCCATGTTCAAGAGACTGTTGATGATGGCTGCAGTATGACTTCTCTTGTATATTGCAGACATCCCCCTTCTTGTGGTATTTCTACTCGGCTTTACCCCGTGCAATGGGAGCAAGTTTTTTTTTCATTCCTTTTTGTTTGTTCGAAAAAGATATCAGGCGCTTTGTTCTACCAGCGCTATTTTTTGTACTGGGCTTCTCCTTCTTGCCCCACAAAGAATTGAGATTTATCATTTATGTTTTACCGATTCTGAACGTGGGTGTGGCTAGTGTATGTGCACGTGAATGGAAATCCTTGAAACGGTTTCAAACGAAATGGATCGGACTCATGTGCTATGGCCACGTTTTCTTGAATCTAGCGTTGAACGTATTTCTGCTTTTCGTGTCGAGCCAGAATTACCCTGGTGGCATTGCCATCCAGCGTCTGCATGAGTTGGTCAAGCCAGACAAACCATATAACATCTACATTGGAAATCTAGCCGCTCAGTCGGGAGTTTCGCGATTTTTGGAGACAAATGTCCTCTGGAGGTAAGCATTTTTTCCTTTGAAAATAAATGCAGGTTTCAGACTTCCTGGCTTCCTCGATGTAATAGTTTCCTGTGAATGATTCATCGAAAAATAACTCATGGGAATATTAGCTGGGAGAAAAGCGTAATGTGAAATGCGCAGCTCTTTTTCTGCTGTAGAATGATGTGAAACTTTGGTCCGGAACATCTCGGAAGATAACTAAACGTGTTCTAATAAATCATCTTGGATTTTTTTGAGTAGATCTCTTTTGAAACGCTTATATCCCGGATAGGTACGACAAAACGGAAAATTTGTCTGCCGCTGAGATGAAGAAGTTCTCTTTCCTGCTTCTCGAGTCGAAGGATTGGGAACAACTTGCAGACGTAGAGGGTTTTTCTTTGGTCGATGTTGTTAGTTGCTTCTCGGAGGTCCACTTCAGCTACAGCAGCTTTCCGCCGGCTGTGATACGGACAAGTCCGTGTATATTTATTATTGAATACCGAGATCCAGATCAGTGTATCGATGCGCTCGCGTGATTCAGTGAAATTTCCACAAAGCGGAATGTGTCCAAGTCATGTACTCTCGCAGTCGAGGAACGTCGTGAAAATTGTATTCTCAGCTATGTTTCTCAAAATTTTCGGGGATCTTCGTTTCGAATAATTTTTTGCTATTCGCTCAGACCTTGATTTGATGTCAGGTTTTCTTCACATGAAATAGGAATAAATCCTTTTGTTATCATGTCTGATTCGGTCTGTGCGTCGCGATTGCTCATCACGGGAATCAATTTGAGTATGATCTGTGTTGCGATGAGTCGTGACGCTAAATGGGCGTGATCGTCGGTGATGGTGGAAGATCAATGCGCGGCAAGCCGGCGATGGACTTGGACTGGTGCCAACAGCTTAGTTGAGGTGAGTAAACTTCGTGGCCGTTCTTACCTCAGCTGCGCGCGATGCTTTGCGACGCGGACATTTTTTTGATACAATACTTTTTGAATGAAACTGACTTACAGTATTTCAAAGCATCTGGAACAATTAAAACAATAGCTGAAAAATTCGCAAAATATGACATTAATTGGCAAGATTATTTTATGATTGATTCGTAAACCCCATTCATTAATGTTTTTTTTGGTCACCAATCCAACATATTCAGTGTTGTTCAGAGGCACCTGAAGCGACTCAAAGAAAACAGTGATCAGAAAGGACTGCGGGATGACATAGCAAAAGTTCTTCGCGAAAAGGATGAATAAATTTGGTTTCCGGCGACTTATCGGCATCGGAATGGGTATTCCGTTGGTACTAACGGTTGCAGCGGTCATAAGGGTCTCTTTCCTACGTAAAAAATGGAGGAGATGGTTCAGGTCGCTGACTTCCACGGCGGGACATTTCGAAAGCTCATGGCATCCAAAAGTGAGTCCAGAATTCGGCGGTGTTTCTCTGGCAGGATTAATGTAATCGATGAGAAACGTTGACTCGTTCCTAATTTTTTTCCTCATCGTTCTCCTGTTTTGTTGACCTCGTGTTAAACAGTATTGACGGCTTGCTCTAAAAGTGACGAAAAATTCACGAATTTCAGAAAAATGTAGTTCAGCGGCAATCACACGTTCGCTGTTCGACAATCGTATGGAACCGAAAGATTCCCTCTCAGACGATGATCGAAACTGAAACCAACGAATGATTTTCGTTTTTGACCAACCATTGGCTCGTCCGTGTGGATGCCAATCTTGACCTGATTCTGTGTAATGAATTTGTCCGTATCAGGCTGATAGCGTGTGAGAAAAAATACCATTTGCCCAATTTACCAAGCTGGAGGATCTCCGTGGAACTTCTTCAAGGAATCGACCAGCAAAAAATTGGTCATTAGAAATATTTTGGCCTGAGTGCTCCCATTCCCTAAATCATTTGCTGACCCATTCATTTGGCTTCTTCCAAAAGCCAAATGGCCAGCTGCTGGAGTCAGCCCAGACCCATTCTTAAACCCATTTTATTGAGGCATTAGAATTGAACCAAATCCTAATGCATTACTGAATGGGTTTACAAATGGGTCTGGGCTTACTCCCAAATGACCTGCATGGATTCCAACTGATTTGCATTTACAGTGAGACCCCCACATGCAGACACCTCGACCTGCAGACAATTTGACATAGGGACACTTATTTTCTAATAAAAAATTAATGAAATAGGCCTGACATGAGGACACTGACTCAACATAGGGATATTTTGTGACAAAACTGCATATACATTTCAGGCCAAATTACAAGAAACATATATTTTCAGCCCTGTAAGAAAAGTTCTTGGGCATTTCTCTCGCCAATTTACCATCCATTTAGCTAATTTTAAAAAAATTACCTCCAGCAGATAGGGACTTCCTTTTCTTTCACTTGAGTGTTATTTTTTTTACAGAGAATGCCAAAATTTCTATGTACTCTACTGAGGTATCAGAATTCAATTCCCCAAATGTGCATATTGTGTTTAAATATATTGATTGGAATCAGTTTAAATTGGGAGATAATTTTTATTTTTATGGCATTATGGTGTGTATTTTGTACATGAAACACCAATTAAAAATTATATAATGTGAGTCTACGGGAAAATGAGACTCAACTTAGGGACATTTCAACTTGGGGACACTCTTGATGCACCAATTACGTCCGCATCTAGGGGTCTCACTGTAAGTATTTGATATGGATAAATACATAGAAACATATATATTTTAAGAATATGTTATATGTGCATGAAATGGAAGTCATGGCATGGGTTTTTTTAATTTATAGAATTCATTCTTCGTGTTATAATTGAATGGCTAATTTTTCATCTTCTTGCATTCATTACAATAAGCCTTATAGTTTATATACTTAAACTGGGCATTCTGTGATGAAATCAAGACAATAAATTATCCATGCAATTTTAATTTTAAAAATTCCACTCAATGATAGTACAGTTGAACCTTTCCAATTTGTGAGGTTTTGAGTTAGGGAGGTTTTTAATACATTGTTTCTACAGGAATCCAGGCAGAGACTTGAAAAAAATTTGAGTTAGGGAGGTATTTGACTTAGGTAGGTTAGACTTAGCAAGGTTCACCTGTATACCAATGCTAATGTGCTCAGTTTAGAATTTTAGTGAATAAATTTACGGTTAAACTACTGAGCTTGATAATGATACAGTCATTATGTAAACAAGCCACAAATAATGAACACTATGTCATGCAAGGCACAAACTAAGTTATTGGGCTGCATTGATTAAATATGTGAAAAACATGCAGATCCAAAAAAATTTCATTTTGCTAGATTGACATTATGAGCAAGAGTCAATAGTAGAAAATTACATTTTTTTCAAAGCAAAGATGCATACAGTATTGCTCTGTGTACTGTATACAATATTTAATGAGAGATGTAACACCAAATAATTTGTGTTTGAACATCTTGTATGCATATACAGTACAGTAGTGTATATGAGGTGTTTTGTATATACAGTGGTACCTCACATGACAAACCCTAGTATAACAAATGTTCTGCTTAACAAACATTTTTTTGGGGAAAGCACCCTTGCAGTTAAAAAAAATGTTGTACTACAAGCAAGGGTTTTTTGTTTGTAGTACAAAAAATTTTTTTTTCTGATCGTGAATGGAAGGGGGGGGGGCGGCGCGCTAGGGATGGAGTGAGATACTTCACCCCACCCTTACCCTTTTCCTGGCATTTTGTCATCCCTTTGGATTATCACATAACCCCACCTCCAGCTATTTGCAGCAGAAATATCAAAACAGCTTTTTAAGACTTGGGTGGTACTGTGGAATACATTTTCAAACTTGAGAGGTGAGACAATTGAAAAAACTACCTTTTCCTGACTTTAGGAAGGAAATCGATTTTCCTTACACACACGAAGAGCTGGTGATTTGGTTCCCCACAAGGATGGAGAGATGATGAGAAAAACAAGGAATGAAGTATATCACTTCCCCCTCAGGTCAAGAAACAATTCCCCTGGCCTGTTCAGCAAAAAATTAAGTAAGGGAAAAGAAAACCTATCTTTCTTTGGAAATATTGTATAATTAAAGTCAAACAGTGTAATCGTGTTGCAAATTCATCTAGTTTTTAAAATTTAGAATCTTTCAACATTTTTAAAATCTCAGAAAAGTTATATATAATTTTAAAAAAACTGTGGAAAAGATGCTAGGAAGAATGTCTAGGGGTAGATATTTTTGAAAAAATTTCAAGACCACCACCAAAGTTTGCGCTGACACTTCCACTAATTTTTTTCTTGTCACTCCTGCTACCACTACCAGAATAATTGTCTTTGCACTACCACTACCAAAATGTTCTTTCCTATTACTACCAGTAGTGGTAGTGATGTCACTGCCAGTAGTGGCAGTGGAAGCATAAAGTAGTGAACTGATTAACAACCCTGGTGTTGTGTAGCTAACAGTTCACAGTTGTGTGTTGTTCATGCTGAATGGGTGCTGTGGGTGACTGACATGTGGAAAATTGAAATATGATAGTTGGATAAATTGGAATTTTAACCTTAGGCACATTTTTTGGACAATTTGAAGACCCATTTCTTTACTGGTTTCATGAATAGTCCACTCCAATGTCAGCACTGAAAATGTAGGGTGCATTCCTTGAATAGTTATCAGGGGCATTCATTTGGACATTAGCTGAATGTTCAATGAACTAGTTCAAAGGTTCTTGTAAGACCATTTTCTGAATGGGCAGGATTGACCATTTATTTTGAAAGGGTTTCACAACTGAAACCCATTTTGTGATTAGGATATATGAACCCAGCACAATGGGTTCATAAATGCTCAAATGTTTTGAGTGCCTCAGTATTGGCAACTGAGGCACTTGTGGCTTCATTGCATCTATGATTGGCAACAGGACCTCTTGATCATTTTTGGTTCTGGAATCTTGAATAAGAAACTAATCTTTCACAACACAAAATGGGGAAATCATCCTCAGCATACTTACAGCCACGTCAATGGACAACATTTTGAGTATTTGTCTCTTTACAAGAGGAGAAATAGCGGCAGAAAAAGTGACTCCCACCCTTTTTTTGAGTATCTACATCCTTGAGATCTAAGAATGAGAGCAGGTTGCGATGAATATGCCATTATGAGGCAATACACCAAGTGATGCAGCTGACGGCCATAGCTGCACCCTTTGCTTAGAGTGCTTACGAGTTTTTTCGTGGTTAGAAAATTCTTAAGATCCTGCTAATGATCCAGCCTACGTTGAACCAAGCTAGACAACTCTAATGCTTCTTGTTCCCGCCATCCTTTCTGATCACTGTCTTCTTTGAGTCGCTTCACGTGCTTCTGAAGAACTCTGAAAAATGTTAGAATGATTGGGGAAAAACATGAATGCATGTTTCACAAATCAAGCAGAAAATAATCTGTGAATTAATCAATTGACATATTTTGCTAAGCATGCGCATACAAGGTATTTACTTGTCTCAGAATTACAATGGAACATAAATAAACCTATTGGTTGGCACCTTGAGCAAGTTTTCATCATTCTTTTCCACGGAGTGTTATCCTAGAAATGATAACAGGACTCTTTCAAGAGTGTACTCTAAAGTCACTCAAATCAATGAGAGGAAGAAGATCATCACCCTTCTCTTCTAGCATGTCTGCTAACAAGAGATTAGAGTGTCTATCTGGAACCCCTCTGAAAGACTCTTGAATAATCTTCCAGGAAACTCCACTTCATCTCTGCATTACAGAGTAACAAGTTTCCCAGCTTGAATGGATTTCCTTTATAAAGGAATTCCTCTAGATGGAGTTTTTGAGTAATACAGTAGATTGATATCCTCTCCCTTCTGTCACCCCTTTTTCATCTGGCAACAATCATTGTGCTATAGCTTTCTGGCTTGACAGATATCAGCATAAAGGATTGCATCACCTTACCACAATTAATCTCCTGTAATTTTATTGTAATCTTGTGGTGATACAACAATGTGTGCCTCTTGCACATTCTATCTAAAAATAAATGGTGATGCAATAGCCCCTTTCCAGCATCATCCCTTCTCTAGATTCTTCCCTGAATTCAGAAGGAAGTAAAGTCTCAGTTCCAGGACACCAGAATCGTTCGGAGTTTTGACAAACATGATCCTGAGCTAGCAAAGGTGAACTTTGGAAACAAACCTCTTAGACTTGAAGAAATCTGGAGTGTCCCTTCCAAAAGTTAAGCCAGTCTCTGGTGAAGACTGTTTTTGTCTCACTGTATGTTTCTCCTAGAGTTTCCACTTGGAACTCTAGTCCTGTGTCACAGCATGTAGTACATAATACTGTACTGCAGATCATACACATTGTGTTTATTGTGCTGTGCAAGTACTGTATTGTGTTTGGGTATAAGAAGAGTTGTGTGGATAAAGATATATTTGAACCATCACTCTTGAAAGTCTTGACTCAGTCCATTTTCATCCCTACCTAGGAATTTGTTGAATACTCCAAATAAAAAAGTAGTGGATTTTATTAAATTGCATGACAAGAGTGTACCAATGCAGCTTAAGGTCAATGTTATTGCTGCATTCCTGACATCACTCTTCAAGGCTTTCAACTCGTTTGACAGGAACCACCACAATCCTTGTACTGTATCTGCTCTTGTACTCCATGTCATCCCGATTGAAATACTTGACCCGGAGAAGTGTCAACCAAAACATAAAAATGAGAACGATCACACTAAAGTATTTTTTTAAATGCTGAGTTGTCCCGTTTTGTGGGATTCTTTGTCATATTGTGAAGTACAGTACAGTACTACTGCAGATAAATGAAAAAAGAAACTCTGAATGTACAGTACTTAGGTTTGAATGCGATATTCTCTTCAGCAAAATCAGCGTTAGCCACTGATCTGCGACATATAAATTACTTAGTGGAATTGACGTTTCAAACAATTCATGGAAGAAAAAGCTGACGTTCTTCCCTTTTGAATTTCAGGTCACTTTGTTCGTTGCGATCATGCTTGCTGATGATGACATGAAGCTTCAAGATTTTATTCTTCATAGATTGCAATTGTATGGGAGCTGCCATTCAAAAACTTGACTTGTCATGTGAGCGTGTATGTGATCAATGACGCAAATGTGAGTGAATGGTGGCATCCATTATCCAATAAACTTAATTTTCACAATTCTTCGTGAGAATTTAGGAAATTCATGAAGTTTTCAGGAAAAAAAACTCAATTTGATTCTGTATTAGATTGATTTTATGCGACACAAGTTTTGACCTAGCGTCTTCAGGTAATTATACCTCCATTTCCCAGTGTTTCAAGATCTGTGTCTTTCCGCACGTTATTGAGGACATGCAATAGAAATATTTTAATGAAGTAGAGGCGGATTCTCTACGACGATCTTGTCTAAACGATGTTCTCCGTGTGACGAATTTTGTCCTGGACCCATTGGGTTCTCTCCCTATCTTATAGGAGTTCTCCGCGACGAAATTCTTTCGACGAAGAATTTTCTCTCTTCCTTCGAATTTCATTGTTGAGTCCACCTTGACTTGAATGATCGATTTTCTCTTTCTGTTTTGATACGGCTGTGAAAGAGCGATCCCTCTTCTTCTGGAACGTCTTAAGAAAAAGTTCCACCGAGATTCTTGATTCAACTTCTGACGTTCGTGGAACGGAGACTGCAGTGTAGGAGAAAATCTTGAACGATAACTGCCTTCCCAATCGTCTGTGATCAAGTAACTAAGTAAATTAAATAAGTAATATATTCTATTGATGGCGTACTCTAGTTTGCCTTCAAGTACGATGAGAAAGGGCGTGTGGAAATCTCTTTGATGACCCTATTTAAGAGAAAATGCGTACCATTAAATGCTACTGCTGCAGAAATCGGCTCTTTATTCTGTTTTGAATTGGCTGCAGAGACAACAAGAGAGATCTCAATTTATTTGAAGGAAGGGTCAGCTAAGGCCAGAAATTATCCGCCGACCTTCGTATCAGTACACAGAGATCGCTGTCACGGTTCGCCAATGAAACCCCTCCGAAGGCAAGAACTTATACTGGATTTACATAAAGGGGATGCAAATAACTTTTGTATTGTCAGTATGATGAGTTTTTCGGATGTGGGAATCTCGATGATAAAAGTGTTGATTACAAAATGCGTATTTTCGAATTCTGATGCTGTTTGGACCGACTAATCTTGCATTACATTGTCTGTGGTGGCCTGCGGTGTAAGATTTTTCTGACTCTTTTTTGCAGGATGTGTCATCGAAGAGCAAAATCATCTGCTATTCCTAGATCCGTGAAGTACCAATTCGAAGGTCGCCAGAAAATGATTCTTATGGTAAGACATTTACTCCTGACTTGATTATTTGTTTTGTCAGTATGATGAGCATTCGCATGTGGGAATCTCTATGATAAAAGTGTTGATTACAAAATGCGTATTTACGAATTCTGATGCTGATTGGACCGAATAATCTTGCATTACGTTGTCTTCGGTTAACTGCGGTGTAAGACTTTTCGAATTCTTTTTTGCAGGATGTGTCACCGAAGAGCAAAATCATCTGCTATTCCTAGATCCGTGAAGTACCAATTCGAAGGTCGCCAGAAAATGATTCTTATGGTAAGACATTTACTCCCGACTTGATTATTTGTTATGTCAGTATGATGAGCATTCGCATGTGGGAATCTCTATGATAAAAGGGTTGATTACAAAATGCGTATTTTCAAATTCTGATTCTGTTTTGACTGACTAATCTTACAATCCGTTGTCTTCGGTTAACTGCGGTGAAAGCCATTTCGAATTTTTGTTGTTGCAGAATTCGTCGCCGAAGATCGAGTCTTCGTCGACCAGATCAGGCGAGTGTGTTGTCACGGACTGACAGAACCTCGTTCCGATGGTAAGTCGTTATTTTCGTCCTTATGATTATTTTGCCTATATGATGAGCGTTCGCATGTGGGAATCTCTATGATAACAACGTTGATTATAAAATGCGTGCTGTATTCCATTATTCTGATGCCGCAGAGATGCTCTTGCGATGGTTTCGCTGTGATTCACTCTGATTAAAGTACCATCCGTTTTTTGTTGTAGGAATTGTTACTGAAAGCCCGAAACATCCGCCGATTTAAGTCAGTACTTGAGACTTTCTGAGAACGAGGTTTCAGCGATCGCTCAGGATTCCTTTCGATGGTGAGAATGATGTTTCTTCGAATGTGCACCTCTCCTTCTGTCGGCATGATGAGCATTCGCTTGTGGGAATCTCTATGATAAGTTTTGATTATAAAATGCGTATTATTAAATCCTGATACTTCGAAGATGGGGTAATTCTTGCGATGATTTGTATGCAAATAACTGAGATGTCATCGTTTTCAGCGGCGTCGGAAAATGCTGGGACCATTGACGGACCCTTTGAATACATTACTTCTCACGAGGCCTCAGAGAATCTGAGACACGCTCTTTGTATCTGGGCTATCGCTATATTTAGCGCATCGAATGTGAGACCCCTTTGTTTCCTGTTTGGATTGTTCGTTTGTTGAGAAAACCTCATTGTGAAATGCCGTATTTCCTGATCTTCGTGTCTTTTTTTTCTAAGTTTTTCATGTTGAAGTGGCTCCGTTACCCAGAAATCACGCGAAATTTGACTGAAGCTAAAAAATTTAGATGACCAGGTAACAGGCGTACCTAAAAATTTTTTACGCTCAGTACATTGAAGGTTGCATATCACGCCCTTCGATTCTATCTGGTGGTCAAGACGATTTTCGTTAAACTTTTTATCTCTGCTATGGGAACGAAACACAGACAGCGCGTTAAGCGTAGGAATTTGCTTAGTAAAAAGCATCCGCCTTCTATTTCGAGCCCCTTACCAAATGTGCTATTTTTACTCTTTTCTGCGTGTGCCTTGAGATGGATTTTGTCTGCGCATTCGGGTTTCCCTTTGAGTTTGAAGCGTCGAATGGACTTGACTTTGAACACCCCGATACCCTATTGGTATGGACAAGATTCTGGTCTGGATCTACCTCCCTTGGCGGGTTATCACAGCTATTTATTAGCGCAAGTGTCTGCGAACGTCACTCCAAATATTTTTACGAGGAATCAAAACACTGTCGAAGACGAAATATTTGTGAGGGCGGCGACTTTATTGACGGATGCTTTTGTGATGTTTCCTGCGGTCATTTCATTGTTAGAGCCTCGTTTTTCTGCCTTGGCGCTATGCCTTCCTGCAGTATTGTTGACGGACTACGTGCTTTATGGATTCAGTTGCGTATCCCTCGGGCTGTCCTTCCTCACATTCCGCGCGGCCAAATCCAAGAAAGTGGTTCAAATGGCTTTTTGGTACTCGATGGCGATTAACTTCAAGGGCTCGGTTATTTACTTCGCTCTTCCAATTGTCACATATGCGCTGTCGCTGTGCTTGGGAGAAGGGATTTTTCCAGGACTATCGGCGATACTCGTTATGGGGCTAGCATTTGGCGTTATTTGGGTGCCGTGGCTATGTGGGAATTTGGACGCTGTCGGTTGTATACTACATAGGCTGGCGAACGTTGACGAAACTTTTGTTGGGGTAAAGCTCGCAAACGTCTGGAGTTTGATGACGCCGGAAGTGCAGAACGAGGAAACACTGTGCTATACTGCGCTTTTTCTGGTTTTATCTGTGTGTTTTCACGTGGCGTTGCATCCGGATTATGACACTTTGAAGTTAGCGGTTGTCAACACACTTCTGGCTTGGCTTTTATTCGCGTGTCATCCGTCCACCTGGTTGCTTGTGTTAGCCATGTCTGCTGCCTTATTCGATGAATTTCCTGGATTCGGTGTTTTCTTGGTGCTGACGGCAACATCGAACATGTTCGTGGCGTTTATAGATTATTTTTGGGCTTATTTCGGGCTTGTCATGGTGTATGTTGGTTCGGCGCACATTGTCACGCCTGGAATGAACTGGATAATGTGGATCGCCTTTTTGTTCGGGCAGAGTTTGAACCTCTGCCGTCTCTTCGATCCTGTATTCGAAGAGATGTGCCCACTTTACAATTTCATCTGCCTCGTTGCCGCGTTCCTATTCTTGTATAATTCTCAGCTTCGATCGAAGCAGAACAAAAATCAAGATTTCGAAGCCGTTCTCATTCAGTGACCTGTTTCATGGGATTAAAACAATTTCATAGTATTCTGATGAGTCACCTCTATTCGCGAGCGCCGTTCATTTGTATTCGTATAGTTTTCTTCGTGCGATATGCCTTTTGCATCAACTTATCTTTCGGAATACTCGTTTTTAAGGTCGATTGCATACGTGACTAGGCTATTCCATCTAGCTCTCTGGAATCATGTCCCGTATGGATGAAAAGTATGCTTGACTCCTCCGTCCGTCATCTTGTTTCTTCTCAGGGTATCGATGAACGGTAAACATGCGGAGGAAGCTTAACGTCAATGGATCATACGTCATCGAAATCGCCAGAGCAGATGCACTGAGTCGAATCCAGGCCTTTTAGGTGAAAGCCTGTTTTAAAATTCTTTGTCTCCTTAGTCAAAGTGATGAGTTCAGTATTCGTACTCCGATGTGTTACATGATCGGATGATTTTTGCGTCTGAAACATTTGTATTTCAAATGTTCATTGGAGATGTAGATGAATGCAGATCGCCTTTATAATTTTTACGTGTAAATTAGGGCATTCATCAAGCCGCGTGTAGGAAGGAGTTCTGGAAAATACTGTCCCATTCAGATCCTAGCGAAGTGTTGTGCTTGTTCGCCAATCCCATTTTGGAGAAGAGGAAGGCAAGGGGACAAACGGGAATTACTCATATGATTTTCCATGATCCTCAACACACCTAATTCAGTTCTACTTCGGATCAAACAATTATCATCGCGCTGGTATGTGACTACTGTATTACGGTTCATCAATTTTTTTAACTCAATCATTATACGATTTCTGCTTCGGATGTCCGCGACAAACAAAGGGCGGAAGCTGGAATCTTCATCAAGCGATGAAACTGTTCCCGAAATGCTAAAGCTGATACCCTTTGGATCCAAATGGATGATTTGAGGTAAAAGAAAAAAATGTATACATGTAGTGTTTACTTTTTTTTCTCTGCGTAGGTGATGAGTTTAGTATTCGTACTCCGATATGTTATCTGAGTGATTTTACGTGTCTGATGATACCCAATTTGGATCCCAGTGCTTTGAGATTTTAGCTTGACGTTGAAGAACATTTTTTTGCTTCTTCTAGATGCAAATGACATTTGTCAACCGGCAAAATTGCAGGAGTTCTGAAAAATTTGATCTCAACCGGATCTGGCCGAATTCGTTCCCATGTACTCGTGCTCCCTCCGTGCAAATGACTGAAGATGCGGGCCAGAAATATTCCTCGCGCAAATGTTTTTCGAATTTCTCGCAAATAATAAAGTTGATTCTTATTTTTGCACGGATGAAATTTTACGGCACATTACAGGGGGACATCATACGCTGGGAATTTTGGTGAGATTATTCAATATTTCCTGGTATCCATTTGAAAGCTGCCCGAACATTTTTCGGTATTTTTGAATTGTTATCTTTGCTGCCCTTTTTTTGGGGAATCACGTGACTGTTGATTAACCTGGATAAGTTTTGAAGTAAATCATCGAGAAAGAAGGTTCTGAACTGTATGGTTCACTGTAATTGGGTGAAACATTGGTAAAATATGCATGTCATGCATGGAAAACATGCCTGGAATATTTGAGACATGATAAATCTAGATTTGAAATGCATGAAACTAAATTATTCACAAATTACTGTCAATTATGATGATTTTTAGCTAGTAATTTTTATCCAGTATAGCTAAAACTCTGTACATAGTAGCATAAACACTAACTGCATGAAGGATTTTTGAAATGCATGAAACTAAATTATTCACAAATTACTGTCAATTATAATGATTTTTAGCTAGTAATTTTTATCCAGTATAGCTAAAACTCTGTACATAGTAGCATAAACACTAACTGCATGAAGGATTCATACAGTATTTTGTCTAAGTGGACAGAATATTAATTTTTAAAACTGTTGATACTGTACATGAATTTGACGTAAAATTGCTGAAATTAGCTCAATAAGAATTTGGATTCACAACACTCATTTGATGAATGTTAGATACCTTTTCTCTTCTGCTAAAGAACATTCTCAGCACACTCCATTGAAAAACTACATGAAGCTTGAATTTTCATTAGCTAAAATTCAACTTATTGACAGTTGTTATATGATACAGTACTTTCCAATATTATAGTGTGAAAGCTGCTGCCCATACCTGGAATGGGCATTTTTTTTCAAATGTGCGAAGGGAAATCATGATCATCTTTAAAGTAAAGGGATACATTTTTTAAAACAAATTTTCTTCCAAAACTCCTGGTGCACACATATTACTGAAGGGTATATTGTACCAGTTCATAAGCACTAATTATGATTGGATTATGTCCAATTTTATGCTTCTGAAGTTTCATTGGCATTCTGCATGCATTACTGCATTTAAAATTTTGTGATGTGAAATGATCATGTGTTTCCACACAGGAAATGACTGGGTGGCTAAAACTTGGTCAGACCATATTTCATACCAACTTGAAATAATTCTTGCAAATCAACACATTCTTACTTAAACTGGTTGTCATTGCAGTATTTTTTACAGTTCTATAAAAATTGCAAAATTAATCTGATCATCCATTATTGGTGAAAGGGACACTTCTCTCGAACTCTCTCATGATCCACTCTCAATCAGGATACTTGTTAATTATGTTTTTCTTAATTTTATTCAGTTTCTGTGTCAATAAGTTAATGAGTAAGAGGTGTGTAGACATTGTTACCTGTATAATCTCTGGACAGTGGACAGTAAAATCTCCTTGCAAAAAATACCATTAAAACAAATTTTTCATCATAACAAACTTATTTCCAAGTCCCAACAGAATTCTATAGGGAAATCCTATAGAGTAAATGTTTAAAAAAATATCATTATGACAAACTTTCCGAATCCAATACTGTATGACAAACTTTTTTAAAGGAATATGCTGGTATGATTTTTTTAATGAAAAATCCCCCATGAAGGCAGGCACAGTCTTTCATTTCCCATTCAAAATGTGACTGAGACTAGTTCTTGGGACATAAGGTGGAATAAATGACAAAGTTTCTTCAAAATTCACGTGAACATCCAGGGCCAGATTAAGGTGGGTGCTATTGATGCTGCAGCATTAGGCCCACAGGAGAAATAGGCCCCTGGAGAATTTGAAAAAAAATTCCCCAATTTGGGAAATCAAAATATTTTTTAATTATGAAAATCTGGCAAAAACAGGAAAGAGGCAAAATGTTTTCATGATGAAGAAGAAATCAGGCACCAATAAATCAATTCCAGCACACTGCACACGTAAAAACCTTTGAAGAGGAAACCAGATGTATAGGAGATGAAAATCAGTTGAGAGCCCACAATCATTTCTGCATTGAATAAGGAAATCAAGGCCAATATGGTCAGAAACAGGAAGATGCAGTTACAAGGAATCATAGCCAGGAGAAAATTCATCTGGCCCTGGTTTTAATCATGCAGTTACAGTACATCCTAGTTCTGTATACAGTGAGTCCCACACAACAAAAGTAAACTGTTTGTTGCTGAGTTTCATTATGCAGAACTTTTATTGTGTGAAAGGAATTTTCCCTAGCGATTACACTAATATAATTGGTTCCATCATGCATCAACCAGCACTCGACCGATACAACCATAAAGGGCAGACAATAAAAAAATTGTGTTTTTTTCAGCAAAAAGTTGTGAATTGGAAATTATTTAACGTTAAATTGTGTTAGTCATTTTAACACTTGCTTATATAATTTTTTTCAATTTCTCGAATAAAAAAATCAAGATGCAATAATATATATTTACAGTCTATACCCCAGCTCTTTTCTCTTGTTACTCTAAAATTTTGGAAACTTTCCAAATTTTACATCACAATTTCATCCCATGTGAGCATTTTTGGCCAAAAAATGCCCTTATGTGAAACAATTTTTTATATGAGGGTCACAATAATACTTCCCCATCTGAATTTTTTGTCATGGGAATTTTTTCTTTTGCAATGGTTTGTGAAGGGGAATCACTGTACAATATACACTGTATGCTGGAGTAAGTTTAAATTATTGAATGAAATACTGTAATTTTTATCCAGATTCAGGATGAGATCGAGGAAGTTAGTTTCAATATTTTCTCACCAAAGGGTCAAAAGATTTAATTTCATCAAATTTTTCTGCAAATTTGTCAATGAGATTTTTGACAAATCTTTCCCCCGTGAAGTTTGGTGTAAAATAAGATGCAATATTGCTGTATATTACTGCATTTATGCTGAAGTACCACCTATAGTACGAGATACACCCAGGGTTTTTCAGTCAAAAATATAAAGGATGTTATACAGTATCCCCATAATTATAATTTGCGCACTCCAGCATCTTTAAAGACTCAAAAATTGCAATTCTGTACTGTATTTTGAAGATAAGACCAGTCAAATTTAAATTTAGACACAAATGCATTCTGAATCCAAGTGATGCTAACTTTTTTTTTGTTGCCTGGATAAGGTTTCCTGTTGAAATCGTTCCAGAAACACTCATTTCTATATATAGAATCATGTATAACACACACCTTAAATTCTAAAACGTTTTCAAAATTTTAATCCCATAGATATGATGCTCACCCCATTCCCTTTCAAATTTGAGAAAACGCGGAAATGTGGTATACTCAAATTAAATAGAGTAGATAAAGTATGCATTGATTCATTAATTTATACGCTTTAAAAATGCTGATAAAGAAAATTATACGCACAGCACTTGAAACAATGTTTAATACCTCTTAATTGCAGGTGACGCAATGACAAAGTCGGCCAATAAACATGTAATTGTTGTATCTTTCATTTTTCGCATTTTTTCAATTCCCAGGCTATAGCCAACACCTTACGGAAGCCACATTGAGTGGGTAAGATGACAGTCATATCCATTTTTTGATAATTGAGGTACAGTACATTATTGGGTACAATCCACCGTACCAGAAAGTGGGGGTCAATATAATATTTTTATGACTGGAAATTTGGTAGGTTTGGAGTACAGTAATATGATTCCCTTTGAAATTCTCCCAGAAGTTAATAATCTATTCACTTGGACCTATTTTTTGTTTAGAAATAGGTGCTGATGTATCTTGACTTAAATAAATGGAATAAGCAACTCATCTGTCTTAGAAGAAGTACAGAAGGAAAGTTTCTGTAGTCACTCGTCAGTGAAGGAGAAAGCAGAAAATTTTTTTTAGAATAAATTTCGTGTAGTGAATTGAGAAATTTTGACACAAAACAAGATTGCCAGAATTGCATCCATAAGGTGTTGGCTATAGCCTGGGAACAATTTGTCGGAATTACGAAGAAAACCATTGCAATTAAAAAATGTAATCAGCATTTGTGCGTCATTCATTTCATTTTGTCACATCATGCTTGTTTGGTTCAAAATTGCCAGGTGCATCTGACCTGCAAAGTGTTACGGTTTTCACTGGTGGTGTAGTTTCTCGCCGGAGAAGGAAGCCACGCCAGGGAAATTCCGCGCCACTGCACCCCCCATCCCCTCACTCCCTATCCTCATCACTCTCTCTTTCACGCACACTAGTGACAGACTTGAGGGTTTGCGTTTACAGTGCAGTTGGAATTACGAAGAAAACCATTGCAATTAAAAAATGTAATCAGCATTTGTGCGTCATTCATTTCATTTTGTCACATCATGCTTGTTTGGTTCAAAATTGCCAGGTGCATCTGACCTGCAAAGTGTTACACCTTCACGGGTTGGAAAGCAAATTAAACATAGAGAGCAGCAGGAGTAAAAAATGGCCGCGCGCAAGAAACGATAGTGAGGTACAAGCTGACATTGCTAAAGCTTAATAGTGCCCATATTTGTTGGAATTATGTGACACTGGATTAAGTGGAGCATTGTCTCGGTCAGTTTTGCGGTAGGGTTCGTCGTCAGCGTCGAATCTTGACTAATGCGGAACTTCAGATACTTCGCGTTCCTTATCTACACAATTCTTCAACATGTAATTCGTATCTGCAAGCATGCGCAGTTCATGAAGTCACTCATTTTTGGCATTGAGGGATGGAGTGGTAGGGAACAGCCCTCTGGAGGGGCAGCGTGGAAGTGAGTTGCGTTGAGTTTGAAAGTGTACCATAACGTCCGGTCACCCATATTTGTTGGAATTATGTGACACTGGATTAAGTGGAGCATTGTCTCGGTCAGTTTTGCGGTAGGGTTCGTCGTCAGCGTCGAATCTTGACTAATGCGGAACTTCAGATACTTCGCGTTCCTTATTTGTGTCGTGTGGCTGTGTGGCACCATCCTTTTCATCTTCCGATCTCCGAATGGGGAAGCCAAAAATGCAACAGCTCTGGAGCCGGTGGAAGACGGAACGCTTTCCGCCTGGTCTTCCAGAATATCAGCGATCCAGTCCCAGTTACACGACATGAGGGTGGAACGAGACAATATTCTCGCTCTTCTGAACGATTGTTCCCATTGCAAGAAAGGAAATCCTTCCTTTGTGGATAACCAAATTGTTGAGAAAACTTCATCGGGTGGATTTGATCGTAAGTTCTCTACCTAATCCTCAGATTTACTCGATGCAAACAGACAATGTATGTTACTTTTTAAAATATTTTACCGTGAAGACTTGATGAATTATTCCGTGGTTATTCTTGTATTCACTCTTTCCATTCGTCAAAACTAATAAAATTGACTGCAGCATTCATTCCGTCGCGAGGAGTCTGAATTTTTAAACTTCTACGTATGTTCAGCTTTCTATCGTATGCTTTTCCGTTCTCACCAGATGTTCGAAATTATATACTCATTAGACCCGTGCATATGCTATGTCATCGCTCGTCGGCATTGAAAACCCGACAATTTTTTTTTCTATTATTCACAAATGCTAAGTTCAGCATTTTCCTCATTGTTCCTCTGTTGTGCGCAAATCAGTGGCTAACTCTGAATCCCCTTAAAGGATATATAAATTCTTACCCAAAATACTATCATGGTTTTTAAAGCTGGATTTTTATGAATACAGTATAACAACGCTCAATTATGCAGTAGAATCCCACAAACATCTTGAAGTCAGCATTGAAAACTAGAAAATTGTCGTAATCATTCTTGTTTCATGTTTCAGTTGACACCATTCCTGGTCCAGCATTTGAATCTGCACGACGTGGGGTAGAAGAGCAGATACGAGAATTGTGGTGGTTCCTGTCGAATGAGTTGAAAGCCTTGAAGAGTGATGTCGGGAATGCGGCAAAAAATCGACCCCAAGATGCATTGGTACACTCTCTTGAAAACAATGTTGAAGACTTGCTCAAGCTATCAACCGATCGGTTTAGGTATGTCCCTCGTTCTGCCTTGATATACTGTATATTTGCATGAATAATTTTTTATGCGCATGATGCACGAAATATGACTTTCTTTGACTAAAAGCATATTATTTTCTGGTTGATTCGTAACACCCGTTTATTAATTTTTTTTTCCAATCATTCCAATATATTTCAGAGTTCTTCAGAGGCACGTGAAGCGACTCAAAGAAGACAGTGATCAGAAAGGATGGCGGGAACAAGAAGCGTTGGAGTTGTCTAGCTTGGTTCAGCGTAGGCTGGATTATTTGCAGAATCCCATGAATTGTCGAACGGCGAAAAAACTCGTATGCACTCTGAGTAAAGCGTGCGGTTATGGCTGTCAGCTGCATCACCTCGTGTATTGCCTCATAATGGCATATTCATCGCAACGTACTCTCATTCTTAGATCTCAAGGATGGAGATACTCAAAAAAAGGGTGGGAGTCACTTTTTCTTCCACTATCTCGTACTTGTAACGAGACGAATACTCAAAATATTGTCCATTGGCGAGGTTGTAAGTATGCTGAGGATGATTTCCTCGTTTCATAATGTGAAATATTAGTTTCTTATTTTAGATTCTGGAAACGAAAATGATCAAGAGGTCCTGTTGCCGATCATAGATGCGATGAAGCCACGAGTGCCTCAGTTGCCACTATCAGTGCCTGTCGATCTATTCGAATCCTTGAAGAAATTCCACGGAGATCCACCAGCTTGGTGGATTGGGCAAATGATATTTTTTCTCACACGTTATCAGCCTGATACGGACAAATTCATCACGGAGAATCAGATCAAGATTGGCTTCCACACGGACACGCCAATAGTCGGGTAAAAACGAAGATCATTCTGAGTTGATTTCATTATTTTTATCGCCCGAGACGGAACCTTTGATATAAGTTCATTAAATCGAATTTATTCGATAGCTTCATTGAAGATCAACTTCTATTTAAATTATAATTCTGTGTTTTTATTTATGTTTTATTTTAATTGAACATTTGCCGATTTCGTGCATTTTTTGTTGCTTGCAGAGTCCACATTCGGCGGACGGACAAAGTTGGCTCCGAAGCAGCTTTCCATTCCGTGGATGAGTACATGGTAGAGGTAGAAGACTGGTTTCAGAACCATGATGTCGAACGATATCCTCTTGCTGCAGTGCCGCGTCGCGTATACGTGGCTTCTGATGATCCTGAAGTATTCAAAGTTCTTCAAAGATCCTATCCAGCGTACGAAGTAATCGGCAGCCCCGATATCTCGAAAACCGCAGCTTTGAATACGCGATATTCTCATAGTTCTGTTATGGGTGTTATTTTCGACATTCACAATCTGGCGAGAACTGATTTTCTCGTCTGCACCTTTTCTTCTCAGGTGAGTACTGTATTATTTTTATGCAGGGTGTAGACGATTTTTGTATAGAGTAATCACAAAATGTTCGAACTTCGAAGATGTGTTATTTCCTTTTTTGTTAGGTTTTGAGAATTACCTTTCCTCTTTCGACGGGCAATCGTTTAACTGACGACTTATAAAGCTTTTTTCATTTCATTGACTGAACGATATAATGAAATCCGAGATATCGTGAAGCGATTCCTTGGCATCTGAAACTCTCTTACGAAATTTTCGAAACTTGAGCAAGAAAGATTAACACGAGTGACCGGTCTGGTCCGCATTAAGAAAAGAAGTACAGTATTTGCTACTTTCAGGTGTGCCGTGCGGCTTACGAGGCAATGCAATCAGTTAATGTGGACGCCTCGAATCGCTTCAAATCCCTGGACGACATCTATTATTACGGCGGCCAGAATGGCCATAAGCGCCGCGCAGTTTTCCCGCACCATTCAGCAAACGACGGGAAACATAGCGAGAGTTCTCCGCTAAGAGGGGAAATAGATTTTGTTCCCGGCGACCTGATCGGCATCGCGGGAAATCACTGGAACGGGTATTCCGTTGGTACTAACGATCGCAGCGGTCACAAGGGTCTCTTTCCTACGTACAAAACGGAGGAGGTGGTTCAGGTCGCTGATTTCCCCATCTACCCCGAGGTCCCGCGACGGGACCCTTCGAAAGAGCTTGGCATCCAGGCGTGAGTCCCGAATGTGGCGGTGTTTTGCTGGACAGTATTGATGTGATCAAGGAGCAACGTTGACTGGTTCCTAATTATTTTCTCTCATTGTTTCGTGTTTGTTGTCCTCGTGGTTTGTAGACAGTATTGGCGACTTGTTCTAGAAATGACGCAAAATTCACGAACTGAAAAAAATGTATTTCAGCGACAAATTCTTGATGATTAACCTCGACCAGAACAGCGTCTTTGAAACCGTACTTGTGAATTTCATTCTTTTCAATTCCAATTCATTTTATGGCTTGAATTGCGAATGTTTCTGCCCAAGATTTTTCTCGCTCCGAAAAATATTTTTTTCGATCGGACGTTAGGGCGTGTTTATTGTTGACTCTTTTTTTTGCACCCTGGGCTGTCTGCATCAATTCCTTCTGGAACGTGAATCTGCCATGATCAATAAGGATGTACTTCATCCGAACAATTTAAATTCTTTTGAACTGAGATTCGAATTCGTAAGCATGAAGTACGGCATTTCTAGTCCAAATCACGATTTTTTTTCCACGAGTCAAAGAATTATAGACTCAAGGTTCTTGAATAAGTTTGACGGTTTTTTTTTTAACTTGCCTTCAAGCAAGATGTTATTTATCTAGTTTCCTGAATCAATGTCTCAAAGATTTTTTGGGTTCCTTCATTCCTTGTGAATCCCCTGGTGATAGTTTCGAAAGATGGAATATTTGAGTTTGCTTTATGGTCGTAGTTTATTATTCAAACCAGTGCTTGAAGGTTCTTCGCATCAAATTTATGACGAAGTGATGCGCCGATCAGTTGAGTCGCAAGAATTTTTTTTTTCATGTGATTGCGCGGGAATTTTGTTCACATGTTACTTTTTGTTGGAAGTTCCGCAGAATGATGGATCGACTACAGGGTCTGACAAGATGCTTGATTTTAAGTTGTGATTTCCGTCGTTTTGTTCCAAGGTTGGATTTGAATTGCTGAGGCATCTGAAAATGTACTGTTAGCATTTGAAAGCTCCGAAGGGAGAGCATTGCTTGTTTTAATTTATTATCGGGTACGATTGTTGCACATTCGTGAAATCTACGATGGTTGTGATACATGAGCACTGTGCTTATTTCATTCCTCGTATGTCCATTTGTACTTGAAGCTGTTTCTCGTTTCCAGATAGTCATCTTTAAAGCTAGAACCGGAATTGGTGTGCATGAATACATTTCTTCACGCATAATTTTGCACTGAATGGTCACGTGACGATACTGCGAGGCCCCTTTGCCATGTCGGCCAAAGAAATTTCGTTGGCCTTACAATCCGCATCCCCGCAAGAGCGGAAAGCAGCGTTTCAGCGACTGTCGGAATCGATCAAGAAAGATGGTATTGTGCTACTTTTTACTAGATATAATGCGAGTCTGTGGGATACAGTTCTTCTGTCATTTTTAGACGTTCCGGAAGGTGCTTTCAAGGCGATATGTAAGCTTCTTCCACCTACTCTCCCACTTTATCTTGACGGGAGGTCGCAGAGCCTTGTAAGAGACCTGCTGAGTCTGCTTTTCAAGCAACATGGAGCTAAGCCATTCCCGTATGTTGTTGGTATGCTTGTTGAAATAGCCGATTCTTGGGTCTCTTCTGGAAACCCTACGTAAGTATGATTTATTTACTTGATTTTTTTGAAAAAAATTCTTGGAAGATTTGTAAGTCACCTACTTCGGAGGAAACCAGGCTTGTAGATTAAATTTGAGCTGATCGTACTTACTTTTCCGCCCGTAATCTGAAGGTGAAGATGTGATTTATTGGTTTTGGTTTATTTAGCACCAACTGCAATTGGGAATCAGCTCAATAAGCGGCGAATTATATTTTCCTGTCAATAAAAAAACGGAGTATTATTAGTCTCATCTGAAAAAAAACGATGCTGGAGTTATACGCAACTCGTTTCTCATGTAATTCCTGGCAGATTTCCAGTTTTCTGTGCTTTTCATTGTCAAGGTCCACCAGATGAGTCCTGTAAAATAGTCGCGTGCACTGCATCTGGTCCACTGTTGTTTGTAGCGTCCTCCAGATTTTAATGTAGTCGTGTACTTCGCACCTTCGTGTATTGGAAATCGAAAGTTGTTAAGGTTAAAATGAGTCGTTGACGTTGATCTGAGGATGTTCCATCACCTCCAACGACGTTTCGTAAGCGGCTTGGGAAATTTATCTAAGGTTCAATATTTCAAGTCCGAAAAGATTGAACCGTTTTATTTTGTCTTATGTGCAGTGGATATTTCTGTTTTCTTTGTTTTTTGCGACAAAAAAAGAATTTCTCACTTCTTTCAGGCGTGCGACGGCTAACTTTGCGGCCACTGCGCTGCGATGGTCCAGCATCGCATCTCTCGAGATCGATGAGAATTTGAAGCAGACAAACATAGCAGACGTTAAGAAGTTGATACGTGCTCAAACGTGTTTCTACGCATGTGTGAGATTAGCCGGAGTACTGAAGCTTTTAAACAAATGTAACGACTTGCTTTTCGGGCTATGGGATAAACGGTCTACACTACTCAGAGCCACTGTGGACACGCTTCAGGAAGGAGAATTGACCACACGGGACCTGATATTTGCGTCTCTAGCGTATTCGAAGTACTATAAATGTGCTGGAAACGTCTGTGATTCGTTGAAGGTATTTTACCACGTTTTTATGAACTCACTTTCTTGTCTGTTTGATTGTCTGGATCAAAATTTGCAACTCAAATTTCGCCCCCTGACTAGCTAGCAAGCTGAAACTTTCAGGATAGCTTAGAAACTGATGACAATGCAATCTTTTGTGAAAAGAATAATTATAAGAATATTTTTTAAAAAGAATAGAATAATTATAGTAGATTTCTTTAATATAATAATAAAGTTGCTTTGCATCTGGCGTACGCACCAACTTTGAGCAGGTTTTCCTTGGCCCCAAGAAAAAAACCCATGGTGAACTGAATTGGTCACAGAGGTCCGAGTTCAATCCCACCCCATGGAACATTTTTTTTTCTAAAAACTTTTCCTATTTTTTCTTTTGTGCCGCCTGTCTGGTGTTATTTCCTAAATGCAGTTCACAATATTCTGATTTCGAATACTACTGTATAGGGATTCAATTATTGCATGACTCGAACAATAAGTTTCACAGTGCATTGAGGAAGAAGAAAAATTGCAATCATTTCCATAAGCATTCAACCGCTAGTTTGTGACCCCGTCACTTGATATTTTAATCGTTGAGAATACTTTTTTTTTACCAAGTATAATTCAATCACGGCTACTTTCTAGTGCTTAGTTTGGGCCACGACTGCAGAGAACTACATATTATTAACTCGCTTTCTTGTCCGTTTGTTTGTCCGGATCAAATTTTGCTCACTTCCTGACTAGCTAGCAAGCTGAAACTTTCAGGATAGCTTAGAAACTGATGACAATGCAATCTTTTGTGAAAAGAATAATTATAAGAATATTTTTAAAAAGAATAAAATAATTATAGTAGATTAAAAAATTAATCTAAAAAACCACGTTTTCATAAAGCAAAAAATAACCTTAAACGTGGTGCGCATGAAGATTGTTGGGAAGAAGTGAAATACAAATGAAATAGATGCGCACCACATTTGAGGTTATTTTTTGCTTTTTGAAAACGTGGTTTTTTAGATTAATTTAATCTACTAAATTTTTAATCGTAAGACATCACAAAGAGTGGTATTCAAGTCTTTGTTCAGAGTCTTACACTTTTGGAGAAATACTGCAAATAAAATCAAATTGTTGTGTATGATAGACGGCTGTAATTTCTGCATTTTCTGCATTTTTGTATTAATGTTCTGTAATCTGGAAAGTATTAATCAATTCAAAAGATAACTTGAAAAAGTACTATGCAGTAATGTATTGAATTTTCCATCTTTTAGTCTACCAATAAAATTAAAAAAAGAGAATATTTATTCTGGAAACAATAGGTTAATTTTTTTGCTGCATTTCAATGTGCATTAGCTTTATATCGACTGCATAACTTCAAAAATTAGGAAACTATCCTGAGAAAACTGTTCCCTATTCTTCTTCCCTCAGCACTTCAAAATATTACATTGAATGAAATCATTGCTCAACGCCATTCTCCCGACAATTGAATTATTTTTCCGAATCACCGGACGAGAAAGTCAGATCTCGGTAGACGGATGATTTTGAATCAATTGGAGCTTGAAAAAAGGTTCTTCGGTAAGCGTTTCTTATAAAAACGTAAAATTAAATCAAAATCATACAAATATACTGTAGTACAAAAATACTGTAATGGGAAATCTTCAGAAATCATTTTTATAATTCATTCCTACAGACAAAACGAATTTTTATACAGTTAAATTAAAATGGGATGTAGAAGATAAAGCCGTCGATCACTTACCGAAAAAAATTATGTCGAAGATTTTTTTTTTCGAAAATGGCAGACCTTGCGCAGAAACTTGAACGGTTTCCTCATATGGAACGCTAAGCAAAATGTTGCCCAAATACCATACAGTATATCATATTGAATTGAATGTCATTTTATTTTCTCGATTCAATCAGGCGAACATCCTGGAATGGTTGGCTAAAGGAATCATCAGCAGCAAAACCAAACCCGACATTCGTCTTGCGGAAAGCTGCAGCTTTGTTTTGAAAAGCATCTCGCTAGAAGAATTTAAATCGACTTTGTTCCCTGTCATCAGCAAAGCCTTGCTGAGAAGTCCCGAAATAATTTTACAGTTCCTCGCCGCCATGGTCAAAGTCCTTACTATTGACATATCTACCTTATCTGTGGAGCTGACGAAAACATTGGGCGCATCGCTCACGTCCAAAGAAGACAGCGTTCGTGAGGACGCCGTTGCGTTATGTTACAGCTTAGCACTGCAGAGTGGCGATGAGGCAGCCGTGCAAGAAATGGTTAAAATCCTATTCCAACTGTACAATGGATCACAAGGGAAATTGGTTGTGGCTGCCCACAAAATATCCGTTTTGCAGGCAAGTATTTCTGTGAAGTTTGATATTTTGTTAGTTTGACGAAAGCGTTTCGAAACAAACTTGATGGATCTCCCAAAAATCGTTATTATTATTATTTTTTTTTTCAAATTTCCAAATTACTTTGTTGTCTATAAAGATTGCTTCATTTATCGGTTTAAGGCCTTTCGATTTTTTTTCGAAAATAAGAAGTTGTTGATCTGAAATTTTCTTCACACGTGAATCTGAAAAATCTTTATCGTGTAATATTGTGTGGATCCGATGAATTGGGTACAATTGACGTGCCTTAGTGCTTCCATGGAATTGATTAGACCGGCATTAATGATGCTAGTTGCATATTTTTGAAAACTTTTTGGTCCTTCAGATTTTATTGATGGCTATATTGAATTTTTTAGGGTATTGGCAAAATGAGTTCGCACTGTGCCGGGGCAAGCGTGGTTCCACGTCTTGGAGAATTCTCCGCTGAAAATTTCCTGAAAATCCTCCAAAGTGAAGGTAACTTCCATTTTGTATATATATTTTTTAAACTTGGCTCCAATTCATCTACCTTTGTTTTTTGCTTAGTTCACGAAGGTACTTTGATAACCTGCATAGAGCAGGCTCACTGTTGGTTCAGCAGAGGTCTTCCTGCTGAAAGCGGCTCTAAAATAATTGCGGCTCTGCTGGTGAGTAGAAAAAATCGATCTATCATTTTAAACGTTTCATCTTCGGCAACGTGTTTCCTGAGACAAGGTGTGCTATTTCAGGAATTAATGAACAGCAAAAACGCGACAAGCAATGTACGAAATGGATACATTCGTCTAATCCGCACGTGCTGCGTTAATAGTGAAGTCAAAGTCGATTCCAAGTGCCTTGCGTGCCTCGTAAAATACGTCGAGAAGTCCGTTGGATCAGCCAGCCAGGCAAGTTTTTCTCCCCCTCGAAATTGTTTTTAGAATATAAGCTGGTTTTTCTCGTTTTGTCAAGTTAATTCATTGTGAAAATTGATTTTCTTTCGTCTATGTTTTCTATGAAATCAATCGAGTGATGTGTATGATTCGATTTTATAACTAGACATCGGTTGCTGGGGAAGGGTTGTCAGCAGCATGTCTTCTCTTGGAACTTCAAGCCCTGGGAAAATGTGATACATCCCCAAGTCTACTTACTCAAGGATTTTGGGATGCTGTTGGCGGAAAAGTCGCCAATTGCGTTTTCCTCTCTGATCGTTTTGTTGTTTCAGCGAGCCCAGAAAGTGAGGTTTTCTTTTTATTGTACTGTATTAAATTGAAAAGCATATCTGACTCCTTTAGACCAACAAACCGTTCTTCTGCTTTGTGAACGATTGCTAACGGAGCATGAAGAGCGTATCGAGAGGAACATCAATAATATCATGCGAGCCATGTTAATTGTCTTGTTCCAATGGGATTACGCGACCAAGAAGAAAGCCACTCCGTCATTGCGGCGGTTGGTGAAATCGCTGAGAGGACCGTTTCTGATGAAACAACTTGTAGCAACATTAGCTGAGTTCTTGCTTGAGTGTCCGAAAATGAGTTGCCCGGTAAGCCCGAGTTCATGTGAGCTTTCAAAATTCAGTTTGAGAAGCCAGTCATTTTTTGTGTATTTGTGTATAGAATTTGAGAAGGATTTTTAAATATTTATCCTTCCAGAACGATGAAGCAGAAGGCGAAATGAAAACGAAGGATTCTGAAAGCATACTTTTGAAAGCTTCTTCAGTGAGAGACGCGATTTTCCAGTTGGCCAAGGAATGCAAGAAGTCGACGGATCCGTCGTCAAAAATAGAAGCAGAAAATATGTCTGTTCAACTGCTTGTTCCTGTTCATCATATATCTCTATGTATGTATGTCTCCGATTCGAGTTAGAAGTCTATTTCAACTCACATTTCCGAACAGATCAATTGGACAAGCATATTTGGGAGAGGATGATCCGAGAGCTTAATTTGGACATCGAAGAAACCCTTTCCAAAAAACGGAACGATGTCGTTGCATTAATCACTGAAGAATTCAGAGGGCTTGAGGTGAACTACTGGTCTTTTTTTTTTTTTAAATAAAAAATTACTATGTTTCATTAGGCGGAGAAAAATGCGCTCAAAACGCTGGTCCGGATCGCTCCAGAAATGATTGTTGAGCCTGTGGTCGAGTTTGTTGCTAAGGAATGCCGTGAACAAAAGTACTTCCAAGTAACGCAAGAGGAATGCGCCATACATGCAACGAGCTCGGGAACATTGTACAAACAATCCATAATTGAGGCGTAAGAGCTTCGTCTTCATGAATATCCTCTCATTTGTCATTTTTTTATATTTTTTCTTCCAGCTTACGACAAGAAAATGCATTAAATGCAAAAAATATGAAACGTGAAAGCAAGGCTTATTCTTACAAAGAACAAATGGAAGAAATAGAACTGAAGAAGGAATTAAGTAAGAAGAAAAAACCAGAAGCAAAGAAAGCTTTGGACTTGGACGGTTTAACGCCCAAACAAAAGGAGACTGTTAAACTCGAACTTGAAAAAGAAGAGGGAATACGATTCAGATTGGATGAGGTCTGTGCTGCTGTTGGTTTAATGATTTAATTTAAATTGCATGTAATCGATGTCTTTCTTTAGTTATTATCAGCATTCAAGAAAGTTCCTGCTGCAATGATCGAGAGCCTTCTCGAGGGAAACCGTCATGCTCTTGGGGATTATTTGATGCGTTTCATGTTCGATCTTCTTCGCTTGCTGAGCTCTCCGCTCATTGCAAAGATTAGTGCCAGTCTGTTTGTAAGATTGCGGGAATGTGCGTTTTCAACGCCGGAAGAGGCTACTTTGGGTGAGTAAAGTGTACAATAGGGTCAACTGCGACTAATTAAACCAATATTAGATATTTTTATCTTCTGAAATGTTGAAACTACTGTAATATTAAAAAATGTCGAATTCAAAGTTTATCAATTTTAATTTTGCATGATACTCGATTATATGGTTGCCTATTTCTGCATTTATATACAGTATCAATAAGAATAATTTTAGTTGCAGAATTTCAAATTGCATTTAGAATTAATCTTGAATATTGTGTAAGGTCACCAGCAAATCATCCACGCATTTGAAGAATGATCTTTCGTCGTTTGATCGGAAAAGTTTACCAACAAAAATTCATCAGGCTTGAAAGATTCAGTTTGAAAATTTTCGAAAAGACTTGTCTTTGATTATTGTCCCGGGTAATTGTTTCAATTCAAATCAATGTACCTGTATCTGGAAAATCTTATTGTTCACAAGAGACTTTCTTCCTGCTGATATCCGTAGGGGAAGAAATTTCCTACGTTACTCTTCGCCTTTGGAAGCCGGAATGTGAAATAGAAGAACGATGGTTGCAGGAGCCACTCAAGGATGCTGCGGAGCGTGTGATTACTTCTCTTCATGCCCTCATTTGTGGTAAGAAGCGTGAACCTGAGTTTGACGAAGATGGAAATAAAATTGAGTATGAACCGGAGATGCTACACTTCCCGAAGTTCACTTACTCATTTCCCATGATCACTGCTACGTTTGGGAAGAATTCGAACACTTCATGGAGCAACGGAGAGAACTTGTTACTCGCTCTGAAGGTGCTTAATTTTACTTCTAAATACGGTGTTCTTGAATTAATTTTGTGTTTCCATTTTGATGAAACGTGGAATCATTTAACGGGTATCTTTAGGTCCTGGATCTTTACGGAGCGAGGGCGAATGATACAATGCCGTTGAAAGAACTTCTGGAATTACTCGTTTACCTGATAGCAGAGAAAGATGGGACGAAAGCGCAAATAGTGGCAGTACAAGTTTTGAACCACGTTGGCCGTGCCTTGTCCGGTGTGACCGGATGTACACTAATGTCGGAAACGGAGTTGAATATATTCCTTGACGGTGTCAAACATCCTAGAGCCTTTGTTCGAGAGGCTTGCGTGCGGGCTTTGTCCTTCGCACTCAAGGCCTACCTGGACTCCATTAGACATGGTGTTGAGATTGGGAATCATCGCAACCAAAAGATCATGTTGGAAACCACTGAGCGGATATGGATTGCCAAGTTCGACAAATCGGAAGAAATTTCTTCTCTTGCGGATGCATTGTTTGAGTCTGCTGGATTGAATCAATCTCCATTGCTAATCGGTAAGCCTTTTCTCAATATCTGGCCTTTCTTGGTGGATTTTTTTACGGAGAAGATTTATTCTATTTTCGATTTATTATGTTTTGTCCGTGTGATTGGAATCATTTTTTCTGGGTAGACCGCGTGATCGAAGACGTGTGCAATCGAGACTCGTTCGAGCTCCGTGAGGCTAGTGCGAGAGCGCTTGCAGAGCTGCTTCGGCTGAACAGTTCGTTTGTTCCACAGACGTTGGAAAAACTCCTTGATACATATCAAGAGAACCTAGCTGTGAGACGAGAAAAGATTTAGAAAGAAATAAAACCTGATTGGCAATTTAATTTTATTATTTCAGATGTCCCCACCGGTTACAGATTCATTTGGTCGCGTAGTGATTGCTGCGAGAGATTTGTGGGAAGGTAGAGCTGGAATTGCCTCTGCCATCATGGAGGTTGCACCCCATCTCGACCCGGACTCCGTGGTCCAACTCATGAGTTTCTTCGTTCGCGATGGACTCGGAGATAGACAGCCGGATGTTGGCAAAGCCATGCTCCAGGCTGCACTGACTGCTGTGGATGCCCATGGGAAGGTGAAATACGGTATCTTGGGCTTTGCTGGTTTCATTAACTAATTTTTGTCATTAATGTCAGGAAATGGTGATGCAGTTGCTGCCTTTGTTCGAAAGCTTTCTGGACAAGGCGCCTCTCACGCGTGACTTCGATAGTGTTCGTCAAGGAGTTATCATTTTAATGGGGTCGCTTGCAAGGCATTTAGAATTGCAGGATGCGAAAGTCAAACCTATTCTGGGAAAATTGGTGCAGGCGCTGTCCACTCCATCTGAGCAGGTTTGGTATATATTCATTTTTCAACTTGACATACATTTAATAAATATTGTACTTCTTTTCCCGCCATATATTTGGGTTCTTTGGAATCCAGCCTTCATAGTCCTCGAAATGAGTATAATATCTGTAAAATATGCTTCATATTACCAATTATGTTCAAGTTTCACGAATTTTTCAGGTGCAAGCCGCAGTGGCGAGCTGCTTGCCGCCGCTTGTACCCTCATTGGGTCCTGAGGCGGACCAGGAGATGCTTGATAAGATGATGCGGTCTCTTCTGGAAGGAACTGATTATGGACAAAGGCGAGGAGCTGCTTTTGGCATCGCAGGTTTTGTCAAAGGTCTTGGAATCCTTGCGCTGAAACAGAAGAACATCATGCCTCGAATAACGGATGCTATCCAGGACAAGAAGAATGCGCGACATCGTGAGGGTTCGTATACTATGATCAAATATGCATCTTCACTTTCGTCAAATCTTCGCTTTGTTTTTTCCTGATGGCCAGAATTGTTTGACTTCAAACGGTTTTCATATTTTCGGTAATCGTTTTGAAATCGTGAAGGTACTTCATTTTATTGTTCTTCGCTTCGGAGCTTTGTCTTCCAGTCTGACGCCTGAAGTAAATTATTTCAATTGTAAATGTGTTGTTTTTAATTCATGAGATTAACCGAGTCCCCGCTCGTTCTTTTCTGCAGGTGCGCTGTTGGCGCTAGAACAGTTGTGCTCATCTCTTGGAAGACTGTTCGAGCCGTACGTAGTTCACGTACTCCCGCATCTGTTGCTGTGTTTCGGCGATCCGGACCAGTACGTTCGAGAAGCAGCAGAAGAGTGCGCTAAGGCGGTGATGGGCAAACTCAGTGCCCATGGAGTCAAACTCGTGTTGCCATCGTTATTGGCTGCCTTGGAGGAGGATTCTTGGCGAACGAAAACTGGTTCCGTAGAATTGCTGGGAGCTATGGCATTTTGTGCTCCAAAGCAGTTGTCGTCGTGCCTTCCGAACATTGTACCAAAACTAATCGAGGTTTTGGGTGATTCTCATCCGAAGGTCCAAAAAGCTGGCACTCAGGCTTTGAAGCAAATCGGGTCTGTCATTCGAAATCCTGAAATTCAAGGTTAGTTTTTGCTCACGACATTTTCCAGCAAGAGGATGCCAGTGGTGTTTAGATCAAAGAAAGTGTGACATTTATTTTATATCTGCCACAGATGCTTTTATTCCAAAAATTACGTGGCTTCCAGCAGCTTGCGATTCGTAAAAATATATCAAATAATTAAATTTTATAGATTCTATATGAAAGTTTAAAAATCGTAAAGTAGTTTCTATTATTCGAGCTTTAGTCAACCTCATTGTAGCACTGCAGTTGATCTTTCGTGCCAGAATTTGCTATAAGCGAGAAAAAAGGCTTGTGCACCTCACGAAGTCTTAACCAAAGTCTTTTCGTTTCTCTCTGATCAACTAATTTTCTGGGCTTATGCAGTTTATGATTTGCGGACACTTTGACTATACTGTACGTGCAGTATTATGTTTTTTTTACTGTTCGATTATCTGGGCGAAGGTATCTTTTGATTACTCTGCGTAATCGGAGTTCCTCTTCGTTGCATAAATGCAGCTTTGAATAATCAATAGTTTGCTCTGTTCTCACTAAAGCCTCTACTTTTATAACTTCCAGCGCTCGTTCCAATTTTGTTGGGCTCGGTGGAGGATCCGTCGAAGAAAACCTCGATTGCATTGAATGCCTTGCTGGACACTCAATTTGTTCATGCCATTGATGCACCCTCGCTAGCATTGATCATGCCAGTCGTTCAACGTGCCTTTCAAGATCGTTCGACGGAAACGAGAAAAATGGCTGCCCAGATCATTGGCAATATGTACTCTTTGACCGATAAGAAGGATTTGCAGCCTTATTTGCCGAGTATTATTCCAGGATTGAAGAATTCTTTGCGAGATCCTGTTCCTGAGGTACGTTGCTTTCCGGCGGAGAGTTTATTGACCACTGTTTCTCCTTGCATTTCTTCAAGTGGTTTCATTGTTTCTCGTGTTCCTTGTGCTCTCTCAGGTCCGATCCGTTTCTGCGAGGGCGCTTGGAGCCATGGTTAAAGGAATGGGAGAGAGTAGCTTTGATGATTTACTTCCCTGGCTGATGCAGACGCTTACATCCGAAAGTGGTGCAGTTGACCGTTCAGGAGCTGCCCAAGGACTTGCTGAAGTTGTTGGAGGTCTGGGCGCCGAGAAACTCCATCGTCTAATGCCTGGTGAATTGAAATTTTGGTTATGCTCTACTGTGCTAATTAAAATTTGAATTTAAGTATAACAACTAAAAACGGTTAAAAATGTGTGTTTTCAGATATAATTGCTACCGCACAAAGGAGCGATATTGCACCTCACGTCAAGGACGGCTACATGATGCTATTCATATACTTTCCGACGGTTTTCAAGCAGGAATTCATTCCCTACATTGGCGAGATAGTTCACCCGATTTTGAAGGCTCTTGCTGATGAAAGCGAGTATGTGAGGGCAACTGCTTTGAAAGCAGGCCAGCGGATTATCAACGCCTATGCTGATTCAGCGATTGCGTTGCTGCTTCCGGAGTTGGAACGTGGTTTGTTCCACGACAATTGGCGAATCCGTTACAGGTATGAGGTTGTTTGAATGGTCTTGGTTTTCCAGAAAAGGAAGCGCAAACGAAAGATTGATGAGAAGAATTTTCCAAATTCTCAAGTCACGTCTCGAAATTAATTTTCTTCCAGCTCTGTTCAACTCCTTGGAGATTTGCTGTACAGAATTTCGGGTGTTACGGGGAAAATGACGACAGAATCTGCGGGAGAAGACGACAACTTTGGTACCGAATATTCTCATAAGGTAAATAATTTTTGGTCGACGAGGGTTTTTTTCCCAGGCAAAATGAAGTCGTTACGTTGAATTTTTTGTTCATTTCAGGCTATTTTGGGTGCTTTAGGAGAGCAGCGAAGAAACCGAGTGTTGTCGGGCTTGTACATGGGTCGCAGCGATACTGCTGTCATGGTGCGACAGTCCGCGTTACACGTTTGGAAAGTAGTCGTCAGTAACACGCCGAAAACTTTGAGAGAAATCCTTCCGACTCTGTTCTCTGTTCTATTGGGATGCCTTGCGTCGAATTCGCCGGACAAAAAAACGGTGCGGTTCTTATCCCATTCCTATTGGAACATAATGTTTCGGACTGTTGAAACCATTTTAATGAATTTTGCAATTTACTTCTAGATTGCAGCGAAAACCCTTGGTGACCTTGTCCGAAAGTTGGGCGAACGTGTGTTGCCCGAAATCATGCCTATTCTCGAGAAAGGTCTTTCCTCGCCTCATCCAGACCAGCGTCAAGGAGTGTGTATCGGATTATCGGAAATCATGGCATCCACTTCCCGGGACATGGTTTTGGCTTACGTCGATAGCTTGGTTCCTACCATACGGAAGGCCTTGGCGGATCCCCTACCCGAAGTCCGGCACGCGGCGGCAAAAACTTACGATTCCTTACATTCCACAGTCGGAAACCGTGCGCTTGATGATATTCTTAAACCCATGCTGGAGCATTTGGTTCGTATCACCTGATGAATGATGATCGTATCATCATTCCCAAAAAATTTGACATTCCCAAAATTAAACCTGTCTGGAACTTTTCTTTCCTCTTAGAATGATCCTGAAATCGGAGAATTCACGCTTGACGGTCTGCGTCACGTGATGGCCATCAAAAGTCGAGTCGTGCTTCCGTATTTGATACCTCAGCTTACTGCGCCGCCGGTGAACACGAAAGCGCTGTCGGCATTGGCATCAGTCGCCGGTGAATCCTTGGGTCGTCATTTACCGAAAATCTTACCAGCTCTTCTGGACGCGCTAGAGCAAGAAATCGCTGAACATGGCGCGGAAAATGTTCTGCATCGCGAGGTAAGCATTTTGTGACGCGCAAAATTCTTGAGGATTGTACAGTACTGTACCTTGAAATTAAGGTCTCTGGCGACAAGTTTCTGATTCAGAATCCTTCGAGCTATTGTTAGACCAGTAATTAAAATTTTAGCTTCAGTTATTTGCATCACAGCCCAGACGTTGGCAACGTCGTTTGACCAAAACACGCTCAGTGCAACCTCGAAATTCAGCATCGCCAGCACGATACGGTTTCTTTTTATAAGAACATGGTCGCCAGATGTCACTGTCTCGAAGATTTTAAAATTGTTCGAGCTATTCAGTGGTACGGAAACTCCGTGCGAATCGACCAAATTAAAAAAAATATTTTTATTCGGTTGACAGGTAAATATCATTTTCTTACATTGATTTGATTGTACTAAAAGCTCGTGACTTCTTTCCATCTGAACCGGGGCATTGATCAGTCCACTAAATACTGTTCTCCAATATTCCGAAAACATTACGCACGTCTGCGTCAACCCAATAAAGGATAGCACGAAAGTGACACAATTTATGAACCAGTTCTCTCGTGTTTCGAGTCTTCAATTTTGCAGACGTATTGATAATTAAATTCGATAATTTCAGAAAACATTCAACGAGAGGTCTTCATTTTTGTGTTGGCTCGTGATTCATAGATACATATCCAGTAAAAAAAAAACCTCAGCAATTTTTATTACCATTTAATGTATTTTAATCTTGCGCTTCCTGTAATGCTAAGAGTTTACATTTTTTTTATAGTTGTTGGAGCAATGCCAGGGTGTGATCCTTCCGGTGACTGATGATGTTGGGGTCAGGACGATAGTCGACATACTTATGGAGGAGTACGCTCGGAAAGCGAGGACCCATGCAGGCGGGGATGCTGCAAGAAGAGATGCTCGGAAAGTTGTCGCTGCTCAGAAAGATGATGGCAAGGAGCTCAAGAGAATTGCTGCGGTCATGTTGTTGTCGGGCTTCTGTGTCAGAACTAAAGTTGACCTCACCGAACTCGTGCCGCAGCTTATGAGAGGGCTTTTGCATTTGTTTACTGACAAGGATCCCGTTATCCTTCAGGCATCATGGGAAGCTCTTTCTGCTGTTACAAAAGTACGTAGGATTTCTTCGTTCTATTCATTGTATCCGTAATCGTTTAAAATGTTCTTTTTTTTAACGTTTGCTGCTCGTTTTTTTGTACGGTGTGTTAAGTTCCAAAATTATTTCGTTACCTTTCAGACGCTTGATGCCAAAGCTCAACTGGAATACGTATATGAATTGAGGCAATCTATCAAATTCGTTGCTTCGGATTTGCCACCTGGAGTTCTTCTTCCCGGCTTCTGTTTGCCGAAGGCCAGTCAACGTTTTTCTATATTTTTATCGTGATTGTAACGTTGCAACTCTTTGGTCATCAACAGGGTGTGGCTCCCGTTTTGCCAATTCTGAGAGAAAGTATTTTGAACGGAACACCGGAACAAAAGGAGTTGGCTGCAGTTGGAATGGGAGAAATCATTCGTCTAACTTCTGCAGAAGCCCTGAAACCGTCTGTGGTTTCTATCACTGGACCTCTGATTCGTGTCTTGAGTGATAGGTTTGGGTACACGCTGAAGGTGGAGGTGCTCGTCACCTTATCACTGTTGATGGACAAGGTCAGCCTTCTTTACAAGTTCCGAAGATATTTGCGAACAGAGTTTTCATTGTTCAGGGGGGCGTAGGTTTCAAAAAGTTGCTGATCCGTGTAAAATATTTCAAGTTTCAAGAACAATGAAGTAATTTTTCTGCATTTCAGTTTGAGAATGTCTACGCGAGACCTAAAGACAATATTGGTAAATAACTGTGCATTACGTTGAACATATTCTGAATGCTTGATGCTTGTTGGAATGATCAACTTGATGTGTTCACGTGAAACTTATATTTTATTAAAAATGTATCTATCGTAATTATCTATCAAGACACCCTGTATCCGTTGCCATACCCATTTCCGTCCGTGCCATTGAAATTCCTAGAGTAGCACTTCAACTCATAAATTTAACATCACCTAAAGTTTTCTTGGTTTATTCACAGTTCATTTAGCGTTTTGAATCATTCGTTGGTATTAATCAATCTTTTTTCGTCTACAGGTCGGACAACACTTGAAGCCTTTCCTACCGCAACTTCAAACGACTTTTCTTCGCGCCCTGAATGATCCGAATCGCTTAGTGCGACTCAAAGCCGGTGTAGCGTTGGCGAATTTGATGAAAATACATCTACGAGCAGATCCTCTCTTCGTCGAGCTGCACACAATTATCAGGAACGGTGGAGAAGATCAAGGAGTTCGTGATACATGCCTGCAAGCGCTGCGAGGGGTTTTGGTTCCATGCGGCGACAAAATGTCGGCTTCCTTGCGGAAATCTCTGATCCAAACGTTAGTCGGATTACTCACGAATTTGGAAGATCAAACCCGATTGTGCGCCGCTGGTTGCCTGGGTGCCATGGCTAAATGGATGGATGAAGATGAAAGAAAGGCGTTTTTTGCGGAGTATATCTTTGGTAAGCTTTATCTTTGAGCTGGTTGAAATGTTTTGGAAATAAGAGAAATAACTACATATTCACGGTTCTTTTACGCCGTCAAGTTTTGTCTGCATCGCGATATTCCGTGTTCCCTTTTCATTAAAAAAAAATCATGCAACATGAGATTAAGGCTGGTGCTTGTATCAATTTTGAGTTTACGATTCGCGTGAGAGATAATTTTCAGGTCAGAAACTGAATATTTTTGTGACAAATTTTCTAACTGCTCAAGGGTCTGCAGGTATCTGAGTATACCATTGAGGTGAGAAGTCTTTTTTTTTTTTTTTAATACAGTGTAAGATTTATCCGAAGAAATATTACTTGCTTTGTTTTTTATTCCAAAACTTTCTTATCCAGTTGAACTGTTGATTAGATTTATCATTGATTTTGAAGAAGGCTTATTATTTTCGGGGTAGGGGTTATATTAATTCAGAATATGTTAAAAACTACGCGAGGTCTTCTCGGGGTAAACAGTTATTTTAAAAGAAATTCTTTTTTTTTTTCTTTTCTTGTAGATGATGACAAGACAAAGGACTGGGTTGTACGTCATGGATGTTCCGCTACCCTCAGTTCGTGTTTGAAGGAATCGTCTGAGAGTCTAATGACTCCTGAGTATGAAAGGAAAGTGCCGAAAATGTTGCTTGCTTGTCTATCTGCTGATAGGGTAAGGACGACCGTAAGACTTGTTCATCATTTTTTGCATTATACCGATCTTCAATCTTTGGCGGCAGATTCCAATTGTGATCTGTGGAGTCGAAGCGTGTGGATATCTTGTGGCTCACTGTATTCGTAATGAAGCTCCTGTTCCGGTTGATATAATCACTCCATTTGCGAAGGTCAGTGAGATCATTTACAGTACAGTACTTTATTCTTAGTTTTAATTAGCACAGTTGAATCGCAATGCTTGGTAGTTCTTTCTGGAAATGAAAATACATCATACTGAATTTTGCGGTTCCTGCAATTTATGCTTTTTAATCTACAGATGATGAATCATACAGCCAACGAAGTCAAAATTCACATGGCAACCACGATAACATACTTGTGGTTCTTCGCTCGCGACAAACTGAAGAAAGAGCGACTGAATCTGAGCAATGGAGACCAAGCGACGATCGAGAATGCTTCGAGTGCTGTTGTTCTACCAGCTGCCTTTCTCAAGCCGGTTATTCCCATGTTGGTGAATGGCACTAAGGAAAAGAATTCCCTGGTGAAATCTGCTTCAGAAATGGCTCTTGCTGCTGTCCTTGAAGTGAATTTGCCTGGAGCTGATGTTGTCCAACAGGTGGGATACCGAGAGGATCATTCGCTTCTTCGTATTTTAGTGACAACGTTTTTGAAGAAGGAAATTTATTTATTGATTTACGAACCGTCTAAGAATTAATTGTACCGCTTCGTCCATTACAGTAATCACCGTTCTGACTTCGATAGATGTCACTCGCAGTCGGATTCTTATTCAATACTGTACCTCAAATAATTGCTTGAAACTCCTATTTCTGATTTACTTCCTCTTGGATTTTAACACAGCTACAGTAGCAGAGGAGGCTTTGGTCATCTCTTTGGTCATCAACATGATCAACATGTCATCAATATGATTACATTTTTCTTATTAAATAATGAGGACCTAGTTGCTACTGTACAAGCAAATCTGTATTAATCCGTACGACGTAATCAACAGAAATTTTTATATAATTTTATGAAAGATTATTTGAGCCACGATATATTTGCTTATTTTCTTTTAGAGTTGCCTCAAAATTCTGGACCCAGGAGCAAGTGATGCTTTGTCGGATGTTATCTCAAAATTGTCGCGACGAAGTGGTTTCTCGGACCGTCCCAGGGATGAAGATGTGGACTGTACTCTTTTGACATGACCTGGTGATGGCATTCGCTATTTCATGGGTTAAGTTAAGCTTGTCGTGATGAAAAGCTTGTTGTCTGTTGACTGTCTCGCTTGTCATGATCACTGCTAAATCAACGAAGAAAGCATCGTAAGCTGCGTTGGGACATGGAAATGCGCTGTTTTTTTTTTCATTCCAAGGCAGTAATATTTTCCTACAAATGAAAGAAACTAAATTTTTCGACGAATGATACAAGTGTGTTGGGAAAGCTGCGCGTGATCGATACGCCAGTGAATAAGTCGTCACTCCCGAAAACTGAATCGTATTTGCTTCTTGTAGCTGTCGGAACTTCAATTGAATTTCCTGGGGATTATTCCTACAGAACTTTTCTTGGTGGAGGACGCATATCACTTCAGGAACAGAGAGGATCAAACCGAAACGAACTACGTCGAATTATATAAATGACATGTAATACATTTTTCCGGCCGAAATGCGTAAATTTTAACGATCATCGCAAAAGAGAAAAAGTTTGAAAAATATTTGTTTTTCAGTTCTACAGGCTTGTTTTTTATTTAAAGTAAATAATAGATCACGACCGTCGAGATTCCAGTGCAATACTCGAATTTTAAAGTGTACCGATCATTATTAAAATCGTCACTTTTAGAATCGATCACAGTAATTTCCAATTTCGAAAATTAAATCGTTTCTCCCAACAAACCCATCCACGAATGAATTACTGTACTAGTTTTGTTCTGCCTGGGCCTTTTGAGCTGTATTTGAATATGAGACAGAAACTGCATTTCAGGTTCAACATTTGGAATAAACTTCATAATACAGTACTGCACCTCTTAACATTGAAACTTATGTGAGTTTTCTAGATTCACGAAGGGCTTTAAGAAGGAATGAAGTGTACAGACGATACGAAGTACAGTAGTTGGTTCCATTTCGATGTTTCAGACTATGTTTGAGTGTCAAAAGGTAAGATATGATATACTGTATCATCAAACCCAATATCATGTTCTGCGGTAGAATGTTAGCGAATCGGAGCTCTACAAAGGAATGAACTCCAGCGAATTAAATCAAGATTCGTTTAATTCATCTTCACCAAAAAAAAAACAGGCGGTAAAAATACATTCGAAGCAATCCGTGCCGTCTTTGGCTCCTACTACGAGCCATCACATCTACTCCGTAATATACAAACGTCAAACTTCCAAGGCTTGAATCTATTCTTGACAAGATTTGATTAAAAAGGTAGATCATACACGATCACGTATTTTATTTACTGAAAGCGACATGGAGAAGTTCTCTGGATACAAAAGCGAATACGAGGAAACCCTCCAGAAATATCAATTGGGACAAGAAAAATCGTTGGATAAATCAAAACTCAAATAATGGAGGAATCGGTTTCGATCCCGCGGTGGCATCAACCTGATACAGTATTTGTTTTGAGAAAGGCTTCAGACGCGGAACGGGGGCCTATTTGAACCGATTCCCGCTGATGAAACAGCAGTGCTTGCGGCGGTCCGCCGGATGTTGGTTGCTTTGGGACGACTCGAAGATAGCGAGGGCTTGGTTTTCACCAACGTTGCCCGGGAGGCCCACAGCCGGACAAGCGGCGAATCGAGGAATGGTTCACGACTAACGCTCAGAAATCGGCTCGAAGCGTATTTCTTGTATATCACCTGAATACGGACACGGGGCATCATAAGAGAAGCTAGAATATACTCACGTATTTTCAACACTTGGATGGTAATCTCGAATACAATCCGAAGATACCACTAGTGAGCGAACTCAACTACGAAACCTGCATGTACACGAGTTCATTTGCGCTCTGACTTCATTACGTCATTCACACCGATTTCTACAACAGCGTTTGCTTCGAACTGTAAGCATTATTCGGCCTTCAACGACCAGGGCCACGCAGGAAAGATAATGGAAACATTTTCAAACAAAAGTAAAACTCATCTACAGTATCTACAATCACTTTTAAAATGAATACAGGAATACAATTGAATGATGTACCCCCGAGAACATGCACACGTCGTTATAATTATTCAGAATTGTTGAAAAGTAAGCGAGAAGGATTTATTGGTTGAGACAAAACCTCACAATCTAATGCATGAATTGGGGATTGCACTTTTCAATACAAGTCGGCAATTACCTCGTATTTCTTGTGAGCATCGAGCACCACAAGGCAAAGCTCGTATGCAACTGGTTTCACCGCTTCCGCGGGGTATCCGATTTCGACAGCTGTTTGGACCGACCAGAGTTTCGCAGCCTCTTCATCCAACTGCTTCAAGGAAAATTCTTGATCTCGCGACTCCCAAAGTCTGCAGAGGAAAATATCGTGCAGTGTTTGTATGGGTCCGTCAAATCAACCCTAAGTCACTCACGTTAAACTTAAAAACAATGAAGCTGCAGCGATTTTTGAAGGCCTGACTCCCACCAGCCAATACTCGAACGAGCTTAGTTCAACGAAGTACTTCGCCAAGGCATGAGTTTCAGTGTCGACCTGAAAAATCTTGACGCATTATTTCTGAGAATCCACACGAAAATGATGCATGCTCACATCAGAAACTTTCGAAATTCGACGCAAGAAGGCAATCGGCGGGGGACGTTGGAGCATGAAGTCCAAACTCTGGAGCATTGAACGTTCCATGGCGTGCACATCTCGCACGGTACATGCGTTTTGACTTAAATTGACGAGATCTTCAACGGTTGGCGGGGTAATTTCTTCATATTTCGAAGCGATCAACAAAGCCGTGATGCCAACGAGTTGGTATTTGTTGACTGGCAAGCGGCGTTCCTTTGACACATAACCGTCCAAGATGTACTGCGCGATAGAGAAAGTCTCGGAAAGAAGACGATATTGCTTTTGAAGTTGACCGAGCCAATTCATTAAGGTACGACGACTTTCCGGCGTGATGTGATCATGTCCACTGAGGTAATTCGTTGAAATGCGAAAGCGCTCCTGAAAAAACAATTTTAAAGTTATTCCACGAAAATCCGGTCATTGAATATATGCAGTTTACCTCAAGTTGTAGTTGATACTTCACGACATCTTTCGCATACACAGAAAGGGCACATTCAGCGTCATGGTCATATCTATCTGGATCTTCGAGAGAATTGAGTTCCTCTTCTTTGAAGAAGTCTTTCAGATTGATAGAGGCGTATGAATCAGGTGCGAAGCGAGTGTTAGTCTCAACTTTAGTCGAAGGCGAGGGGGTCACAGTGACAGCAGTGGCAGAGCTCCTTCAAAATAGCAAACCTTAAGCTATTTTCAGTTCTCATCGAAGTACTGTACTTGGGTGATTATTATGCAAATACATATTACCGTAATTAAAAATTTTTCTCATCGAAAGTCAGTGACTTTTGAATAATGTATAGTTCCACAATTCGAACAAATATTCCACGAAATATTCTGCACGTACTTGATAAATTCAGGCTTTTCAGGAGTGGACACGACTTTTTTCTTTTGCAGGACATTTGGCTGCGATCCGATTCCGACATTCTTGTCAAGGGCGATTAAACCATGCCTCGTCGTAACACCAGATCCTTTCACAGCAACTTTCGTAGACACACCCTTTCCTGCAGGGCCATTCTCTTGACCAATGACTGAGTTCTTTAGCACCTGTAGATGGAATAAGACCAGGATTAAACGAGACATTAAGATTGGCCTTAGGTCACTTTAAGCAAAATAGCGGCAGAAATGACACGCAAGAACGGATTTCTACTAACCTTATGATTTTCATCGAGGCGGGCTCTGGTCGGAATCATGCTCATTCTGTTGTTGACGATCAGTGGCCGGCGGGTAGCCATACTGAAGATGTCTGGCCAACGCAACCGAATTTGTAAAATCAAGTTCTAAAAAATATTTTCATAAATTCGGCAACCGTGAAGCGGGTTCATAGAACATTCATTTCAAATTTGCTTTAAAATCTCTGAACACCTATCATTAACAATCAGATACTTCAACTGTACACGCAGGAAAATTATAATCGTTGAGCGTAACACTTGAAAGATGAAATCGTTCTTCTCCACCCAGCGGACAGTAAAATATCACATCACGTTCGCATAGCCGAATCAGGATTGTTAGATTGTAGCTGCGAATTGATTCGTGCGCTCTTAACTTCGGTCTTGAATGCCCAGCGCCATATTAAAAAGTGATTCACATGGATGCCCGATCGCTCAAGCTCAATCTTCGAAAGTTCCCATCTAGCTCATGTCAAAAATGTTGTAATTTTTAATATCCTTAAATTAAATTTAATTTCAATAAATATGCTATTTTTAAAATGAACCTGATAATTGTTTGACTCTTTTCTGGACATCACTGTTCCGTGCGGCCATCTTCGATTTGCCGGAAATTCGCGGTGATTGCCACTGTTGAATTGAATGCTTCAAAGTGCCGGTAAAGTGATATATGACGCGAGCTGAATAATTTGCGGGACGGGCGAAGGCGTACATATTGCGTTTGTGGTTCAGTCATCCATCTGAACTTTTCTTCTAGTGATTGCATGGACGATTGCTTCTTTAGGCATTGCGGTAGAAATTCAGTGCCGCTTGGTGATTCGTGCCGTGATTCGCCTTTAATACTTCAGTGACAGTGATTCGGTTTTGAGCGATCGAGTTTACGAATCAAATCACGATGTCGGACAACGCTGTTTCCGTGAGCTCACGATTCATTCTTATCTGGGTATTGGAAGTGTTATAATTTGAAGAATCCGATTCCAGGGAAAGGACGGGGGAGATGGAGGAAATGAGTATATCAAGCTGAAGGTGGTGGGACAAGACTCAAACGAAATCCATTTTCGCGTCAAAATGACAACACAAATGGGAAAACTGAAGAAGTCTTACAGTGAGAGAGTGGTATGGAATCGAACTGTCCTTTTTTCTTGCTATGGATTGATGCCGTTCTGTGATGAAGTTCAACATTGGTCTTCTAGACGCGAATCTCTATTTGATCGTATACGCGATGACAGGAATATGGCATTATTTTTTCAGGGAGTGCCGGTGACATCTTTGCGTTTCCTCTTCGACGGCCGTCGTATCAATGACGACGAATCTCCGAAGCAGCTAGACATGGAGAACGACGACGTCATAGAGGTGTATCAAGAGCAAACTGGTGGATGCTGAGCCTTTACGTTGATCTAAATTGTGCGCGAGTCGTTTCTTACAATTTTGTTCGCACCGTTTGCAGGCTTATCAGTTCGGGCTGGACCGTCATTTGCTGTACTGTTCATTCCGTCATTTTGTTTTATAGCTGAAGTTTCCCCTACGATTCCCGCTAAAATTGTATTTCTTGCTCCGTTTCCAGCCACCTTCAACGTGATCTTCATTGTCGTCGCGTTGTGCAGTGCCTCCCAACGCAAATTCCCATTTCGTTTTTCAATGTTAGTTTCATATCGTGTTGCGGTTTTTCCTTTTTTTGATTGTACCTTATTCGTTTTTCTTCGTGCTTGATTTTCTACAAAGCGAACTTACGGTGTTGAAGTGTTTTTCTCTATATATTCGTGTTTACTTAGAAATCAATCACTCATTTGCAGGATTTTCCCTCGAAAATACTCTTATCTGGCTCGTGTCCAGTGCTTTTTTGTTGCGGATGGTGTCAGTGGCGGTGTATCATCTTGAACGTATGGGAGGGTCTGCCGTTGAATCTTGCATACGCGAATGTTTACTCTTGAAATCGAACACTCTTCAATTAACGTTTTCAGAAGTGTTTAGGCTATTGATCTGGAATTGAGAATCTCTGCTATCCAATCTTTACAGAGGAATTGTACGCAGAAGTACTTCAAATTAGTTCCCCTGTGATATTTTGGGTTGAAGATGCCAGAATCTGAGTCCAGGTAAGTTTTTCCTTAGTGTGTTCTACTGCACAGTACTTCTGAAAATTAAGTGATCTTATATATTTTAGGCTCCCACCACCACCAGTCGAATGGGCTCAACGAAAAAACGTGATTTTCCTTACAATCCAGTTGGAAGATTGCAAAGATCCGCAGATCAAAATAGAAACCGACAAAGTCTATTTCAGAGGTGTTGGAGGAACGGACAAGAAAGATCACGAACTCACAATTGAACTGATGCATGAGATCGTTCCAGAGGTGAGTGTGATCAGCGATGCGTGAAATTTTGTATTTTCTTCAACCAAATTCGTCGTCTGGTTTAATTTCTAGGATTCTAAGTATTTTCGTCGGGACCGAAACATCGAGATGGTGCTAAAGAAGAAGGAAGGTAGCGATAAGTTTTGGCCTCATCTCCTTAAGGAAAAGAAGAAATTTCACTGGCTGAAAGTTGATTTCAATAAGTGGAAAGATGAGGATGATACCGACGATGAGATGGGTCAAGGAGATGACCTGCAAGAGGTGAGATCAATGACTGATACCTTCACTTAAAACTGGAAGTGGAATTTTTTGAATGAAATTTTTGGACAACGAGGTGTCCCATTTTGAGTGTAGCTGTATTGGTGAATTCAATTTTAAACCATGAATTCGCTTGTTATTGATGAAACACGTGCCCCGCAATTCTACAGTCAATTACTTCTTATGAACCGTGGGTAAGTTGGTGCAAGGTTAGCTCCAACGTTGCGCGTCTATTAATTCTCCTCAAAAAGTTTCGTGCTTCTCGGTGGACCAATCTGGCTGTCCATAAGTAATGAAAGAAGATATCAGTTTTGAAATCGGCTCGAGTATGAAGGATTGGCAGTTGAATTTGAATCGCACCGACGTCTGTGGTCCGAAGTGAGCATGGAGTCGTGCCATTGAAAATCGTTGTTTTATCCCTTGATGATTAAATGATTAAATCTACTGTACTGTACTGAACTTCGGAATGTCTTTTATTACGTTCTATGTTGCCCTAGATAAAAAACCTTATAATCCACCTGGATTTGAGTGAAGGAATTTCTCAACTTGTTCTAAGATCTTATGCGTATCATGGTTTTACAGTAGTGGTAGTTCCGAGTCGCAGAATGCAACTTCTTCGGACGCTGGTTGAATTGTCTTGATTGCCTGTGAAAATCTGAATGTGACATCCTCGAAGAACTGTGTGTTTGGCTTGCATTGCTTGATTTAGTCTTACTTTTCTGATAAATTGCAGATGATGAGGCGGATGGGAGGCCTGGGTGGTGGCGGCATGGGAGGAATGGGCGGCATGGGCGACTTCGGAGGCCCTGAAGGAGAAAAGCCTAATTTGAACGACCTGTCCGATGATTCCGATGACGAGGATTTGCCAGATCTTGAGTAATCTCGGTCGAGTCATTTTTTACGTCTCGGGTTCTGCGTTTAATCTACACTCGGCGCGCGTCGTATGTGTCTCCTTTCGTTCTTTCGAAATTCCGTTGAACAAAGATAACATCTTGTTCTCCCGGCGTAAAAGACTGGATTCGCCGATCGTCCCTGCTTTTTTCGAGGGTCCCTTTGCAGTGGCATTAAACTGCGCTTATGTGTAGGCGTGCATGTCTCAGAGGGAGGTCGGGTTTCTGCGAGTGCGAGTCATTTTGGAATGAGTCATGCGCGGATGAAGTGAAGTTTGTCCCGGAGGAAATGCACGCTGAGCTCGGTTTGTGCCTCAAAAGATTTGGAATACACTGTTTTACTGCCAGTCCTATTTCGGTACTTCGGATGATCATATCTGTTTCTTCCCAGACTTTTTCGCGACGAAGATCGGGGAATTCGACGCTTTGATTTCATGGATAAGCCCCGAAGATGATTGTAGTGGAGAGGCAACCATTATTGTGGTTGAGACGTTCGATCCTTAAACGTATACCCACCTCACAGCCGCAACTGAAGTGTGGGTCGACTCACAGGTTTGACTTTCTTGGTTTGTTATCTTTCGAGCTGCTTTTTATAGGGCTAATCCCTTTCGATAATTGGTGATTTAATGCAGCATTCATAAAGCTTTTTACATTCGCATACTGGTTAAAATTATATGCTTCGCAGACAGAGTTTTTTGTTTTTTTATTGATCCCTGGGGTTGCTTATGGCCTGGATGACCTAAGAAAAATTTCTTCACGGTCCACCGATCGATGAACGCTGGCGGTAAAAAAATCTCTGAATTGTCGAATTGCTTGAAGTTACCTCTTACATTTGATTGGATTGATTGAAAAGGTCTGTCCTTGATCTTGTAGAGAAAGGCATGCTGTGATGTTATCAAGCAGTCGAACTTTCTTCAACATAACGGAATCAGCTAGTAGGAAAAAAGAATATTCTGAGCGTCGTCTGATCGGGTGAGAGTGTAAAACTTTTTTACGTTACCCCGTGTTCTCGCGATTCAACTTCGTGATCGGACGTTTCCAGGTACTCCATGGAAGAGATGTTCGATGTCGTTTCAGATGTGGGCAAGTACAAGACCTTCGTTCCTTGGTGCACAGACTCGCAGGTGCTCAAACGAAGACCTGGATATTTAGGCTGCAAACTGACGATTGGGTTTCCACCGTTGAACGAAACTTACAAGTCGACTGTAACGCTTGCGAGACCGAATCTAGTTAAATCGGAGTGTGTTGACGGCCGGCTCTTCAATTATTTGCTCGCTATTTGGCAGTTCAGTCCTGGTTTATCTGGTAAGTAACGGTGACTGCTCTTGTGAAATTACAACAAAAATTTTCATAGCGTTCATTGAAAATGGTAATCTCGCAAAATAATCCTGGAGGGATTTTTCCGTAAGACTGAATGGATTCTAGATTAAATCAGAATTCTTGAAAATATTTTTTTATCTCTCGTGATCACTTCGTGTCGCAGATGTATTCAGAAATGGCCGAGAGTGAATCATTACGTTTTGAAACGTAGTACGGAAACGAACCACGCGTTGCGATTAAATTCGTGGGACGTGCAGTTGGTCGAAGAAAATGCCGTGATTATTGTGAATTAAGTTAAAATTTATTTCAACTTACAGTAGTATAATACTGTACTGAGAAGCTGTTCCGACTTCACTAACTGAACTTGGTTTAATCGAAAAGTCAAGTTTTAAATATTGGTGAATGCAATTCCAAGAAATATAAGGTATTGAAGAGGACTAAGTTCTCACTTTTTTCATGAGAAACACATTTTCACTATTCTCTTGAGTTAAATGGTCGGAAATTGTAGACCATGAATGTTTCATTTTAAAACATTATTAAAGCGGGTAGCAGGTGCACTTTCTCGTTTTTGACTCAATTGGTCCGTCTTGCCGTCGACTCTACGTCATTGTTCAAAAATCATCTTCACTTTTTATTAATAAACTCGACTTATAATTACGAAGTATAAGTGTGTGTTATGCAGTTGGGATGACCAATAATGGCAGAGGTTGATGAGCATTGGAAATACTGTATATTCAAAATAAAAAATTTAATTGAAATACAGTAGTGCATGCTTCATGATATATCTTCAATGCGGATATCCCCTGAAAATTCGATAAAACGAGTCTTCCTTGTCCTGTTTTTCATTGCTGTGGATTGTTTTGGAGTGTATACTGTGCTTACCTCAAGCAATTGATTAACCCTCTTTCAGCGCGTGAGGTGTTAAATAATGACTACGTCTTGAATTCGCAATAAATCGTTAAAATTTTGTGAGCATGCAAGAATGAAGATCGTCTTGTAAGAATCGTTTAGTCTTTACCTGCTTGTGAATTTAATGTATAGTATGCCCTTTAATAATTTTCTTCTTTCTGTTGGATGATGGTGCATTATTTGATGTTATTTTTTTACCAAGGAAATGCGAAGTCGTGCACGTTGGATTTCTCCGTGAGATTCGAGTTTCGATCATCACTTCATTCACACCTTGCAGAGCTGTTCTTCAAAGAAGTTGTGAGATCAAATGTGAAAGCTTTTCTTGGAGAAGCGAAGCGGCGGTATGGGGCTCCTTCTGTTCCCGAAGGGCGTCCTCATATAAAAAGAGCGGGTTGATGCGAGTCTTCGAATTTAGGGGTTCTTAGATACTCCGGTTTCACCTACTGGGAATATTTAGCGACGTTCATGTGCTACCGAAGTCGCTGTGGGCTCACTGTCTGATCGACGTGATGCTGAAATTGCAAATCTGAAGTCTGAGGCGTACGGCCGTTGTTTGCAATCGAGATTGTGGTTTGAAATATACCCGAATTATTTTCACATGATTTTGTAATTTCATGTTCGTTGTGGGTGTATATCGCTCTAGCAAGTTCATTTCATTTTGAAATAGCCAGGAAATGGAAAAGTCGAGTGAGAACGACAAGAAGCGAAAGCAGTTCGGAGGACGCCTTCTTACTCAGAATGATGACGTTTTTGAACACAATGCATGGTTCGTGTAAACATTGCCTTTGTTCTGGGCCCCCCACAACTGTGTAATGATCCAAATTTTGTTTTAAAAATTACAGGGATAACGTTGAACTGTCGGAAGAACAGAAGTTGTTGGCCGCAGAGAAAATTTTGACGAATTCGTCGGTTACCTTGACTCCCGAGGACCGTGCAAAGTTGCTTCATCACGCTGCATCCCATTGGGACGCGTTCTACAAAGTCCATGATAACAAGTAAACAATTTTTTCTCATTTGATAAATGCTAAATAAAACCTCATTTCCTGCAAGAGTACGTGAAAGTCAAACCCATTTTTCAAATCTTGCGTCTTCAAATCGTAAGCCTTGGATTTTTTTCCTGTATTGTATGTAGGGGTTGCTCATAAAATCTTGTTAGTCTCGCGTTGTCTAATTTTCGATTTCCAAAGATGGACCTCACGCGTTGCCGCAGTCCGTTTGATTCATCGTGTTCTGAAGAATTCTGATACTTCGCTCTAAAATAGAACGGGGTTTTCAGTCTAACTTTTTTTTTTCGGAAAACTTGCAAACGCCCAAAATAAGATTTCTATTACCTGCGATGAACACAACTGCAGTATAGCTGAACTTTATTTTAGAAGCGTCTCCACTGCTTATAACGTGCCAAGGTTGTGTTCTGGGCTAGTTTAATCCATGAATCACGCTGCAGATTTTTCAAAAACCGTCAGTGGATCTTCACGGAGTTCCCGGAACTCAAGGGTGTGAGCGAGCCGAATATTTTGCCTGGAAACATGGACAAATTTCCTGGAGCGATGGCTTCACGAAGGATCCTCGAAGTGGGTTGCGGGGTCGGGGATACAATTTTCCCCATTTTGGAGAACGATCCTGACCTGAATCTCTTCGTGTATGGGTGTGATTTCGCCGAAAGTGCTATAGAAATCGTCAAGTCGCACCCGGGATATAAAGAGAACTCCAATCGTTGCCATGCGTTTGTCGCGGATGTCACGGACCCTGATGCCACGTTTCCTTTTCCGAAAGGCAGCTTAGACTACATATTGTGTATTTTTGTGCTTTCTGCAATAGACCCCGAAATGTGAGTATTTTTCATATCCTCAGCCCTTTTCGGGAATTCTTCAAGCACTGGTGGATCGAAGCTTATTGGGAGGGAGATAAAAGGCTTGTCCCAGTTCCTCGTGGGAAAAAATGTTCCAGCGTGATGTTCATGCCCTCATTTTTCAATTGCACTATGTGACAAGAAGTGAAAACTTTCTGGTTACAAAAAGGCATTTCACAGTGTGCTGAAAATTTGTCGACAGTTAGAAATTTAAATTATTTTTGTCTTTCAAATACTGAATCATCTTCCTTACCTTTCGTAAGATTTTGAAAATGTTGTATGATCATGGTTTTTTTTATGTAACTGATGCAGTATATAACGCACACAAATCTTTTGTGTGTTGCAAAAACACAGTGTTCATTTTTCTAAGGCCAAGTATTATTTTTTAAATATTTTTTTCAACAGCTTCCACTGCAATAAAATATTGATTTTTATTGTTCAATACAGAAAGCAATAACTGGGTGATCAAATGTTGAATTGTATCGAAGTCCAACCCTGTTCCATTTTGTGCATTATGCGTAAGGTAAGTTCAACTTGAATTTGACAAATAAAATTAATTTAAAAGCACAATAATTGGTCTTGGCGAATGGTTCTGTGAAAATCACGAAAATTGAAGATACCCATTCACCAAAAAAATTAGCGTATTCATATATCGCGAAGAGATGTATCTGCTGTGGTGTTTTTTAAGTAAAAAAGCTACCGTAATTATCCACAATTTTAGAAAATTTTGAATGACACGAGAGATGATCGATATGTGGTACACATCATGGCGAAACGAAGAATTGTTCAATTTTTTAAAATTCTCTTTCAATTAATTTTTCTTTTCGAAACTGAGACAGCCCTCTTCCGTGAAGTCAGTTTTTCTGTTTATTTTGCCTAACTGTCTTCAAAGCACAGCTTTTTGCAATTTATATTTTTAGGTGATCATTTCAAGGATTAATTTTTTGTTTGTTTTTTATTGTAAGTTGTTTTTATGTAAACGTCCTTCGGAAACTAACAGAATTTTCGAGATTTTAATGAACTTATACTGTACATAATTTTCCCCTTCAAAATCGAGACCGCCTTCTTGTGTGAAAAGAGAGGCTGAGTATCTTGCCAAACTGTCTCCAAAACCCAATTTTCCAAAATTATCTTCTTTGAACTGATCGTTGTAAGGATATTTTTTTCTTGTCGATTATTTTTAACAAGATAATTCTTAATTTTTTTATTACTTCATGTAGAAAATTGTATTGATTCCTTTTCATATGCGACCATATTTCCTTTCAACCGGAGTACAAAAAGTTAATATACTGGAATGCGTGATCAATTTAAAATTCCTGGGTTTATCTGGAAATTGAACGTATGCATAGCGCTGTGTTTTATTTTTTAGATTACCAAATGTTATATCTCGCTTGACGGCATGTCTGAAACCCGGAGGGATGTTCCTCGTCAGAGACTACGGCTATTGCGACATGGCACAGCTTCGGTTCAAACCCGGGAAGTGTTTGTCCGAGAACTTCTACCATCGCGGGGATAATACTTTAGTGCACTTTTTTACTGAGGGTGAGTTTGGGAAATATGTGCAGGAATGCTGAACGAGGCCCGATATCAACTTCAGTTCAATTTCGTTGAACATTGTTTCCAAAATTTTGTGTGTTCAGAATTGTATTGCATGAATTCAACCAACGTTGGGTTGAGGAGGAGTTTTTTTTGTCGACTTGCGATTTACGCTAAAATTTGGTTGAAAATCGAATCTTCAGGGAGATATCAACTTAATTTTTATGCGTAATCATTGAATACAATTCGCTGTGTACCTTCCAGTGGTGCTTGCTGTTGAGAATGATACAGTAATTTATCGTCAGATTATCATAGGAACTGAGGCCCAGAATGCTATGCAACAATGTTAGAGTCGTTTAACTGCAATTGATTTTTTGGTATACTTTGTTGTATCTATTTAATGTATCATCTCTCTGATTTTTGAGTTTCTGGGTGTTGTTTGGGTTCTGTTATTTTGTGTCTAAGTTTGAAAGATATTTTTTCTTTATGTTTGGTTAGATTATTTTTAATTGATCGAGTTCGTGAACAACAGTCTAGGTGGAACTTGAATATTCAAGTGATCCAAGTGTCTAAGACATTTTTTAGTTACGGGTTTCCGTGATTTTTTATAAAATATTTAAATAATGTGATCAGAAGAGTTCGTTCTGTATTTGCAGATAAAATGAGAAATCTCTTCACATCTTGTGGACTGGAAGAAAGACAAGTTCATGTGGACCGACGTTTGCAAGTGAACCGCGCAAGAAAGCTGCAGATGTTTCGCGTTTGGATTCAATGTAAATTTCAGAAAGCGTTAGAAGATCCTGCATGATTTTGAAATCATTTTGTGAAAACAAGCTTATGTTTCTTTAAACCGTCGTGTGTGATTATTTGAAGACCCGAAAAAGCTGATCGTGTTCTTCTCGTCGGTGAGTATACAGTACTGTATATGGTTCACTTCGGATGATGAGAAGGGAATTAGCTGATTTTTAGAAAGGACGTAAAACCAATTTGGTGTCGAAATCATTCGAATTTATTTTATAATCGCTTTTTTCTCGACAACACGGACACTCACATCGATTACAATTGAAATTTTTCACGTTTTTTTCCGCGAGGCGAAATCGTGGAAATATTGTCTCTTTTTCTCACGGCAAACCGAAGCACGTGAGGAACTTCGCGAAACGGAACAATTCACTTGACTCCACGATTTCTTTACACCAACGTATAAAAAAATGGAGACGATACGAGAACAAAATTGAAAGACAACAGCACCAGGAACATAAAGAGATACAACAAAGTCGGAAGATTGACAGGGATCAAGAAATGCCTCTGCGACTTCTCCGCTTTTTTTAATGCCTTTGTCTTCCGATCATGGATATTCACCGGAAAATAAAAACCAATCATTTTTTAAATTTCGAAGATCACTGCTTTCTGGGTGCTAAACCCTCGCGTCGCACAATCCCTTTGATTCTCAGCTCAACGCATGCGAGAAATGCGAAGCAAATTATTGGACCGGTGATATTTTCACAAAAAAAAAGGTGCTCTCACGTTAGACGTATGCTTGCCTCTATCACAGATGCGAAGGACGATTTTAGTCGACAAGAAACGCTGACAATAAGACGGGCGTCTTAAAAAAGGTTAGTCGAAGACGTTTCACTTCAGAGTGTACGACGATGACATAAAAACCTATTTTCCAGGTACAAGAAGTCTTCTGACGAAGTACTTGAACGTCTCTTGGGACGACTCGGGACGTAAAAAAAAAACGGCTCACTGTTCCTCCCCTCGAAACGAAAAGATAACTTAAGCAAAGGACTTCGACGTTCCAGAGATGAAAAACATAAAATGAACGAACGACTGCTTTGAACTGAACTTGCGTTCCTGCGAATAAGAAGGCTACTACATCGCATTGAAGAGAGGGGAGATAACTTGAAGTGAGGATGGATTTCACGGGGTTCTAAAAAAAAACGGGTGCAATGAGAGAGCGAAGCCGCTCTTGGCGTTCAATCGGGCTTTGACTAGCCCACCAGCATTTCCGAACTTAGTTCAACTTGCCGTGAGAGAGAGAACGCCGAGGGTGAATTCGCTCAGTTGCGAGGATAATCTCGCTGAACGGGGTTTTTGCTTAATCGGAGGCGTCGGTGGTTTGCTCGACGGCGGGTTCTTCCGCGGCAGCGGGTTCTTCCTCTGCCGGGGCCTCAGCAGCGCCTGCGTCTCCATCGTTTCCTCCGTCGGCGTCGTTCTCGTCACTGTGGAACATAAAGTTTGTGAGACTGGGGTAAGCAAGGAAATGAGACAGATACCGTGTTTTCAAAATATCTCGAAAAAAAAAACGCTTATCATGATCGTATATTATTGTTTCAGACGGGAATAACCAGGGAATTCGCGAATGAGAATTGGAACGTGAGCTAAATATTTTCAAAATGGAAAGGGTCGTTGTATGGAATCTTGGGCGCAGATCACTGACAAAAAAGTTCAAGTAAGTAAGTAAGATCAAGAGGAAGAAGAATTTGATTATGCAGTTATTCGTGCTCCGAGTTATGTCTAGTGAAAAATCGTTTCTCGACATCACATTTCACGTAAGTGATTTCCGGAGTACCGCGTAGATAATTCAGGGTGTCGTTTGCGTAGCCTTTTTTTGATTGAGCGAAGTTAAATTATTGTACTTGAAACTCGCAGTTTCGCATTTCAGTGTGTATTTTATGGGTGCAATAGGATAATGCAATTGCGTAGAAGTATATTTCCGGTCATCAGAGAAGATGAGTGCCGAAAGAATAATGCGCGGCGGATTCTGATGCAATATGATGCCAACCAAGTGGTCTCTCCTCGATGATCAACAATTTGAAGTTATGCGAAACATTTTCGACTTTGATTTCAATAAGCAACGTTAAGATAAATTGCTTGAATTTCTGCGCGAAACCTAAAATCATCAGCGAGGACTTCCATTCATATACAAAGTTATTCGGCACATTTTCAAATGAGCTTATCGTAATATATTGCAGAGGTGCAGTAATCACAACGATAAGTTAACTGAGAAGACTTTTAAACAAGAGTATCAAAACTGTAGGCCATTATGAGATCGTACCTTTCGTCGGAATCGTTGCTGCTGTCGTCAGATCCCTCTCCATCGTCGGAGTCATCGCTGCTGTCGCTGTAGAGTATACAAAAAAGATTTACATTTTAAGTAAGTCTTCTGGTGCGACTTGTCGAAATCAAAGGGGAAAAGTTGGTCATTCGAATAATATTACTTGATTAAAGCGAAAGATTTGGGAAGTGTAAACATGGTGGTTTACCTTTCGTCAGAATCGTTGGAGCTGTCATTGGATCCTTCGCCATCTTCGGAGTCATCGCTGCTGTCGCTGTAGAATATGCAAAAAAGTTTTATATTTTAAGTAAGTCTTCTGGTGCGACTTGTCGAAATCAAAGGTAAGAAGTTGGTCATTCGAATAATATTGCTTGATTAAAGTGAAAGATTTGGGAAGTGTAAACATGGTGGTTTACCTTTCGTCAGAATCGTTGGAGCTGTCATCGGATCCTTCGCCATCTTCAGAGTCATCGCTGCTGTCGCTGTTGAAAGGAAATTTCGAGTCTGCACGTTAGTTTGATGATCATAGATTGTATTGATCAAATTTCTCAAAATTTGAAGACGCATTAGGTAAATTTGTGAACTGCAAGGGATCGAGAGAGAAACTGACCTGTCAGCAGAGTCGTTGGAGCTGTCGTTCGAGCCTTCGCCATCTTCCGAATCATCGCTGCTGTCGCTGTAAAGAAATGCGCTGTAATTTTAAATAGATTCCGGAACTTTGTTGAATTGGGTTTGTTAGAGCGTAAAACACGTATCAACTAAATTAAGGGAATGTTGTTGAAAGCAAACATCTGGCAAAATTAAGTTGCATTCGGCAATCTGACTCGCTCTAAAAATGTTTGGCCAATCCAATTTAAAACACTCAGCCTGACAAGATGCTTTGGGTCATCGTGAAATAATGTGAAAACACGCAAAAAGAATTGTGGATTTACCTATCATCGGAATCGTTGGAGCTATCAGCAGATCCCTCGCCATCCTCAGAGTCGTCGCTACTGTTGCTATCGCTCTCATCAGAGTCGTTGGAGCTGTCGGCAGATCCTTCGCCATCTTCGGAGTCGTCGCTGCTGTTGCTATCGCTCTCGTCAGAGTCGTTGGAGCTGTCATCAGATCCCTCGCCATCCTCAGAGTCGTCGCTGCTGTTGTTGTCGCTCTCATCAGAATCGTTGGAGCTGTCGTCAGATCCTTCGCCATCCTCGGAGTCGTCGCTGCTGTTGTCATCACTGTGTAATGAAATTTCATGGAGTTTTTACCAAGAGGCCGATTTTGGAAGTCGAACAAAAATGGTGAGAAATTAGCTCAAGATTTTTTGTGAAGATCTTTTAGATGTCTAACCTATCGGCAGAGTCATTGGAGCTGTCGTCAGATCCTTCGTTGTCTTCTGAGTCATCACTGCTGTTGCTGTCGCTTTCAGCAGAGTCGTTGGAGCTATCGTCAGATCCTTCGTTGTCTTCAGAGTCATCGCTGCTGTTGTCGTCGCTTTCAGCAGAGTCGTTGGAGCTATCATCGGATCCTTCGTTGTCTTCAGAGTCGTCGCTGCTGTTGCTGTCGCTGTCAGCGGAATCGTTGGAGCTATCATCAGAGCCTTCGCCATCTTCGGAATCGTCGCTGCTGTTGCTGTCGCTATCGGCGGAGTCATTGGAGCTATCATCAGAGCCTTCGCCATCTTCGGAATCGTCGCTGCTGTTGCTGTCGCTATCGGCGGAGTCATTGGAGCTATCGTCAGAGCCTTCGCCGTCCTCAGAGTCGTCGCTGCTGTTATCATCGCTGTAATTTGACAAGAATTTAACGATTAATCAATCTGTAATGCAAAATAGCCGTGGAAATTTTTGAGAAACTGCGTGATCAAAATATTTACCTCTCATCAGAATCGTTGCTGCTGTCGTCAGATCCTTCATTGTCTTCTGAGTCATCGCTGCTGTTGTCGTCGCTCTCGTCAGAGTCGTTGGAGCTATCGTTGGATCCTTCGTTGTCTTCAGAGTCGTCGCTGCTGTTGCTGTCGCTGTCAGCGGAATCGTTGGAGCTATCATCAGAGCCTTCGCCATCTTCGGAATCGTCGCTGCTGTCACTATCAGAAGAGTCGTTGGAGCTGTCGTTAGAGCCTTCGCCATCTTCAGAATCATCGCTGCTGTTGTCATCGCTGTTGAGTTAATCAAAACATTTTATTCAATTTCTTCATAAGTCATTGTGTTTTTGTGTGATTTATCATTCGGAATATCCGGAGTTTCTCATATATTTTATCTTTTACGACTTATGTGAGCTCAGCATTACCAACCTTTCATCTGAGTCGTTGCTGCTGTCATCAGAGCCCTCATTATCTTCGGAGTCATCGCTGCTACCATCGCTGTGTTACCAATTTTTAAAATTAAATGCTATACTTAATGTAATTTAATTACAACTCAGGAATCGAACCTTTCATCTGAGTCGTTGGAACTGTCATCAGACCCTTCATCATCATTAGAATCGTCGCTGCTGTCACTGAAATATTACACGATTTTATAGCAATACATTTATCTTTAAAATTTATTTTGTTCGTTAATGTACCTATTGCTTGAATCGTTGCTGCTGTCGTTGGAGTCTTCATTGTCCTCAGAACTATCGCTGCTCTCATCGCTGTTACAAAAATTAGTCAAGTTTTATTTTGATTCCATGTGAGACTACTATTATTAGAGCTTATAAATCGAACCTCTCATTGGAATCATTGGAGCTGTCATCAGAGCCCTCATCATCGTTAGAATCATCGCTGCTGTCGCTGAAATTTTACATGAATTCTATTGATAACTCTTTTATGACGATTGTCAAATTCGTGCTTTACCTATCGCTTGAATCGTTGCTGCTATTGTTGGAATCTTCGTTGTCTTCAGAACTGTCGCTGCTGCCATCGCTGCATTACGGAATTTATTTTAATTTATTTTACCGATGTTAATACTTCAAAAACTAAAGAATCGAACCTTTCATCAGAATCGTTGGAGCTGTCATCAGAGCCTTCATCATCATTAGAATCGTCGCTGCTGTCACTGAAATTTTATACGCTTGTTTAAAAAGCAAGAATCGCTTTTTTGAAATTTACTTTGTTCTGTACCTATCGCTTGAATCGTTGCTGCTGTCGTTGGAATCTTCGTTGTCTTCGGAACTATCGCTGCTGTTGTCGTCACTACATGGAAAATGAGGGTATTTTCATTGAACTCAGATTTGAATTTGAAGTGTGTGTGTGTGTAATGGATGAACGAAGATCATTGTTCTTCTGATCATTTCATGTGTTTGCTTCAGACGATAGCTTGTTTATGTGTTTTTGTCGTGTCATATGTGTGCGGGATTTTGGTGAAATGCAAAGGCACATTGTCATTTGTGTTTCTTGTGAATGGAGAAAATAGAAACGCTGTTTTTTTTTCTCACCTTTCGTCAGAGTCGTTGGAGCTGTCGTCCGAGCCTTCGCCATCCTCGGAATCATCGCTGCTGTTGTCGTCGCTGAAGAGAAGAAAATTGAACAATTTGAACCAAGTTTTACGAAGATGAGGTAGCATATTTTTTTTCATCATTGATGAAGGCATTACAGTACTTCTTGAATCGGGAGAGCCGTTTAAAAATTGAACTGTTCCAAAGCCACAAAGTGAAGATCTGTGTGACGCACAAAATCACATGAACTTCTTAAAAATGAATATTCACGTTCAAGGGACAAGTTGCTCTTGCGCCAAATAAAATCTGTAAACATTGAAAAGGAATTTTTCTTGAATGGATATTGAATTCTGCAATCCAGTGCAAATGAGATTCTGGGGAAGAGATGAAATCTTCACTTTTGTGCGAGTGACACTCGCATTATAGGTTTAGCTGTTATAATTCAATATCCGCTCAAAATTACGAAGTTGTCTAAAGGTCTTTGGTGGCCATGACAATTGGAGAAGTGAATGCCGTCAGGATTGGCTAGGGGTTGTACGGAAATTTCTTTCGATTTGCTAACCTTTCGGCAGAGTCATTGGAGCTGTCGTCAGATCCTTCATTGTCTTCTGAGTCGTCGCTGCTGTTGCTGTCGCTATCGGCGGAGTCATTGGAGCTATCGTCAGAGCCTTCGCCATCCTCAGAGTCGTCGCTGCTGTTATCATCGCTGTAATTTGACAGGAATTTAACAATTAATCAATCTGTAATGCAAAATAGCTGTGGAAAATTTCGAAAAATTGCGTGATCAAAATATTTACCTCTCATCAGAATCATTGCTGCTGTCATCAGATCCTTCGTTGTCTTCTGAGTCGTCGCTGCTGTTGCTGTCGCTGTCAGCGGAATCATTGGAGCTATCGTCAGATCCCTCATTGTCTTCAGAGTCATCGCTGCTGTTGTCGTCGCTCTCGTCAGAGTCGTTGGAGCTATCGTCAGATCCTTCGTTGTCTTCGGAGTCGTCGCTGCTGTTGCTGTCGCTGTCAGCGGAATCGTTGGAGCTATCATCAGAGCCTTCGCCATCTTCGGAATCGTCGCTGCTGTTGCTGTCGCTATCAGCAGAGTCGTTGGAGCTATCATTGGATCCTTCGCCATCTTCAGAATCATCGCTGCTGTTGTCATCGCTTTTTTTGCAAATGAAAGAGAAATGATACCTTAAAATCTCAAAGCGCAGAGGTTCAAACGTCTTGCAGAAAACCAAATCATATTGAATGTAATTTCGACTTCGAGCTCATTCAGATTTTCTCTTTTGTTTCATTTCAAGTTACGACTTCGATTGCATTGTACATTTTTCCGATGTTCAGTATATTTCCTCGAAATTATTTTGTTTGATTAACGAAAACGCTAATTGTATTCAAAATTAGAACTCGTTTCTTGTATCAATACTAAAATATTGAATGGTATTGATTGTGTATGTATGTTTATGTTTCTTCTCTAGCTGTTTCAATCAAAATCTTTTCGGATTTTTTACCTATCGACAGAGTCGTTGGAGCTGTCGTCAGATCCTTCGCCATCCTCAGAATCGTCGCTGCTGTCATCGCTGAGAAATAAAATTCCAGGTTAAACGTAAACAATTAGCCTCTAAGTGTGCCAAATTCAATGTAATGACAATTTTCGCTTCCTCTCAATCGTAAAACGTCACAGTATTTTGGACAGCCGTTCAAGTGAGGAAAAGAACTGTGTATATAAGCCGCAGAAACGTTGAGAATTTGAGAGACAAACATTCTTGAAAAATCAATGCCTGTATCAATTGTCCTAGCTACAAATAAGTGTCGCAGAAACTTAATTTGTTAAAGATCTCTTCGTCTTGTTCCGAAATACATGCGATGCTGAAATTCTCTGACGAAGCGAAAGGAAGTAATTTACTGTATTTGCGTAAAATTCTTCTGGGCGCATTTCTTACGGCATGATTTTAGTCTGTCTTATGTTGCCCGTAACAGATCTCCAACCCTCAATTAATGCTGTAAATAAGACCGCGTCTCCTAGTCACCATGGACTATTTCAAATACTGTATCTCGAGTATTCCTGTATCCGAGTTCGTCGTATACATTTTTTTTGGTAAATAATACTCTTTTGAATACTGTAATCGGTAATACTCTTTATCTTTAATTAATTCAATATTTACCTGTCAGCAGAGTCGTTGGAGCTGTCGTCGGATCCCTCGCCATCCTCAGAATCGTCGCTGCTGTCGCTACACAAAAATAAAGAGAGCACGCCTCAGTAATGATTCGATTTTCTTATAATTTGAGGGTGGCATTAATTGAATCACGATGTTGATTTTTGAATCTTACCTATCAGCAGAGTCGTTGGAGCTGTCGGCAGAGTCTTCATTGTCATCAGAAGAGTCGCTGCTGTCGCTGGAGTTGCTACCATCGGCGTCGTTGGAATCGTTGTCATCTCCCTCATCACTGAAACGACACATACGTATTATTTTTTACAGCCGATAATGTCGTACAAACGAGGCTTTTTCTGGGGGAAATTTGCGTTGTCCATTGTTTTGCGAAAACGTCGATTTGATTGCGGATTGAATTTGAATGTACCTCTCGTCAGAATCGTTGCTGCTGTCGTTGGAGCTTTCGTTATCATCGGAATCGTCGCTGCTGTCACTATCTGAAGAGTCGTTGGAGCTGTCGGCAGATCCTTCACCATCCTCGGAATCATCACTGCTGTTGCTCTCGTCACTGCAAAATTCCCATCAAGAACGATCTTATTTGTTTATTCGTTATTTTGAAAGGATATGCAAGCAAAATTGCTGCGAGAAGATGCTATATAAATTCCGAAGCAGCGATGAACGTTGATGAACAAGTTCAAGAAACGAAATAATTCAGAGAAACTACAGCGATCCGAGGTATGCAGTTTCGAAAGCCATGCATTCACATAAATGTTCAGTTTAATATTATTTACAAAATTGGATAGCTTCTTCTAATAATTATTTTAGAATAGTTGGAGAAAGACGGGGGCGCAATTTCTGCTCGACGTTCCAGCGAGAATAAGATTCGACCGTCAATATTGTTTAATGAGATCGGAAGGGGAAAAAACACAGGAATTCGAAAAGATTGCTTTCAAATTGCTTCTATTAACAACTCTGATACCGAATTATGTAGTTTGTCCATGTACTTTTGAATTTTCTATGCGGAAAGGCAGAAGTGAAACCGCCGTATGGTCAGAATTGGAATTCTCACTCGATCGTAAATTCCAAATTTATTATTTTGAAAGAAAACATGCGCAGGCAGAGGTCAATTATTGTGACTTTAAAGTTCCTGAATCTTGTTTCTGCTGCTCGTTAATTTTGGACTGATTTATTCGTTATTTTAAAATGATTAACAAACCTTGAGGCGGAGTCATCGCTGCTGTCGCTGGATCCCTCGCCATCCTCGGAATCGTCGCTGCTAGCGCTAGAAAAAAACAAAGAAACAAAGCATTAAATCTGATTCAAAATTAGTCATTTTATTATCATGAATCTTACCTGTCAGCTGAATCGTTGCTGCTGTCGTCAGATCCCTCGTTATCGTCAGATGAGTCGCTGCTGTCGCTGTAAGTCGAAACGACCGATTTAATAAATTATTGTATTCGCGTAAATTTCATTTTCCTTTCATGATCCATTGATGTTGCCTTCTAGGAAATATTTTATTTTCTACAGAAGCTAGAAATCTATGATTCATCTCGCTGAAAAGCACAAGTTTCTACTTGAAAGCAATCACATTTCGCTTGATTTTTTGGCTGGTTCAATGGGCTTGAAAGATTATTAAATTTTTTCTGAAGCTGACTGCAAGCTAATATTAATTTCGCTGAAGAGCAGAATTCTCTCGTATTCCTCTGAGCTAGAGTAAAAGTGACATCTATCAGAGTCCTTTGTAAAGTTCGATTTTGCGTTTGAGGTTCTAAAATGTCAAGCCGCACAGTACATAACACTGAAGAGATTAAAATACGTTTGAGATGGATATCCGACTAAAGTATTTCTTCTTCGTATCCGCGCATTATTTTCCATGAATGAGTTGCGGATCAACTCGAGTTTTTCTTGATTCGATTGAATAGTAACGTTGGTTTTGAATTACCTTTCGGCGGAGTCGTTGGAGCTGTCGTTCGAGCCTTCGCCATCCTCGGAGTCGTCACTGCTGTCGCTCTCGTCAGAGTCGTTGGAGCTGTTCTCTGCGTCTTCATCGTCGTCAGAGTCGTCGCTGCTCTCTTGATCGCTGCTGGAGCTGCTGCTGTCGTCTGCGCCGCTGTTGTCTCCGTCTTCGCTGCTGCTGGAACTGTCGCTGTTTTTTTTGGATTGAAAATGAATAAATAATTACAAATCTGAGTACTAATGATCACAGTCATAAAGCGAGATCGGCATCATGAGAAGGGACATTTTTTTATGAATTAGTGGACCATACAAAGTAGTGGTTGTCAATGCAAAATTTTGTTTTCTCGCGCTTTCAGATTTTCGGATGGAATGATTCCGGTTATTTTAAATTTAGCATTCTGAAAAGTATCGCTTGAAAGTCCCAATTCATTTTTGGACGCAGCAACGTAAAAAAGAAAAAAGCCTCTCGTTGTATTTTTTATAGTTTTACCTGCCGCAGTAAAGTGAAAATTATGGTGATGATATAAAGCCTCAGTTTGAAAATTTCTTCATATGTTTTGAAAATTCCATCTTGACGTCGATTGAATTGCGGAACATTTTTCCGGGAAAAAAATTAACTTGTACTTCAATTTTTTTTCAGGCTTCTCCCCATTATTCAGACTGGTGTTCAGAGATTTTTTTTAGTATTTGACGGATTCTGTCGTGCAAAAATGTTGTTTTTTATGACGAAAAATTAAAAAAAATAACGTACCTGTCGCCGTCTCCGTTGCCGTCCTCGCCGGAGTCACTGTCGGACGTCTCGGAATCGTCTTCCTTGTCGTCGTAGAAGGCGTCGTCTTTGCCGCCGGCCAAGTCCCAGTCGTTGTCGCCACCGTTGCCGCCGTCGAGGTCGTTGTTGTCGCCCGCATCACCGCCGGCGTCAGCAGCATCAGCACCGGTATCGGTATCAGTGTCGGTGTCGGTGTCGACACCACTGTCCGCACCTTCGTCGAATTTCGGCGACGGCTTGCCGGCTAATCCGGCGTCTAGGTCCCCTGCCCCGGCGTCCTGGGCGTCGGCCGCCCCGGCGTCGTTCCCGGCGTCGTAGTCGCCGATGTCGGCGTCATTGTTGTCGTTTCCTGCATCTCCCTGTGCTGTCGGTTTGCCGTGAACGCTGAGAGCGCAGGCAATCAGAAGGAGCAAGGGGATCTGTCCGAAACAACAACAAGAAATAGTAAATTCATCGAATCCGTCTGAATTTGTTGATGTAATTTCACCGCCGAAAGGCATCGAGTTACGAGTTAATCCACCACATCTGTCTACATCGCACAGAATTTGAAAATTAATAAATTACATCACTCAGTGTCAATAAATCGCGCTAATCATACGCTTGAAGCTTACTGTTGAATCCATATTATGGCTGTTATATTTTGCAGCAGGTAGGTTAATTTTATAAACAAAACGACGGTTGCTTGAATGAGTCAGAAATAAGCAAAAGCGAGAGGTTTCCTTGCGCACACAAAAAAAAAAAACAGGACAATTGGCATCACATTTAAATTTGTCGACAGGAATCAAGTAGCAAAGGATTAAATTTAGTGTTATCTAAATTGCTGTATCAACTAAACATTTCAATAGCTTGCTACGAAGTACAAACCAAAAAAGAAACAATTTACATACAAAAATCTTGCAAACAGTACTTTTATGTCATTTACTGTAGAGCAAAAAATTCGAGAATATGTTTCTCTGTCCCGTAAATCGTTATATTTTTCGAATGAAAAAAGTGTTGACTATTCATAACTAGACATCCAGCATTTTCCTCTTCCTTTTTTGTCTAACTGTACTCTTACATTAACAGCCTGTGGCTTGAAGGAATGCTCTTCTGTGACCAACGAGCCCTCGACAATGAACCGAGGACAGGTTTCCTATCTTGAAAGGTTCCCACCCAGTGAAACCCGGATGTTTCTGACGACGGACCAAAGTTCTCATCAACAACGTCACGACGTAGGTCCGCATGCCTTTCTTTTCATATCTCTATCGTTAATTAACCCTGGTCTCCTTCTTCGTCGTCGTCAACTTTTGAGTTGCTACCATTCTCTCGTCCATCACGGGCACTCCAATTAAGCGTTCGGAAGAAGGAAAAGACAGGGGAACGGATGGACTGTGCTTACATAAATTAGAGTAGATTTAAAAATAAAAAAAAAGCGAAGATAGGAACGTAAGTATAAACCGGTTTTGTGTTTGGAAGGCGGCCTTGAACTTGAAGGCCGACGTAGCTCACATTTTTACGACGATGACGACTATTTCTCGGTGACTCTCCTTACGGTTTCCTTCATGCGTATTTATTTATTTTTATACTTTTAATCAATTTATCTGTCCGAATCCTCACGATTGTTCTATGCTGCGAGAATCAGGAATGTGCTGTGACTTCCTTCTTCGAGTGAGGTCATGGTTGGAAATCTTCCGGTTTGAAAGCGATTGTAACGGGGTATTGATACATTGGGAGTAAAAAAAATTTCCGCACTGAGGGAGCAAAAAAATGTATTACTCTTCTTATGTAGGATCAAATTTACACTAAAAAAGTGAAATTCAAGGAAACAATTCTTTCGCTTCGTTTGCGGGAATATTTTTGTCATCGTTTAAGGAAAGCTAGGAGAATTTACGATTCGGAAGATGCTCTACTTTTTCTCAACAAACCTTCAGAGATTTAAGAATTTCAGGTTTCAAGCAGAAAAACAACGAGAAAGAGTACCATAGCGTGAATAATTTTCGTTAATTTGAATTTTTATAGTCGCCAGAAACTTCTTAGTCACAATGCTTCCGGAAAAATGTCCCGTTGCGGGGAAATGAAACAATGTGTTCGATTGATTTTCGTATTAAAGATCTGGATTATCGTGGTCTTCGAGGATAAACATTGAGAAAGGAACCTGTTGTACAATTTGGCGATGAAGTTTTTTATTTAGTAGCGATCTACTGAAGTTTAAAATTTGTTAAGTTTGATTAGATGAGACTGCTTAGTTGACATCGGCCAAAATTTTCCTGTGTGCTTGGAGTAGTAAACTATTGTCTTAATTTCTAGTCTATCGTTACGCTAATTTTAAAAACTGAGAGGAGTTTTTACATTTCCTTCTTGAATTTTTTTTGCGGAGGATTTTTGTAATATGAAGCCTCATAAAAACCTTGTGATCGTAAAAAAGTGTCGCTTCTTTCAGATTATGATTTATTTTTAATGGTCAAAGGACACCTTGATTTTAATTCAACCTTATTTTCCCCCTTCAGATTCTCCGCCATTAATTATAAGAACCGGATCTCGCTCCAGGAATCATCTGTCTGGTTCTACGAATCTACGGGATTCTCCTCTTTATCTTTCCGTATTGGAAGAATCCAGAAGGAAAGCTAATTAAAAAGGGACAAGATGACGATTAACGCAAGGCCGAGGGGATGACGATGTCGAAGAGCGCATCAACCTCTCGGTGTCGAAGGTTGACTCCTCCTCGTCATCGACGGTGAGTTATTTTAACCACCGGAATTTCCCTTCTGATTTATTCTCAAACCGTCAAATATATATATTTTTTCATTTCCAAGTGTGTGACTCATTTTTCTAAAGTCACTAAATATAATCAATCAAATGTCCAGAAGGCGCGGTTAGGATGAAACTCGTAAAATTTCTTTCATTTATTTTTGAAACCCGATTCTTAATTTTGATTTCTTTCGTATGCGGTAAACGTTATTTTAATAAACTTTTAAAATTCATCGTAATTCGCATCGTGAGGTGCTCCTGAAATGATTTCGATCTCATCACCGGAAATACGAAGTTATTTTTGATCGAAGAACGCTGGAAGATTCTAACAAATTAAATAGTTTCTTGGTATCGCTTTTTGTTTAATACAGAATACAGGAATATCAAGTCGACGAAAAACTACTCATAGGAAAAGGACATTCACATTGAGTTTTGATTTTGAAACCTTTTTTCTTTTGACGCGATTACGGTATATTATTGCTCAGCAGTGGAGGAATGCTATGTTTGTAAGAGATATACTGTACTTGTAACAAGAAGTACTTGTCATAAAATACTCGTAACTATTTTTGAAACATACTTTTCATAGAATTCATTGAAACTTGGGAAGTTCTCGAATATGGTCGATATGTTTATTAAATACGCGCAATACTAATATTCGGACATTTTTTCGAGTGACAGCGAAAAAATATGAACATTAACCGCGGATCTTGAGGCAAGTTTTTATAAAAAGTAATCATAGATTTACTCCATGCATTTATTTTACAAAGATCGCACTAAAACTCCGTTTTTGCATACAACACATATTATCCCACATGAGTTTTTTAAATGCAGTATTTTCGCTTCACTGTACCGGTAAGAAAAAAAAACTGATCAACTTAAAATGCATTTGCATGCGCTGTACTGCTGTATTTGAAAGGCCTTATTATCGTTTCATTGTTCACGAGCACTCCATTTTTTCATAAAAAGAGATCCCCTCGAAATTAGCACACAAGAGGGACAGTGATAGTAAAATAAAAGAAGCATGCTTGTAAAGAAATAAGCAAGAAAGGATGAACTCACCGCAATGACGCACTTAGATAACCGATGCATGGTTGCCGTAAGTGATCGTCGATCTCAAAATTATGCAAAAAGCTTTATAACAGAAAGAATCTTGTCGCGAGTAACGATAGGAGTTCCGCGTTGTCGAACAAATATTTTAAAATTTAGGGTTTTTTTTGTTGTTGTTGCGACGGACGAAGCAGCAGCAGCAGCCAAACATATGCGGAGAAGAGAAAACAGAAAAAAAGTCCAGAGAGTCTCGGTCGTTGCCTCGTATTTTCAACAAATTTCAAAGCACTCTTTCATATACAGGAATCACTTTTCTGGGGAGATTTTTTTAAAACTTTTGATTATAGTTTGTAAACAAACTTATGGAATGGGCCAATAGGTTTTTTTTTTCTTTCTCTGAGGGTGGCTGTTCCCTCACTGGACGCTGCGGTGCGAGTGACGACGTTTGCCACCCCTTTAGCCCTTTTATACGACCGTCGACTCTCGTCGACACCCGTGGCTTTCTGGAGGTTAAACTAACCTAGCCTCATCAAACCCCCCCCCCCCCCCCCCCCCCCCCCCCCCCCCCCCCCGCCGCGGTTCCAGGAGAGGCCATTTTCTACGATGCTCCGGCGCGAGATGGAGAGTGCCAGGAAGCGGGTTGCGATTGGCCCGGCCGCACGCCCAATCCCAAAAGGGCGCTATTCTGATCATTATAATGATCCTCCACGTCCTCCTCCTCCTTCTCCGCGTCCTCCTCCTCCTCCGTATTATGTCTTTATATTTACTCTTTTTGTTTTTTTTCTTGCTGTTGTTTATTTCATTTCCGAAGCCAGCGTTTTTTCTTTTTTGTCTAGAGAACTGTGAGTGTCGAGCACCGTCATTCATTCTTCCGGGTCTCAAGTTCAGGGCATAGCGTGCGTTGGACGAGGTGCCGACGATGAGCGAAATCGTAGCAAAGAAAGGAAACTTTTTAGATTACAGTATTCTTTGTGGGTGTTGTATTATTTTTTTATTTAACACGGAGGCAGCGGGAGTTGAAGCCTTAGCCTAGGTTGCATATACACTTTGAACTGCGTGGGTACTACTTTAAGCTGCCTTTATTACTTATCTTAAAAATCGCCCCTCTTCCTTCTTTCTTCGCACTGCATTCAATATGTTTTTCCCCACAGCTTTGGTAATTTTTGGTGCTAAAGCACTATTTGATTACGATGTAAATATGAATTATTGTTCTCGCGTAAGATACCTCCTCTCATATTTCCTAACATTATTCATGCTGATGACTGAGACAATTGGCACAAGGTTTGGGCGAGAAGTTTTTTGTTATTGTTGAAAAAATGAATACAAATTGGCTGCAATGCAAATGTATACTTCACCGAGGTTTGTTTCTTATACAGTGTTTCTTAACAAGATAGTTCGTTGGATCACACTTGAAAATAATTCAAATTAAACATTCTGCCCGGGATAGATAATTAGAATAGATTTTTTTTTTCAACAAGTCACAACTCAACAGTTTCTTCAAAGCAAAAAATCATCGAAATGCAGTAAATTTTATCCATGAGCTACTCCGGTTAATCCAGATTTCTATATATTTTCTTAATTAGAATAGATTTTTTTTTCAACAAGTCACAACTCAACAGTTTCTTCAAAGCAAAAAATCATCGAAATGCAGTAAATTTTATCCATGAGCTACTCCGGTTAATCCAGATTTCTATATATTTTCGCAGATTTTTTGACGATGACCTTCAAAATAGTCATATGAGAAAATTGTTGGCTCTTCAATGCTTTCTGACTTTCTGGTTGAAAAGGCATTCGAGTCCATGCATTTCTTATCAGAGGAATAAAGATTGGAAGCTGCTATATACAGTAGTGTCTTTTATACTGGGTTTTCCTGATTTCTTAAAATTATACAATATTTAATTGCATCTTGATTCACAAGATCGGCGTTATTTATAAAAAAAAAAACAAAGAATAGTTCCGTGGGGATGCTGTGTACCACATTTTATGAAAAGCATGCAGGACATGATACTTTTTAAATAATTAAATTGTGACCTTTTTCAGCACTCTAGCTCTTTGACTTTTCTATATGGCTCTAACCATACCCGGAAAATATGTGTAAGATAAACAAAATGTATCTGGGGGATCCTTTGGACTAAAATGCATTGGAAAGATAAATTTGAAAAATATATCCCATATATTGAACTTTTTTTTAAGTGGACAAACCATTTTTCCCGTATATGACACGCACCTCAAGTTTTGGTGATCTGTTGTTGAAACTTCAAACACTATAGACTCTTGAAATTTTCTATTTATATTCAAACACACGGGATGAATCCAATTTCATTTCATATTTGGTTCCTGATTCAGCTATGGGATGGGCAACAATTCTGATGATTTCCGAGAAAATTCATACCCAAGGGAAATACGTACCCCAATCTGGTTTATTCAAATTT